AATCGGGATAGTTTTCTAAAGATTTTTCAGTCTTTAGAAAACTATACCGAGCTGAGGGCTACGGTTTTATTTCGCGACTTTATTTGAAATATTTGACTCCTTCGCCTAATTTTCTATGTTAATAAATTTTTCTCTGTTTCAGAATTTAATTTTTGATAAGTTATGTTCAGTGCATTAGTTTTATTCTAATTCCGAGCTGTGGGAGGTTGGGTGGGCTCGGGCGCAGGTTTTTCGTCGCGATATGTGACGAAAAGCTTGCGCAAATTGTAAGTGCCTTTTGTTCTAACTTGCACTCATTTTGACGTCAATTTTTTAACTTGTTAGATATTAGTTTGTAGTAGTAGCCTATCATTTTTATTAACAGTTGCTTTACACTTAAAAGAAAGTTCTTCCAAGTTTCTTGTTTTGCTCTTTTCTTTACTTACTTTTACATTATACGAGTGCAATTTTAGAACGAAAGGCACATTTAGGGCTTTAATTTTTTGTAAGTGTTTTCAGTGTTCTATATTTGTCTTAATCATTTTTATATGTTTCAGGTTTTAATTTTATGCAAGCAACTTATTTATTCATATGTGTTTTATTTATTCACGTGTCTTCATTGTATTAATTTATTGTATTAATTAATTCCGTTCAGATGTTTCAGGTTCTGATTTTAATTAAGTAATTGAATATTTCTCAAGTATATTGTATATTTTACAGGCGTATTTTTATTGAGTCGACATGAATTGTGGATGTCTCAACATTATAATGTTACTAATATTGCATTTGTTTCACCGTTTCCTCTTTTTATTGTTACGACTAATTATTCTGTAGGTAATGAATAGATCATCATTGAAGACATCCATCGAGGGATCATCGAGGGATGCGTGCGTTAGTTTTAAGTTATTTTTATGCGTGCGTTAGTTTTAAGTTAAGTGTACTTGTGAGCGGGGCAGGTGAGTCCCTGTAAGTGCCTCCCATTCTAACTTGCACTCTTCTTGCATCTTCTCAATTCTCAAGCTTTGTACGCGTTAGATTGTAGTATACTCGGTTATTTTTTGTCAATCGTTCCGAACCCAAGTGGATCATTGGGGGTTCATAGCGCTGTGAACACGCGGNNCGCGGCAGAGGTGAGCTGCAAGTGCTGGTGTAGCGCCAGGGACACATCTCTGCGGGGCCGATCGATTGATGGCTCATCTCGATCTGCCGCCTCACGGCAGGGGTCTCCTCTCTGTGGTAAGACTTGCTTCACACGCAAGCGGCGGGGAAATGGGAGACCCTCCGCGGATGTGTCACTCGTTCTTGCCAGTACTTTCGGTTTATCTCTGTTCCGTGGTTCACGTAAGTCACGATGCGACTACCCTTTGACCCATGAGGACGAAGTTCAATTGGCGAAAAATACTGACCCGTCTTTTAATAGAAAATTCTTCTAACTTTCTTCTCTTTTTGTAGAAAGTTCTTCTAACTTTCTTTTTTGCCCCTTTGCTTTTTTGTTCACTTGGCGAAAAATACTGATCCCCTTTTTTGACAGAAAGTTCTTCTAACTTTCTTTTCTTTTAGTAGAATGTTTTTCTAACATTCTTTGCTTTTAATAGAAAGTTCTTCTAACTTTCTTCCCCTTGCTTTTTGAGTTCGTCATAGATTATTTGAGTGCAATCTTAGAATGAGAGGTACGCGTGCGGCATTTCGAATAAGTATGTTAATAAGAGTGTGAGCGTGGAAACCTATGAACGTATTAAATTTTACGATGTAAAGCGTGTGTGTGTGCGATACAAGTTCTTTGCTATACTATGGTAAAGAACTTGTATATTTTTGTGAGTTTACAAGCTAAGTAGAATCAAAACTCACTTATTGAATAGTACATCAATCATCGAGGGATCATCGTGGGATCATCGAGGGATGCGTGCGCTAGTTTTAAGTTAATTGTAAGCGTGCGTCAGTTTTAAGTTAATGTATGTGTGTGTGTGATACAAGTTCTTTACTGGATTGTGGTAAAGAATTTGTATATGCGAACCTATGAGCTAAGTAGAGTCAGAACTCATTCATCCTTTTGATGAATGAGGTTGCAATTGGAGGGTGGTAGGGATTTGGAGTTAGGGTGGGTCACTATCGTAGCAACCTCCACGTGGTGTGACCTGGTAATCGGTATCGTTTTTTAAACATTTTTATCGAAATGAACTTTAGAAAACGATACCGAGCTAATAGCTACGAATTAAATTATAATTTTATTTGTCCCACATATTCTTTTACGAAAATGTTAGGAGGAAGTAAATATTACAAGTTCCACACTTATTCAAGTCTAGTAGTTTTACAAATCTTATAATAATTTGGAATATATTTGTAAATTATTTTCTGTACATTACTAATATTATCTTTTCAGGTATTTTAATTAATTTTACGGCGTGGGAAAGTTGGAAAGGAAAAGAAAATAAAATAACTTATAAGAAAATGAAAAACTTTATTTCATATGAAATTACAGATGAATGTGTTACAAAGATATGAGAAAATATTCATTACAAATAAATTATTGATGAATATGCAGATTTAAACTATCCTTTTTTGACCGCCATTCTTCTACACCGTGCACATGCGCGCCCTCCAGTATTTTGTGTTCTCTGTCTCTCTCTAAGAGGTAAGTTTCCTTGTCTAGTGTCGCTTCTTGTAATTTCTACTCTTTGGTATTCCGTAGGTGGTGTGCTGGTTTGTCGATTCAAATGGTATCATAGTCGATATCAAAGCAATCTACTGTTACCTTAAAATGTGTTAGACTGCTGCAGCGCAAATTGTTTCATACTTTTGTACGAAGATAGAGCAGATTGCGCCTGTTCTCCATGATACATCGAGAACAAAGGCATGCGTGGCCTTATATCTGTTTCTGTAGTCATTGGCTGTATCATACAATGTGTGTCTAATAATTTCGTTGTAAAGAAATGGAAATATTATATTTCCCGATGATAAAAGTATGTGTAAATATAAAGAGTATGAAACGTAAACGATTTCGGAAGTCATCTATATAGACAAAAGATACGATTGTAAATAACTCTGTCAATTTTTACTCAATACTTTTATTCGAATCTGTTACTATTTAATATTTTATTTCTCTAAAATTCATGGAATACCTACATTTTATTGAGTGTTAGAATAATGTATTGATTATTTGCAGAATGGCATAATGTGTTGCATGTATTGACGATTTAGTCACCCTTTTACAAAAAAGAAAATATGTGATTATTTTGGCTTAAATCCTTGTGTCACATTTAAAGGGACCTCAGGCAATCAATATGTATTGTCAATATAACTGGACATGTGAAGAAAAATATTAACATGTGATCAATATTTAAATATTGGCAACAGAGTTCAGTGTAAGATTAAAAACTGTAGTATCGGAAAGCTTAAAACATTCGAATAATATTCCAGTAATGAAAAACTAAAGAGTTGAGTCAAGATTATAGCGAAAGCATTTTTCAATGAATCATTATTCCTGATAACTGGTTTTATAAGATTCTATAGCTTTTGAAGACATCTGTTGGTGATATAGCCATATTTTTGTAGTGACATCATTGTCAATAAATATTGAACATATGAGACTAATGCAGTTTGTTAAAAAATATTAACAGTATTGATAATATATAATGATCACATGTGGTTCCTTTAATTTCTTCAGTGTGTATTTAAAAACTATATTATTGATTTCTATATTTTTTTTATTTCAGCAAAAATGTCAGAATTGATAGACAATTCTACAGAAAAAATTGATATAATTCTTCCTAGGCAAGGCTTCCTATACCAGGAAGAAAATTTAGATTATATACTTTGCAAACCCAAGTTGATTCCATTGAAATCAGTTACCTTGGAAAAACTAGAGAAAATGCAAAAGGATGCTGAATTAAAAATCAGAGAAACTGCAGAAGAACAGAATAAAATGAATGATACTGAGTAGATCATAAAAACTACTTGGAAAACTTATAACAGTGGAGTTATGATATAAGAAAGTTAAATACTGTTACCAAACCAGAATGATTCCAGGAGCATTCGTCACAGAGATTGTAGTAGCTTTTTGTCTTGCTGCTACCTTATTGTATAAATATGGAAATATTTTTCGACATCATATCATTGTTACAATTTCTGTGCTTATAGCATGGTATTTTTCATTGCTGATTATATTTATATTACCTTTAGATGTTTCATCAGTAAGTAATAAAAATATAGATTTAAAGTAATGTATAAAAATAATTTATCTTAAATTAATTATAAAAATAATTTATCTTAAATTATCTTAAATTAATTTTATGCATTTTTTTACAGACTGTTTTTAGACAGTGTGTTGAGCAGAATATTCATAATACTACAGAAGCAAACCTTGATAGTACAACAGTAGCACCATTTCACACTTGTAAAGAACCTTGGCCTAACGTTCCAGAAAATATATTTCCAAATCTATGGAGAATTGTTTATTGGACTTCACAATGTTTGACATGGTTAATATTACCGCTTATGCAGTCTTACATAAAAGCAGGAGATTTTACTATCCAAGGAAAATTGAAATCTGCTTTGATTGATAATGCTATATATTATGGAAGTTACTTGTTTATATGTGGAATCCTTTTAATATACATAGCATTGAAACCTGGCTTAGATCTTGATGGGTAAATATTTTTTGTTAGTACATTAAATGCAGTAAAAAAATATTCTCATTATATAGTTTTTTATTTAATATACATAAATGTTTGTATGTCCTTTAGTCAAAAACTAAAAGCTATAGCATCATCTGCATCAAATACATGGGGTCTGTTTTTGCTAGTATTGTTACTTGGATATGCACTTGTAGAAGTTCCTCGTGGATTATGGAATGCTAGTAAACCTGGGTATACTTTAAATTATAGCTATTTTAAGGTTGCTAAATTAAGTTTAGATAAATGTGAAGCAGAGGAGACAGTAGATGATATACTTGAGGTAATAAGACATTTTATATAATCTATATTTTATAAGACCTTAATATTTCTTTCTATATTATTTAAATTATTGTTTAGTCTTTACAAGCAGCTACAGTATCTATTGGTCCAGGCCATCCTTTCCATTGTAATTTAGAAACAATTTTCCAAAAGATTCCTGCAGAATTAAAAGATAGAATGAATAGAAGGCAGTTACCTGATGACACACCAACCGATACACCATCAGAAAAATCTTTAATTCGTTTGCATAGACAGGTCTGTCATTGATTAGAAATATACATATCTAATGAATAAATGTATATTTGAATTAAAAAATTTTGTTTTTCAGACCATAAAAGCACTACAAACTTTGCAGCGTATAGAAACTCAGTGGGGTATTTTAGTTAACAAAATAATTGATTTGGAAGATATAGCAAAGAATCAAATAAGTCATGACAGAAGATTCAAGTCAACTTTTCCTCCGTATCGTTCGTTTCCACTTAGGTTCATATACAATCCAGTTGTTGGTAAGGTTTATATGTATACAAACATAAAAGTTTATTAAGCTTTATTTAGTTCCTAACAATTTTTTAACATTTTTAGAGTGGTATTGGAAATGTATTATAAAGAGTTATGTTCAAAAAGTAGCAGCTATTTGTGCTGGTTGCCTTTCAATAGCTGTAGTATGGTCAGAAGTAACATTTTTCAATAAATCTCCAGTATTGTCGTTGTTTGCCCAGTTTCTGAATCTAGCTAGAGAAAATTATGATTATTTTACAATTGAGGTCAGTAAGTATAATTTAAAATTGATATTAACAAACATTATTGTTAAAGAATAAGCTTTTTTTGAAGAATAAAATATTATTTTCAGTTGCTATCAACGCTAATAATTGCATATCTCTGTTACTGTGCTTATTCAACCGTTTTAAAAATTCGTGTGCTGAATTTATATTATTTAGCACCACACCATCAGACTAACGAGTACAGCTTAATATTTAGTGGTATGATGTTGTGTCGTCTTACACCACCTATGTGCTTAAATTTTTTGGGTCTCATACACATGGATTCACATATTATAAAAACTCACATATTAGAAACCCACTATACTCAGGTAAATATCCTAACAGTAAATAAGTTCTGTTTACAATTAATTTAATATACACAACTTATTCTATGACTTATTTATTCAGGTTATGGGTCACATGGATGTTATCTCCATTATATCTGATGGATTTAATGTATATTTTCCAATGGCTATTTTAGCATTTTGTTTAGCAACATATTTTAGCCTAGGAAGTAGATTGCTTTCTATGTTGGGTTTCCAACAGTTTCTTGATGATGATGAATTTACAACAGATATTGTTGAAGAAGGTCGAGAATTAATAAAACGAGGTATATAATTAAACATTATAACAGATATATAATTTATCATTTGTATTTTACTATGATTTTTTATTTTTAGAGAGACGTAAACGACAAAGAGCAGAAGATTCAATGTGTAGAAGGCGTGAATTTCAAGAAAGATTCAGTAGTTCTACGAATTCATCTCGTTATAGAACGTCTCGACAAAGCACTGACACAGGTATACAATATATTGTTAAATTAATAATATCAATAATAAAAATTTCTATTTGCAATTCATAAATTAAATTATAGTGCGACCTCTGAAAAGGGACGAGTCGGTAGAATCTGCAAGAGCTGGATTGTTACGTGATTTTGATCCAGCGGAATATTACATTGGTATGACGTCTGGGGTTGATAGTTATGGTGCAAATAATTGTTACGATAGGGGTTATCAAACTGACGATTTTTACGAAGATCGTACGGACAATGCAAGAGCATTTATTACGAATACAAATCGTGTAGGACCTCCTCCGAGAGGATTGTTCGACGATATTTAAATGGGATAACGTTTTTGATTTCTGCTTTGTAACACATTATAAGTAAGGTATATTATATTTGTATTTAAAAAATACTTATAATCTATCTGCTCTTGGTACTCGATACAATTTTTCATACTAGGATCATCAATATAACTTAATTGCTATTTGAAAGAAAACTATCGTAAAGTTATACAAATATACTATTAATTACAATATGACTAGAAAAATGTGATTTAAAAAATCTCATCTTTTAATACTTCTAATTTTTTTTTACGAAATTTAATCAAACAAATAAATAGAAAGCTTTAGAATATTGATTTATTTCTAATGTACTTTTAATAAAGTTATAATTAATAAAAGAAAAGGAAACACAATAGTGAAAATAATTTTATTGAAATAATAGAATACATTAAATTGTATGCAGCATTTGATAAAATTTTTCACGTTATACGTAAATATGAAATATTAAGGAAATTTTAAATAGTTAAGTAAATTCGGAATTATTATTTGTTTCGATCTTCTTTGTAAGCACTGATGTGTTTTAAGTTCAACATTTCCTCTTGTATATTTTATTACATTTCTACAAGTACAAGCACAGGCAAATAAGTGTACTATTTAAAGTAGTATAACAAGACAGTAGAAAAAGAATGATTTTTTACATGCATGCTGTTGTATTGCACGTTATAAAACTGCAAGTGAATTATTAATGCGTTATATTCAAATTAATTAATTGCATTATCATATAGTCTTATATATAAACTAGTAATTATAGTTCTAATATTGACACATAGTATTGAATAGAAAATTACCCATTTGATAATTATATTCATATTGCGAAAGTAAGAAATAATTGAATTTTTGTTTAAACAATTCTAATAGTGAACGTAAAGATGTGTTTATATTTGTCATATAAATATTACATATTAAGTATTAATATTTCAATGGTTTTAATAACTGAATTTTAATTGATTCGATTGTAAATAGTAGATCAACATTTATATTACAGTTAGAGTCTCATTATAATATGGCTCTGAATGTGATCCTGTAACTAAATTCTAAATTAAAAAATTTGATAGTCGATAAATTTTAAATATTTCTTAATTTTTATACTTCCAGCGCTAGGAATCAGTAAATTTGAAAAATTTTAAATGAGCCATACAAATGTAAGCCATATTGCGAGACTGTACTGTGATTTTGTAAATTAGAATGAAATTTATTTATTGCTGTAAGTTATACGTATGTTTTATATAAATCTATTTATTTTATATTGTAAAATAGTTCAAAAGAGATAACAATAAGGTCGGTTTTCTCTGTTATACATAGTAAAATTGTGTATATTAATTTTATTGCAAATATTTCATACACAATATGAAAACGATTAACAAAATGTGTATCTAAAATGTGCGTGCAATATTAATAGTATCCGCTAACAAGTATTTAATGTATCAACAAGTAATAAAAATTCTTAATAACCTTGTATTATTGTTTAATTGCATTCTTTCATAATTTGTAAAACTTGCATATAAAGAATGTCACGTGTTAAGCTCTATATCAAAATTAAAAATTAGTATTTTCATCTTATATTAAATTCAATTTCTTTTTTGTACAGTTTTGTTTTATTGCATTTTTAATAAAATAGCGTAATTTTTTAATTTAAATAAACATATGCAAACATAAACAAGCAACAACAAATTGATAAACTTTTGTTAATTAATTTTTATACAAAGCAGCATGAAGAAGTAAATAATTTTACTTATAATAATTGTTAAATATATAGAAGTTAAAATTCAAGTTTAACGTGAAATTAAATTTTATATTTCAATCTCTTTGCTTAGTGCTAATAAATAATGTTTGTGTTTTAAACTTGACAAAGTAGATAACAGATTTTTTAAAAATATATATCAAGTGAAATATACTATATAAAATGTGATTGTTGCTAAAATAAAGAAAGAAAGAGTATAGGCAATCACTATTTTTACTATTTTCATGTGTTCTGATTGTGAAATGCGATTTTTCCCGTGCCTGTATCTAGAACTTCCTAATTCTGGCATCAGCAATAATGGTTCTAATAATAATAAACTAGACCTATTCGCTCTATGATCAGGAACTTCATCTTGTTTAAAACTATGTGATCTAAATATGTCATTACGATAATTCATCCAATTTTGCAAATCAGTATCATATCCAATATGTTTTATAGCATTCAGGATATTATTATGATCTATATGAAATACCATAGGTGCGATGCCTTGATTTGATATCCTTGTATAAAAATTGTTTGCACAACGGTGATACAATTCTGTGTTTACTGTTCCCTTTATATCGCTACTTATGAGAATATTTGGTTCAAGTGTTGTTTTCAAGTCAAAAACATCTTGCAGTGGACTATAAAAATAAAATATACTGGATGCATTAGTTTTTAGGCAATTGTAAACTAACAAGCAATGCTGAACATTATTGTATTGCGAAAATAAGCTATCGTCAAGTTTGTCATCTACTGAACAATATGCAAAACACAACGTATCATTTTGTTGCAATAAACGAACTTCTTTTGCGTGTAAAGATTTTTTTGCATATATTAATTGATCAGAGAATACTGGACTGTCTTCTAAATTCGCACACTGTTTGCAAATTTTATGACGCGGAAGAAAAAGTGTGTTTATCAAAGTTTTCGCAGTAGTAGGACTATACTTTTCATAATAATCCATAATATCACATTCGAGAGCATTGACTTCTTCGTAAACATGATCTACATTTGATGAGTATTTTGTAATTGTACTATTTTCCTCCATGATTTTTTTGGCAAGTATACTATCTTGGTTGGTTATATCAAGTTTGAATTTATCTGAAGGTTTACCTAAATATTTTAAGGATTCATTTCTGTATGCAAGTTGTTCCGAGTTTCTAAATTCACTATTTGATATTGTCGAGAACTCTGTTGCATCTGACATGGATTCAATTGTTTCTACAGTATTGATAACGGTAGGAGATACGTATTCGTGTCTGTTATCTACCCTGTTCTCATTTTCTTGTGATTCTTGGATTGGAAAACTGTCGTCGCTAGAAATTATTTCGACGCTTACAAATTTTGATGGTGGTGTGCTAGTTTTGTCTACGTGCCAAGTACCAAATGCGTGTGTCTCCGTGCGTTGAGTTTCTATTGGTGTGTCAAATACGTGCCATTTATTATCGTGATGGTTTATTCTGATACTACGTTCTTTCTCTAATCGCAAATGTTCTAGGTGTAACTGGCGGTGGTGAACACACGCAAAATTATATCAATTTATTCTTTCAGTTTCCTCGGTTCGTAATTCCCGTTTAATCTTCTGCAAATCGTAGAGAACCTGAAATGGATAGAAAATAAAATACTAAGTATTTATGTTGAATTACGTTTTAATGACCATAATGTGTACACAAACCTCTAATATAGAAGAGGCGCTCCAAGCTTGTGTACTGCAGCTATCCTTACAATATTCTCCATCTTTATTAGTAAGTTCAGGAAGACCTCTCCAATGATTTGTAGATGCTTCTATAAAATGTCGAGAAATAATAGTTTCGGTTGATTCAACTGTTCGACGTAATTCTTCTTTTCCTCCCACTAATGGAGCAAAATATAAACGAGCTCGAAGGAAGTATCCCATAGGCCAAACCCATTCCTGTAAAGTATTGTAAAGTATATGATTTTCATTGTATAGTTCTGTATATTAAAATACTTAATGTCCAAAAAATTACGTACAGGACCTTGATGATAATTCCATCCATGAGCCAATTTAGTATCTCCACTATCATTCGAGTTGTCATAGTACCCATTGTATGCCCAGTCAGCAGGATCTAATGTTTTCATTCCAAGTGGTCCCAACAAAATTTCTTCTACTTTTTTCAATGCTGTCCATGCATGTTTCGGATTAAATAATTCCGGTGCCTTTTGGAATCACGATGTTAGAATATATATTTAAAAAGTAACTTATAAAAATCAGATACTTACAACCACCATTGCAACTGGGAAATTAGGTCGTAATTGATAATCGGCCCATGCCTGCGTAGCTCCATGACTGTCTTTGAAAATTCCACGACGATGGATCAGTTCTGGTTTTAACTCTCCTTCCCTTGGCGTTTCATTAATGTAGAAATATTTTTCGAAATTTAAGGAAATTTTGTCTGCCCATTGTTTATAACTCCATGTTATAACAGATCCTAAAACAGGTATAAGCTGTTGATGCTGTTGAAAATAATAAAAAAATATATAATAAAATTGATCTTACCATCACGATTCTTTCTTTGTACACTACCATGAGGGAATAGATTTTGTTTATATAATTCAGCTAAAAAGCTAAGAATGCTTTTGCTAAGCCCTACAATTTCTACAGCTGAACCATCTCTTGGAGTAGCAGGTTTTCCTTTGTTACCAGCTTTTTCGGAAGATCCCATTTTATCCATCCATGTACCACAATTTGCTTCATTCCCTCCAAATACAAATCCAGTTTCTGGGTGCACTCCAATTTGATTATTAAAACCACGATCTGTCATATGTTCGTCAATTTGTCTTCCAGCATTTCTTTCTCTAAAGCAAAGTCCTTGAAAATGTACTGAAAGGGCCTCTTGGATAACATCATGTAGTGGTTGATCCTAAAAATTATGCAAGATATTTTTTTAAAGTATGAATTTTTTATGAAAAAGACAAATTAATTAAATTCTCAAGTAGGGAATTCTAGACTACAGTAATTTAATTATATACATACAACTTGTCCCGCAGGTAAAGCTGGAGAATCATCAGTTGGAAACAGTCTTGAAACTTTATCTGTTAAAATTTTCAATCCACTTGGCACTTCTTGAATGTAACATTGAATAGTATACAACCACCACCACAAAGCATCACGGCAATTGTATCTAATAAATGCCAACAAAAATTATAAAAGTAAATTTTAATTTTAAAAGTGTAAGAAGAAAAGTGCATATTATTTTTTACCTAGCATTCTTTCCTTTGTCAAGTAGATTAGGTATGAGACCGTGTCGTAAAGTGCCTGCATAGCTAAGAATAATAAATCTCGCTTCGGTATGTCTGCCTGTTAATATTAATAATCCTCTCAAAGCAATAAACGTGTCTCTGCCCCAATTTCTCATGTAACCGGTTGTGAAATGTGGTAAACCTGCTGATAATGTTGTGCATATTTGCTCATTTTCTCCATTATATTCCTTAATTTTTGGTTTCGGAAGATCCAAGTTAGGAGACAAATCTGGCAGCGGAGCTGATCTTACTATACCTCCCACTTGTATTGAAACTAGTGATAAAATCTTGATGAAAGTGGAACCATCCTTTACAAAACTGATAAATCATAATAAATTATTATATATCAATATAGAAAATATAAATGCAAGATTGGTATGGCATACCTTGACATCAGGCTATAACATTGCTCTAATAGAATCATATAAACATTTACAATTACAACGTCGAAATAACTAGGCACTAAGTAACGAGGTATCACTTTAAATGGCTCAGTAGCGTCTTCAAGCCATTCGCCTAGAGCTCTGGTTCCATCATCTTCTTTTAATCGTTGCCAAGTATAATCTATATAGATTATTTTTAATATAATACTTTATTACTAATTTGTTATATAAGATAAAACAATTAAAATATATTTACCTATTAACCAATTGCCCTGTCTAAGATTAGTACACATTGGGTGACCTAAGTCATTATTAGGACGAATATCTGCTAACAATGAAATGATTCCTAAAAATGAGAAAATATGTCTTGATTAAAATATAAGAACTTATACATATATGTATATACGAAGTATTGAAATGATTAATTTACCTTGTAGTCCTGCATAGACGAGAGGCCCATATCCAGGAATATCATATACACCAAATCTATTTGAAGTTTCATCGCGTTCTTCCTGGTCACATCTGTACAAAGCTTTGTTCAAATCCACTAAATCCATGCGTGAAGCAATAACTCGCAAATCTGAACTTTTTGGTGATGTAATTATTGAAATGGTATTATGAAGCTTTGCAAGGGCAGGTTTTATATTCGCATGAAGAGATACTCTAAAATTGATACATGTTAATATTTATACATATAACTTGATAAACAAATCGTAATAAAAATATAAAGAAACATTACCGAATAGCAACGATGGAACCTGGTTGAAAGTTTACAAAATTAAGCTGTGTTATTTTAGGATCTCCAGAATCAACTTTTTCCAAAATTTCTGAATCACAAATTTGTACGTGCTCTTTAAGATTTACAGCATATTCGGAAAGACCGTTTATATAATTTTCATTTTGCACGTACTTTTCAGGATAATGAAAAGGTGAAGTACCACTTCTAGAAGTAATTTGTCGGTAAAGCATCAATAAAATATACATATAACGAATAATGTATAAATATATCTAGTTATTTACTTTGCTCCTATATGAGATAAAGATGCTTCTAAAATAATTTCTTCCATCACACCTTCTACGCGCAATGGTTTTACATATCTTCTTAGATCAACAGCATTGGAATCTGGATGCTTAAAAGCTGTAAAAGCAACTAAAATTACACTATCATGACTGGTTGGAGAATGTCTTGTTACAGCTACTATGTCACTGTCCATTTGATCAACAAAAACCTACAAATGTAATAAATAATTAGTATTTTTATTACACGTAAGGTAACTACAGTATACCTGAGAAAATTTCTGCTGTCCAAGTGAGTAGTGTAAATCATTTAATGCCTTTTTTGCTGCAATTATGCCTGTCTTAGATCCCACGAATTTGGTACCATCTACCAAATCTTCATCATCTGTCCAGGAAGAATATTGTCTAGTTTCATCTACAACGTGAATCTGCAAGTAGTAACAGATAAGAATTAATTTAACTTTCTAAGAATCAACTTTATGAAAATATAATATATTAATATCTGATAAAATTTACATGATGAGGAACTAATTCATCGTAGCCACGATTGCTACCACTAGCACACGCTGCCATTGATACAAGCGCAGCGCTTGGTAGTAAATCAAAGACACTACGCTTTTCCACTGGACTAGGATTATCATGAGTTAAATCTAAAAAGAGCGCGTGTGCTATGCTTGGTACTAAAGGCCGTTTACGTGGTTGCAAAAATGCACCCACTGGTTCTCCTCCATACCGATAGACCAATCGGCCTTCTTCGTGACTATCCCATGCAGACATAGCTTCTACAATTAAAAATAAACAATCAAATATTTAACAAAAATATATATTTTTGTAATTAGAGATAAATTTATGTACCTCGAATTAAAGAAGTAATGCCAAGTCGATTAACAAATATATTGTCTTTTTGGTCAGAATTTGTAAATAATTCAGCTACAACATATAAATCTGGTCGAACTCGGCGAGCAGCATCAAGCATGTACTGAAAAATTATAGAGAATATTAAAACAAATTAAAAATTACAAATATTTCTATGTTTAAAAATTAAATATACTTCTGCAACTGGAATAGGAGTTGAATGACAATTATCTAAACGAACGCCATCAAAAATTTTGGCCATTTGTTCAACGTAAGTAGTCATATGTTGCCACAAGAAAGGACAATCATCTGGTTTATTTCCATATCTATAATGAAGACAATATATTATTTAGAATATACAATAACTTTTAATCGTTATAAAATTTTTTAAATAATTGTATTACCTTAATTTTACACTGTCACCCCAAGCAATAAGCTCTCTTCTTATATAGACATTAGAGTCAGGATCTGCAAAATTTTTCAAAGGATCACCATTCATTACCCACCCATTATGAGCCATAAGATAACATCCTGCATCTGAATACATTGTTGCTTCTCTTTCAGTTAATGTTTGAGGGGCTCCGTAATCAGTAAAGTATCTAAACATAATCATAGTTATAATGGTAGTGCAATATTGCATAAAACAAAATTAAATATGGCGCATTTATAGTACCTAGGAACAAGAGGATTTCTTTCACTTATTTCTTTAATTCTGGGTCCATCCGGTTGTACTCTAAAATATCTTATACCAGAAATTGTATTTTCAACTGCAGCATTCAAGTGATTTTGTATTTCATTGATGATTACATTGTTAAGCTCTTGTAATTTGTTTCTTAAATCTTCGGCACATCGTTTTAAACGCGTTTCTTCATCAAAACAATCAGCTCTAATAAAATATAATATTTAAAAGATTAAAATTTTTCTTGAATGATATTAAAGCCTGGCTAGTATATTTTAATTATAACTTACCTATATACGTTATATTTTTGTAAAGCAAGTTGCATATTTATCGTTGCTTTTAACCTTCGGAATTTGGGATCTTGTATTATACTTATATCATCTAGTATTGGTTCAACATTATCCTGGGGCATTTGATTTCGAGCTGAATTCAAAAACTCAGCAATAGTTTCATTGATATCTATTATATATAGTTCTTGTATTTTGACAAGTGGTAGAAAATATGTATGAAGTGCATGACGAATTGACTGAAAATGAAAATATAACAAATATTAAAGTATATCTTTACTTATCTAAATAATTTAAAGCAGTTACAGTACATTTAAATGTTCTTCAGTTTCAACTACTGTAGGAATACCCTTAAATTCCCATTCTCCAGCTGCCACTTGTACTGTTAATTCAAAAAGTGCTGCATCCAAAATATATGCAGGACGCAAATGAGGACTGTTTGAACAATTGTATGTACATTCGGGATGAGATACTAAGAAAGGACTTTCATTTGCTGTATGATTTAAAACAATATCACATATGCTTAGTACCTACAATTAACAATATTTGAAATATTAAGAAATATTGTAGTGATATAAATTCTGACTATATGAAATTATATTACTTACGTTCCATTCATTGCGCATTTTGTTAATGAGCCCTTTGATATCATCATGTGTAACTGGTTTATCATCATCATTAAAGGAAGCATTTAACTTCAATTGATCACTAAGACTATAAGATGATTTTGAATATCCCAGTTCCTAATATGAAGATTATACATTAAATATTATTTATATTTTTAATATAAAATATATTGAATTCATTACCTGGATTGGTGTAAAATGAATTAGATTATATCCAGAATTTCTAGCTACTAACAATTTATCTTCCCAAGTAGAAAAAGGTCCTAAACATTTTGCTAAAACAGTTTGGCACTGGATGCAATCTAAGGGTAGTTCTTCCCCATTTTCTCCTACTTTAAGTTCTGGATCCACTAATAGATATCCAGAAGCAACAGGTTTTATACCTTCAGAACTGAAAAATTTGATATGATTGAAATTATTAATTTAAATTTTGTCTATTTAAGTTTACTAATTTGATACTTACCTAGGATCCACAAGATAATAGTGAAATGAACCAGCTAGAGATAAACATATACTAGCTGTCTCATTTACCCATTCCAATTGATAGTATGAATGTCTTTCAAATTTTCTATGTTCTCCTATAGGATGATTTATAAAAAGATCAAGTGACTTCCCAAGAAGGGAAGCACCTAAACGAAACTCTACTTTCCATCCTGTTGAAAATTATTTTAACTTTAAAATTATGCAAAGTCATTTATATAATGATAATTAAACTGCAAAATAAACTGTACTAAATAAATTTAATTAGTAGAACTTATATACCTTTTTTCAATCTGTATAATATACCATCAAGGTGCTCTCCATTATTTAGAGTTAAGACTCTTATTTGATCAGAGTCTTGACTTTCAGTTGATGAAATGTGTTCTGTCATATTTTCAACCACTTCCTAAAAACACAAATAAGTTTTTTATAATATATTACCATAAAATGTTATGATGTTCCATAATTATCAATAACAGTCACAACTTGTTGGATAATGGATTCACACTGTTTCAAATTATTGTAAACACTTATGTTGAGTTTAAAAATATATCACAGTACATTAAATAACAGAAAACATATTTATGATAAATATGTAATGAATATACTGAAAGAATAAAGTTAAATAAAAACGAAACACTATGGATTGTTAAATTAATAGAAAATGTACAAACTGCATGTGTCTATAATACTTTTATGAGGTAAATTCTCTCTCTGGAGATTAGTACTTACACGCGAAAGGTGGTAAATGGATAAATACTTAGCCCACAAGTCCCTTAATATAAGTTATCAGCACAAAGCAGCTACTGAGCGTACAAGAAGCATGGTATTATATTACGAAGATATGCTTCATGAACATACATAAAACCTAGAGATATTCTCATTCTACATGCTTGGATTACCTCTTTGTAATAATATAGACATAGGACAGACTTTGTACCATATGACATCAATTGTATATTTATACTATTATTTTTCTAACTATTTATCTACTACTAAATTTAACTCTAACAAGAAGCACAGAGAATTTATTACTTTTAATAATTTAGCATTATATTAACATTGAAATATTAGCTTGGAATATAAAGGGATTTAGTTTATCAGGCTCAGAATCTTATTTCGCAAGATCTTTGGTATATTTGGTATTATAATTTACATGTATGTATTAATACATGATATTTTAAAAAATTAAAGAGTGTCCCAAATTGAATTGTTATAATTATACTAGCTAAATGTTACAAAAAGACATTACAAAACTATATTATCAATAGTAATTGAATAATCTTATCACTTATAACTAAAGATATAAATGTAAGAAATTATTCACATACATCATTGTACCTATACAAACTTACATAATAACAAAGATATTTTATATAGCAGCATTTATAAATATATTGAAGAATATTTCCAAACTTCCTTATTAAGGTCCTTGTTGCATTACAAAAAAAATTACTTATCGTGAGCATAGAACCCATTCTTAAATTAAATCATTAGGCTGAAATGATTTATTATTAAACGCAATAAAGTTTTCAGTCTTACGTTATCATACGAGATATCATTTGTACAATTTCTAGTTAAATAAAGGCCATTTTGTGCATTGCCTACAACAAATATAAAAAAGCTGTTTAAATATAAAACACTCCTGTTAATTAATTTTAATAAAAAACAGAAATTATTGCAAACAATAAAAATTACTAATTATTTTTTATATTAAAACAAGATGACATGTATATAATATTGTTTTATTTAACTTTTTAAAGTGCATAATACATATAGTTAAAAATACAAAGTATTGACACTTAAGAACTGTATCACTTGTTGACATTAATCACATTTTTGACAGTTCCATAATGGAATTGTTACAGAAGAGAATTTAAATTGAATTTACATGAACATACAATTTTAAATATTAAATGTAAATTAACAAGATTGTAAAAATTATAAACAAATACATTAAAAGCTGTTACGGCATAAGTACTATTAACAATTTAAATATTTAGCAATATAAAATTATCACGTATGTATACAATGGGTTAATAGAGGTAAATAAAATGACAATAAATGTACAATTGTCACATGCAATATAAAAGCAACATATTATTATGTTTTTCCGAAAATTTTATGTCACATTTATTTCATACCTGACTATTTTGCGAAATATTCAATTAAAAACTTACACTTTCGTTTAAAAAACAACAAGAAAAACAGCGTTAATCAGTTAACATAATATTGAACAAATTAAAATAATATAAAATAATATCTAATCCGTATCTTTGTAAAAAATAATGGAATTCACAATGTACATTATAATAAATTACGAACTACTTTTCGTTCGAATTTGACCTCTACCATACAAAGACAAACTTTGAAGGTCACGAAACAAAAGCAGAGTTCAAGTTAAAGGGACGAAAGAAGCAGACGACACAATACATGTTCGTATTTGTTCATTGGATGATCATGTGCGACAACTTCGCGTTAATTCTTTAAATATTTTATAACTCAAAGTTCGTCCTGAAATTTTATAACTTCTAACATTTTCTTAGAAATTACAGTTTTAACATCATTTTCGTCGATATTTGTGGTATTTTTGCTTATTTATTTACTTAAAATAGTTCAATTACTTTTAATAATTGTATATCAATCTGTGCATATCAATTCTAGTTGGTTCAAGTACAGTTCATAACCAAGAGTAACGCACACGTATATTACAGCGTCCGTAGCTCTAAGCATGTATATCCAGTAACTTTTTTATAAAAAAGGTACTTGAATATACTTCCTCTACATCATTAATCTGTTTTCCTTATTCATATATTTTTGTTCACTTTGTATATGACAATGAAATGGGAAGTGCATAGAAGTGGGAAGTTCAAAGTAGTGGGAAACGTATTGAAGTTAGTCGCATTGCGCAAATCGAATATGATCTCCCATTGAACGAATAATAGGAACTTGATAGAAATTTAAAAACGGGCAAAATATGTATGACAATTATATTTTACATATAGATTAAGATGGCGGTGTAAGTGATACTAAACAACTATAAAACTTTAAATAAATCTTCTCATAGCATGTATGTATTTATCTTATAGATTTATGAAATATTGAATGTAAACAGAATATAATTTTTTTAATCATTCTTTTATATAGATTATAAAAAATATTCCGCAGAAATTTAATGAGAACGCAAAGCTTCGCCGCTAGAAATATGGAAAATTATGTGCTCTGAATTAATGTTTCCGTATTAAATGACGTAGTACAATGCAACTAACCAAAAATTAGTGGTATTTCTTATCATTCGCTTTCTCTTTCGCACATTATTTCAAAATGGCAGCCGCTACGGACGAACTGAGTAAGTAATCTTGAAAGAAATCAGCACAATTTAGTTAAAAAACAAGTTGTTTTAGCAATGGCATCAATAGTATCATTAATTATACTTCTGCACCGATAATAGAAATGTTATTGTTAACGGTGACAGCATTTTTAGAATTCGTGGCTCACGAAAGAAACTCGATTGTCATGCCGTGTTGTAAAAGACAACTTCAAATATATCCGGGTTTTTTAATTTCATATTTAAATTTACAATGTACAATGTCTTTTATGTCTTTATAAATTTATATTTCATTTTTACCATATGCTCATATTTGTCAAATAAATTGAACAAATAATATCAGTATACTTATTACTCAAATATTTATAATACTTTAATACATATTATTTAATTATTTTCTTACTTTACAATGATTTCAATGTATTGTGTAATATCTTTTAATAATATGAGATGTATAAATATAATTGGTACAATATGTTTTGTAACATTTTATTTAAATAAATGGTTATACTATTTTTGTAATTGATACATTATTATTATTGATGTACATTTTTCCTTGCAATAACTAAAAAGTCTTCTTCAGTATTAATGGAAAATGTATATAGTATTATTTAATATTTAATAATAAGCTCAAAGAAAAACAGATACATAGCAGAATATTATAAATTTACATGAAAACTAAACTATTTCAGCAGATTATTATAGTTCATTAATGACACAAAAAAAAAAAAAAAAAAATTGTCATAGATACATTATGTATTACTTTTCCACTAAGATTCTCATTTTCATGTATGAATGAAAATTATATGTATAAATAATATATTTATAACTTATTTCATGAAAGTCTTGCTTGAACGAGTATTTCTTCGCTTGGGTTCTGTGGAGACTGATGAACAGTTACAAGCATCAGTATGTAAATTTCTGCCTCCAGTTTTACTAAAACTATCTAGTGCACAAGAAGGTGTTAGAAAAAAAGTAATGGAATTATTAATTCATATAAATAAAAGAGTAAAAACTAGACCACAAGTTCAACTGCCAGTTGAAGCTCTACTATTACAATATCAAGATCCTGCTGCCAGTTCATTCGTAATTGTATGTTATTATTGAAAAGTATTTATTTCAAATATTTTTAATAGGCTCAAAATTTATTTATATGTTATATGTTATAGAATTTTACAATTATATATATAAAACTAGGATATCCCAGAATGGACATACAAAAGCAGGCTGAACTAATTCCAAGTGTACTAAATGCTATAGAAGGAAAACCATTATCTCATCAAGATAGGTTTGTCAATAATTTATAATTTAAATGGCAAATCAATATAAATGTATTTTAAAATGTATTTATAAATTTATTTTAGTTTATTACTTATAATTATGCCTGCATTGGGTCATATTAATGTTCCCATGGATCCAGATAAACGAGCATCTCTTCTTGGTTTGCAAGATAAACCTTATGTATCAAAACAATTAATCAATTTTATGCTTGATGTTTTGTTATTACCATATGGGTAAGAATATGTATTACATTTTCACTTTGTTACATTTAAAATTAATCAAATATTGAGCAATAAAGATGATCAATGAAAATTTTATTTTTAAATATCTGTGATGACTTATTTCAGATCAGTAGGACAAACAGAAAATCAACATCCAGGTCAAGCTATTGATTGGTCACAGTTTCCTGTACCACCAGGATTAAGTGAATATGCATTTAAACGAGTAATAGGTGAAAATCCACCAACAGCTGAACAACTGGAACAAACTAAATTAGGAATTGTCAAATTTCTTAGTAGTGGATTCTTTCCCGATTCTGACATTCTCATACATTTAATAGTAGCAGCTGCTGATACCAGATTCAGTGTTGCTAATATGGCAGATTTAGAATTGAAAAAAATTGTTAAGTATGTTTTAATCTACGTTTGCATTATATTTTTAATACATTTTTCATGAAAATACAATTAAATATTAAAACATTTCTCTATAAACATTTCAGTACATTAGATTGGTCTTCAATGCAGTTAGCAGCTCCACTTTATACTTTATTTTTGGGTACTAATGCTTTAGCTGCACAGAAAGAAGTTAAATCAGAAATGAAACGATTACCAGCAAGTACGCGAATTCGTCTCAAATTGTTACATTATCTTTGTCGTGTAACTAAAACTGGTTTTATTATACCACCTTGTATTCAGGTACGTTTTATGGTTTTATATTACATTATTAGAGATTTAATTTCGATTAACTCGTAGGTAGTCTTTGATTCACTGTACGGTAAAAATACAAACACAAAATTAAAATCAATGGCATTGACATTTACATCAAATATTGTACAACAGTGAGTATCTAGCATGCATTAATAATTATCGAGATGTATTCAATAATATATTTAATACTTTTAAGGTGTAACCTAGCGCCACTATCTCGTGTAGCTGGAGTTATTTTAAATGGTATGATAAAGTTAATTTCTGAAGGTGAACATAATCATAAAGCAATGGCATATACTGTTATTGGACAATTGGGACAAAGAATACCATCGTTAATTAATAAGGATGTAAATTTATTACGTAATTTATTCCAAACACTGATATCGGTAAGTAGTTACAAAAAAGAAGCACATTAAAGAATATATTATGTTATTATTGTTTCTATATTGAGTTAAATTTTATACGCTATTTCAGACGGAAGGTGATTTACGAAGAGCAGTACGAGATGCGTTAATTACGGTCACGTCTGCATTCGTACTTAGTAAAGACGATGAAACTAATATATCTTTATTGAATGAATTATTGTCTACTTATATCGAATCACCAGAATATAATGTCAGGCATGTATACAGTAATAGAATGTTTTATAGATATATTAAGACTTATGCTTTATTAATTACATAAATCACATTCTTTTAAAAACAGATTTGTAGCTATGCATTATGCTGCTACAGTATTCCCACCTGATGATGCACCTTCTCGTTATCTTCTGTTGCTGGCATGTGGTGATAATAAACATGAAATAAGTAAAGAAGCCGCAAAAGTTCTGTACAGCACTTTGAATAAAACTGAAAATGATAAGCAAGATAGTAACCAAATTTTATTGCCAGACTTCTCAAAACTTGTTGTATATATTTATTCTAAAATGCAAACGAGAATGCCAACTTCAAGTACTGGTAAAGTGAATGTTGAAAGTAAGATACTTCCTTACAGTATTACTGTATTTACAGAGGTAATAAACTTAGTACAATATACATTTGTATTCAACCTAAATTTTATTTTATTCTTCTAAAGGTTAAAAGCATAATAACTTTTCTTTTACAGATAATTAATTATCTTCGTATCTGTTTAGCAAAAAGTGCTAATGCTACCGTACAAAATGAACCATTACAGCATCCCTGTGAAAGTACACCTTTAATTGCACGTTATTTAGAAAATCTTTATAAAGAAGAACCATATACAGTAAACAGTTATTTTGATATGGTTTTGATCTTTAGTAATGCCTCTGCAGGTAGGATTGTATTTAATATTAATAGTAACTCTAAAAGTACCTAGTTGTATTTTCATTGATATTGTAATGCAATAATTGTTATGTAAAACAGATCAGACTTCTTTACAAGCTTTGTTAGAACTGGTTAGTTCTATTCCACAATATATAACGAAAATTTACGAAAAACAGTTGTCACGACTTCATAATTTACTAACGTCTACAAAAGTAGATATAAGACAAGTGGCTGCTAAAATTTATGGCGTAATAACTGCCCCACTTCCGGTTAATGACTTCGAAACTCAAATTTCTGAAATTATAAATATTACAAATAAAAAGAATTTGGAAGCTCAACACGGAGGATTATTAGCTTTAACATATATGATGGAAAGACGATTATTAATGTTTAGAAAGAATTCTACAAATGATTCATTTAATTGGGATCTTTATACTAATGTTGTAAAAATAATATGTACGTAATTTTTGTATGTATATATTTAAATGCGAAATTTCTGAATTTTTTCTTTAACACTGTTTAAACAAATATTTTACAGGTAATTTTCTTGAAAGTAGTACAATTTTGTTAATGGATGCTGCAATTCAGAGTATTGGTATTTTGGGAAAAATTTGTGGATTACCATTACCTAATGATGGTGAAGAACAACCCAATAAAAAAGCAATTGTGGAAATATTGTTTTCCACATTGATTAACGCAAAATTAAATACTAAGGTTTGTTTTAAATATTCAAATTAAAATCCAATCCACTATTTAAATTCAATATTTACAGATTAAAGAAAAGGCTGCACTTTCACTAGGATATTTGTGCGTTGGAGAAAATTTTCCACATACCTCACAGATAATTGACAAAATAATTGGAATTGTTAAAGAAGTAATTACTAATCAATGTTTTTAATTACTTTTCCTTTATACAAAATTTGTAATTATCGCATAAAAAAATTTTGAATTTTATTACTTATAGACGAAAGATATTGAAATTCATCTAATTTTGGGAGAAGCATTAGTTTGCTGTGTTCAAGGTGAAGCCTCTCCAGAGAAAAGGGATCCTTGGACAACTTTACCGAACGAACATGAAGTACCTTATAGTAACACCAGTACTGAACTATTTATGCAGACGTTAGATAGATTACTTGGAATGTATAAAGATCCACACCCTAATTTAAGACAGGTATTTATTTAATACTATATTTGAAGTTACAATTTTTTTCATTTTTTTACTATAAATGTTTGTTAAAAGGCGGTCTGTGTATGGTTGTTAGCACTGTTAAAATATAATATCCAAAGAGAATGCATTAAACAAAGATTTTCGTCGTTACACCGTGCATTCATGGATTACCTTGCAGATGACAGTGGTAAGTTATGTAACTGTTATTATGACAAAGATAACTGGATTAAATTATATGTTATCCAAAAATCTTATTTTTATTATAGATGTAATACAGGATATAGCAGCAAAAGGACTTAGTTTGATATACGTTAATATTAACAAAGAAGAAAAAGATTCTTTAGTTTCTACTATATTAAGTCAATTTACACAAGGGCGTAGAAGTGTACAAGAAGTTACACCCGACACAAAATTGTTTGAAGAGGGTCAATTGGGAAAGACTCCAACAAGGTAAGTTAATCTTATAATTACATATTATTTATCCGTGTAACAGTTACATTCAGTTTTATATATAACATATTTTTTTTGTAGTGGCAACTTAACTACATATAGAGAAATCTGTTCTTTGGCTACAGAATTACAGAAACCAGATCTAGTATATTACTTTATGCACTTAGCAAATCACAATGCAGTGTGGTCATCTAAAAAAGGTGCTGCATTTGGATTTGCAACGATTGCAAAAATAGCAAATGAAGAATTAAATAAATACTTGCCAAGCATTGTACCACGCTTGTATAGATATCAGTATGATCCAACTCCTAAAATTCAACAAAGCATGTCTAGTATTTGGCGTGCAATCATTCCATCGACAAGTAAAGCAGTGAGTAATATTACTGAAAAAATATTGTCATTTATTCAATAATCATTTATAATTATATCTTGGACCTTAATAATAGATTGAACAGTATCATGAAGAAATATTAGATGATATAACTAATAATTTAACACATTACGAATGGCGAGTTCGAATTAGTTGTTGCAATGCGCTTGCAGATCTATTAAGAGCAAATGCTCGTTTAAATCTTGTAAAATATGCACCAGAATTGTGGAAAAAATTGTTTCGAGTAATGGATGATATTCACGAAGGTACGCGATTAGCTGCTACGAATACAACTAAAATACTTAGTAAAGTAAGTACTAAAACCGTATATTTACAGAAATAGATTTATTTCACAAACAGTTTAAAAACTGTTATCTTGTCACTAGTACTTTGTATCGATTTGTTAATTTACAGGTTTGCATCCGATATTGTGATTCGTCTCATGGTAAAGACGGAGAAGAAGTACTGCAAGCAATATTGCCTATATTATTAGATATTGGAGTTATTCACATATTAAGCTCCGTAAGATCGATATCGCTGCAAACAGTATCTCAATTGATTTCAAGAGCTGGTAATTTACTTAAACCATCTTTAGTCACTTTAATTCCTGCATTGTTAAGTGCAATTGGCGATTCGGAAAGTCCTAATTTGTCGTACTGGAGTAATGTATGTGGGACGGCAACAGAAACACGAGACGTTATTGATAATATTAGAGCTAGTGCTGCTAAAGGACATTATGCTACTGAAACAGTAACGAAGGTAAGTTATTTGATAAAAAAGATGTAATTACCCAAGTGTTGTACCTTATTAATAATTTGTTTATTTTAACATAGTGCATACAGTACATCGATGCAGAGGTTTTAAAAGAATTAATGCCAAAGGTGATAGAATTAATTAAATCTAACGTGAATTTTGGAACGAAAATTACTTGCTTACACTTCATTATTCTTCTGAGTGTTCATTTTAAACATGAAATACAGCCTTACACTGGTTAGTAATGGTAATAATGTGTCAGTTTGAAAATTGGCTACAAATTTTATAATTTACTCCCTTTACAGGTAAAATTTTGTCAACTTTACTGAATGGATTATTAGATTGCAATTCTGTTGTTAGGAAAAATAATGCAAGTACTATTGGGCATATAGTTGGATCAATGAAGGAATCAAGTCTTAACAAGTTGTTTAAAACACTTAATACATGGTACATGGAACGAGGTCTGTATGAAAGAATTTGCTATAAAAATTAGATTTATATTTAATTATAGAAGAAAAAGTTTTATACCAGTTTTGATTGCAAATTTTAGATGATACGGTCAAGTTTGCAATTGGACAAACATTACAAGCTATAAACAATTATAATCAAGATGTACTAAGAAATTATTCAAATATTGTTATACCTCTTACTTTTCTCGCAATGCATGAACAAAAATCACAAGGTCAGTGTATAATTTTGTAAAATATTCAATATATTTAAATACATGTTATTTATCAATAATATTTTAATAGAGAATGAAAATGCAATTGAATTATGGACCGATCTATGGAACGACATAACTCCAGGAACTGAAGCTGGAATCAGGCAAAATGTTGAACCAATAACAAACATTTTACGTTCATCTTTAGAATCAGCTTCTTGGATTACAAAAGCACAAGCAGCTAATGCAATCAATACTTTAGCGCAAAAATTGGGTAATGATCTTGATGCAACTGTAAGAGACACTTTGTTAAAGGTGTTAATCGATGGTTTACGCGGAAGAACTTGGGACGGCAAGGAACGATTGTTACATGCTCTTGCTACGCTGACATGTAATAGCAAGTATGCGAATAAAAATATTATTTTTGTTTTAACATATAATAATTGCTCTACTATTTTACTATTTCACTGTTTGGCTACATATTTTGCTATTCTACTTTCATTATTGTATCATACAACTATGCTACTAGTTTATTATTGTACAATTTAGATCCTTCTTCATAGATATACCGAATAAATAATTATTATTTTGGTTGAATAATAATGTAGTAAGATAGTAAGATAGTATCACGTGAAAGTTTTGGTCGTCGTTGTCGTTATTTTAGAAACATTATGGTTGCAGGCAAGGTCTTAAAGAGAATGCTGAGATATCTGCAGATATAGTGCAAGTGTTATATAAAGAAACAAAAAAGGAGGCTTTAGAATATCGCCGTCATGCTTTGAAAGCATTTGGTATGGTTTTGCATGAATTAGACGTCGATAAGTTTAAGGAAGTGTACGATATCGCTCAAGAAATTTGGACAACGGTATGTACTATAAAATAAAAGTAATATAATAAATTTTCTTGACATTTTTACTTATTAAGCATTATGTGGTCTAGTTGCCAAAGAAAGACGAAACCGAATCTCTAATATCTGATGAGAGAATGAAGAGAACCGATGACATGGTGAAATTATACGAAGCCATTTTTGAAACACTTGGAAAAGCATGGCCATCTTGTAAAGAAACTCAAGGTAATTGCATCACATTTTATTAACAAATTATAATAAATATGTAATATACTTTATCGAATTTTTGTTTTAGATAAATATTGTATAGAACTTATAACATGTTGTGACAAAATGTTTCCTCTTCAGTCTACAACTATACAAATATCAATGTTAGTAATGCTTAATTTATTTTTGGATAAACTTTCTTTGCTCAAAACAAATTACTCAGAATTGTCAATCAAAGATAAAGAAATGTTGGATTCAATTTGTAACACGCTTAATAATATATTAACTCGTAGTATAGGTAAGTTAAACAAACATTCAAATGTGTTACACATTTAATATTTTTTCTTCAATGTTAATTTCATTCCATAGAAAACTTCTGCTAATTAATATAAACTTGTCGTTATTACAGGTATTTCGTACATCAGGATAAGAAAAGAAGCCTTGAACATAGTTCTGTCCCTTGGTAACAAGTTACGTGATACTAAAAATACTGAACTATTTGATAAAATGACTTTTATAATGCAGAAAGTCTTACCAGAACTAACAAAAGATAATGAACCGGAAATTCGTACAAGACTTATTGATATCAAAGAGATGTTTAAAATATGAAATCAGTGCTTAATTTTAGTATTATTTAATCGATGTTCTGTATCTCTAAAATTAATGTCTTCATTTTCAGTCACTTTAAAATAGAGATGATGCAGACAAATGTATCAATTAATATATGTTTATTTAAAGATACATTTATTATAAATGTTGCTAGTATGAACAATTATTTAATAATATATAATTTAAGTATAACTCTGCTAATAGTTGTTACAGTTTTCTATTTTTTTTTGTTTATTTTACATTGGACTTGTAAGAAAGATAAAAAAAAATGTTTTTACATACACAATTCAGAAACATTTTCATTTTTATCAAACAAACAAGACTTATATTTAAAATACGTGTTTTTATGGGTAAGTACAATATTATACTAGGCAATATATAAATAATAATTATAATTATATATATATCATTTTTTATATAAGCAGATTCTTATGTATGTTAACAAATTACAAAAAAGTTTGACATTTGACTGAATAAATTGTAAGTATTTGTGTTATAAATAAACAGCAGTCATTGAAAGTTATAATTATTCACGATATATTTTAATTTTTGAAATGGTTTCGATTTTTCATATTATAAATTGATATTTTTGTGTCAGTAAGCGTTCGCTTTATTGTAGTTTCTGTAATAAAATTTTAGCTCCTGCATGCGATTTCGATTCTAAAATATACATTATAGGTCTGAGTTTTGAAACTAAAGTATTGACAGTTGACGGTGCCTCATTTTCTAATAATAATATTAACACAAAACATGCTCTATTGTATTTTATCCATTCCTCTATTGTTTTATTTTCTAAATGATCAATTAATGTTTCTCCAAATGTACTTTCTCCTTTCTTTTGCAATTCTTTGTCGTTTTGTATAAGTTTCTTTAACATCATGTGTATACCAGAATGTTCAATTGGTTTATATTCGCTACCCTTTTCTTCAATTTTCGATTTTTCATCGGTAATAAATGCAGCAATGGAATTAAAAGCTTTTGTTAATTTTTCACCAGTGCCTACTTTTAATATGGCTAAGGTTACCATTACAATAGAACTATTAGACATCCAATCTGCTGTATTTGTAATTATAGCTTCAAGAAGTGAATCACAGATTGAATCAAGAAGTTCTTTTTCCCTGATGTTAGCAGGTTTCTTGCTGGTTGCATTGTTATCTCCTTGTTCTAAATATTTAACTATTAAGGGAGGAAAATGATGAGAATCTCTTCTAGCTACTAGATATAATATTACATGTTTTCCATATTCATTTAATGCTATTTCTGTTAGCTCTGTTTGTATTTCTGAGAGTATAAGTTTATTTAACAAAACAGTATCATCCACTGAATCAAATAATGCTAATAATATTATATACCCATGTTCTGACATTGAAACGTTTTTTACATTTTCTTTAAGACATTTCATTATAATTTTCCTATCCTTGTTTGTGCCATTCCATATACATATTACAGCAACTTTTGCACCAATTTTTGATTCAGACAATTCTAATATAAAGTTTCTCAACATAACTATCATCTCTGTCCTATCTTCATTGGAACAATTATTTAAAAATTCGAAAAGAACACAGTGTACAAGAGGACAATGTAAAAGTCCTTTATTCAATATCCTCATTAGATTTCCTTTTACAGCTGTTAATGTTGCTGACTTCATATCTTTTGCAGTTTTAAAAACATCGGATAAAGTTTTGACATTCTTATCCTTAGCCATTTTATACATATCACCATAGAATTCCTGTTTGAGACATATTTTTTCTTCATCTGTTGACCACTTTGAATATATAATTTCTAATATTGGTACAGATACAGAATGACTCATGAGTCTCACTACATTCCCATAACAACTAGAAACAATATTACTTCTCATTTCTGGAGAACCATGTTTCAACATAATCTTAATACAACTCTTTGCATACTTTGATTCAATCATTGATAAAAGTAAAGGTTGTAGCTCCTTAAAAATATCCTGTTGAATTTTGGAATCACTATACTTAAACATCCACTGAATGATACGAGACATATCATGTGTAAGCACCACCCTACTATAATTATTTGTTAATAAATTATGTGCCTTTGAAATTAATTTTGCACGTTTTTTTTCTGAACAATCAGACCTGCGTAACTTTTCACCAATTTGTTTGACTGTAACTAATATATTGTAAATGTTGCTGAACCTTTTGGCTTTGAATTTTTCCCTAAGTTCCTTTTTCTGTTTTCTAAACTCTGACCAGTTAAGTTTTTCCATAGAGTCCTGTTTTAATGTTCCATCATTTCCTTTTCTAAACTCAGTATCGTGTTTGTTGTTTCCTTTACCAGTATTTAATAAAGGTTTCTCATACTTTCCTCTTTTCTCATTGTAAGTCGTAAGTTCATTACTTTCATTTGTTGATTCTAATTCGTCATTTGATTTTGCTTTTCGTTTCCCCATTTTATAACGTTCTAAGAAGACAATACAAATAGAAAAGAAAGTTAGATTATGTTGTTATGTCTTACTAATGCACATAATTTATGTGAAATTATGTTTCTATTTGATTAACAGAATTTGTAGACAATTAAATTCACTTGTTAATCAATTTAAATTTACTTACTATTTTAAATACTTGCTACAATTTATACAAGTATATCGCATTAAGTTGAGTAATAAATAGATTTTCAAATGTATCTAAAATATACTTTTTAAAATGCTAACGAACATAACCATGTTAACACGTGCTATGTTTCATCTACAATATATTTACACACATCTATAGTTAACTTTACGAATTTGAACTGAAAAGTAATACCAATGATTACAAATATAACAAGATTGGACATGTCTTTATTTCTGGAGAACATGAATCTGCGACTCGGAAATGAGCGCTATCTGTTTTATCTTGGTATAAAATTATGAAACTTTAAATTTCAAACTGCATGAACGATTATATTCTTTCGGTAAATTAATTTAACATACTGTTTTATATTCATTAATTATAAATCACAAGTTAGTAATTATTGTAAAATGATAATAAGGATACATAAATATTTTTAAACAAATTTTTATACGTTATAGGAAACTTCTTAATCGGAACACTAGGTACCTCTACATGTGTTCGTTGTATACTTCATTCGTTAAAAGAACATACCCAGTTTGCGCAATGCGACTAGTTCAATATTGTGCTTCTCATGTCATTAATCATATACAGGGATGACAAAAATATGTCTGTTAATAGGAAGAAAAGGTAATAATGCAAGAAATATTACAATATAATAAAAATATTCTAAGCAATTTGCTTATTTTCATAAAAATTAGTAATAAGTCATATATTAATAAATACACCAATGTATATTTATAAAAACTTTTCAATTAATTTACAATTTCCTCAGGCATAGCCAAACTTGTTCTGGATTCTGTTATATTAGTTTTCAATCCCTTCATCTTACATGATTTCTTAATTGTAATTATGAACGGTTATTGAATTAACTTATTTCATGTTTCCTGTAATAATGTTATTAGCATTTGATTGTGTTTTAAGGAACAAGGATTTACAAAACTTTTTGCCCACTGAATATACATGCCTGTATCATAAAAATTAAAAAGTACATGCGAGTTATCCTTAATCATCGAACCAATCAGAACCGACATGCGCAGATCGAACGAAAACTAGTTGAACGGAGGAAACGTTTTTTCTATGAATGAAGTCATGTACATATAATATATACAAAATTGTTTTACTCAACTATATGTTGAATAGTTTAAGATTTCTCGAAAAGTAATTTTATAATGTTTTAACGTACAAACAATAAAGAAACTCGTATAATAATTCAAAGTAAAATATTTCCTATTTATCGAATTGCAAAAGCATATAATATATAAAATTAATATTATTATATACTAAAATATGTAGGCTTTTGTTAGAAATTTCATTCTTCTCAGGTAGTATTATACATGGTATCTCTCCCGCGCAGTGTTGTTTTGAAAATAAGTAAATAATTCTCTCCATGAAAAATCATTAACTAAAAATGAGAAAGCTCAGTTTTTTATGAATCGATGCGTAGATTAAACGATCAGTTTTGTAAATTGTTAAATGTAACATTTTAATTTATATTAATATTATGATTTCTCAGTATACCGACGTACTGATTGTAATTGACAGATTATTGCCGTGTAAATTTTTATCGAAAATGTATTAATGGGACGTTCGTAATTTTTAGATATATATTTAATATATATGTAAACATTAAAGATCTATTAGAAGATTATGTAAAATAAGATCATTGAATTTGTACGTATTACAATTATATTTCTTCATACATGTTATAACTATACAGATACTTTTAGAAAATAATGCATTAATATTATTTCTTTTATACATTGCTGGTTTTTAATGCAAAATTAGGTACTGAACTTTGACACATTTTAATATAAATACATGCATTGAATTTGATAGCAAATACCATGCCAAAGCGAAATAAATCTAAAGATAAAGTGTGTTGCTTTTGTGGATTGTCAGATAATAACGAATTAAAATTTGGAAAGTTTTATGAACATGGTGATATTATCACACATTATTATTGCTTGGTACTTAATTTATATAATACTTATACTTAAAATAAAATTATTTTAAATTGTAACATCAATATTTAAAATGCAGCTTTTATCATCAAATATGGAACAAAGAGGAAATGATAACGAAGGTATTTTAGGGTTTCTTGTAGCAGATATACAGAAAGAGCTCCGTAGAGGAAAAAGATTGGTAAATAATGTTATATAATCTTTGATAATTAATTAACATAAAATTTGATCTTATAATGAAAATATACATTCTCTTTTAAAGATGTGTACATACTGTAAAAAATCTGGTGCTACTTTAGGATGTTGTAATACAAAATGTAAACGTATATTTCATTATCCCTGTGGACTGAGTGCTGGGGCGTTAAATCAATTTTTTGGCGAATTCAGGTATACACTTACATTTTTCTTAATAGGCAATGTTTTTCTTGTAATGTATGTCAACAAGAAGGAATATTACATGTGTTATTTAGATCATTAAATATCAATTTTAAATTTAAGTCTTTGTAAAATGGAAAGAAATAACTCATCATTTTCTTCAGATCGTTTTGTGTGAACCATAGACCAAAACAGAAAATAGATGCTGCAATGAAAATAGAATTAACAAGACTTAGTGAAATAACATGTTATATTTGTTATGACCAAGTGAATCTTGATGATATAACTGACACAATATGGGCTCCATGTTGTAAAAAGAATGCATGGTTTCATAGAAAATGTGTTCAGGTAAAGTAATGGTTTATTGAATATTTAAATTAAATATTGGACCTAATTATCTTTTCATCTAATCAAAATATAAACTTATATTAATTGATGGATGTAACAGACTTTCTAAAGAAGGAAATAAATCTAATATTCTCTGCTTAGTTGTGAAAATTTTAATCATGCGGTTTATTTCCTTATAAATAGAAGTTTTTAAATACACATATGTATGTGCTTATATATAAACTATTTTAGCAACTTGCTATGAGCGCTGGATATTTTTTTAAATGTCCTTTATGCAACGATAAGAAATCATTTCAAAAAGCGATGCTAGAATTTGGTATTTTTATTCCTAGTCAGTAAGTGTAAAATCAAGTTTATGATTTTTAATAAAACACTTAATTAAAAATACTAATTGTCCTAACTATATTTCAGAGATGCATCTTGGGAACTTGTGCCAAATGCATTTGAAGAACTTTTATATAGATATGATCAGTGTGATGCTCCAATATGTCTTTGTCCTAAAGGTAGAAAACATACAAGCTTTAATGCGTAAGTAAAATGTATCTGATTTATATTTTATACAATATAATAGAGATTTGTTTTCATTTTTGTAACTTTCTAATGTATTTAACAGAAAGTGGGAATTAGTACTTTGTCGAACTTGTGGTTCACAAGGAATTCACACGGCTTGTGGACAACTTAAATGGGCAAATCCTACTTGGGAATGTTCAGAATGTACTTCCATATTAGGTCAGAAAAAAAATATTTATTTATAAAATACTTACAACAAAAAATGAAGCCATCAGTAATTTTACTTGAAATCTAATATCTTTTATTTTTTCTTTACTTTATAGATAAAGCCAAAAAAAGTGTTAGTTTTAATGGAGCAGAAAGAATACTACAGTATGTATTATTTATTATAAATCAGATTAAAAATATCGATAATATGAAGTTATTATATACTTAAATACTATTTATTTAAGCAGAAATACTTCTGACTCGGAAGATAGTGACAGTGACATTTCTGTCGGTAAAGAGTCACCTGTGCCATTTGCATCAAATACACCAGTTTCTGATTCTAAACCATATGTGTCAATTATTAAGCAACGTATCGGTCCACAAACATTTAAATTAAAACAACTTGAAGCAATTCAAAAAATTCAAAAGTTAGTATGAAGTAATTATAAAATATGATTAGTTGAATATACTGGGCTAATAAAACGTCGTATAATATTTACTAGTTCACAGTTGGGATGTAGTAGTAAACAGCTGATTGATAAAAAAGTTGATTCAGTTTTGGAACTTAGGAATACAGACGAATGCAGTTCACAGTTTGCAAGTAGTAATAAAAATTCTACCATTGAAGCAAAGGTTAATGAAATTAAAAATATTAATCCTTTAGATAAACATTCCAAGTCTGAATCACTTGCATTAGTTGATAATGCCACTAAACTCAAAAGTGATGATGACATTACAGAGGTAAACCTAAAATTTTCATTGTTCAATTAAATTAAATAAGTTTCAAATACATAAATTAATTGAGCTTATAATTTTAACAATAATTATGTGTCTTTTCTAGACTACCAGTTGCGTTGTATCGAACAGGGCATCTACCATTCCTTGTGTCAAAGAAACTGGAAAGAATGGTTTATATCAATCTAAAGAAACCAGTCCATTACAGAAGATTTCTTCAGTGGTAGTGAACAAATTATTACAAACAAATGATATTAAACAAAGCAATGCTGGTAACTCTTTATCAAATAATATAAACAACACTAAAATTAATAACTCAATCAAGTTTGACGATTTGAACGACACAATAGAATCGAACCAAAAAGTTTTAGATGCTAATATTGACTGTATTTCAAATATTAAAATTACAAATGTAGTTTCTCTAGCACCTGAAGAATTTGAAAAAGTACCATCTGTCAATCAGGGTCAGAAAGTCAGTAATATTGAATCTCAAAATGAAGAGTTAGATACAAATTTAAAACGAAAAATTGATAAAACTACATTGAATTCAACGTGTTTAGTAATAAATAAATCGAAAAAATTAAAAGTAAATGGTAGCACGTGTGAACAAACACAAACACCGTCATGTATGTATTTAGATGGTAAAAATACTTGTAAAAATAATAATAATAATAATAATACTTCTATAAATAATGTTACAATATATACGTCGGATAATAATTTGCAAATGATTAATGAGAATGAGAAATGTACTTCAGCAAATGCAACTAATTTACAAAGTTTACAATCGCACATACCAGTGCAAAAATTGTATGGTAAAAGTGAAAATCTGTTTCCTAAATGCACATTGAAAAATACATCGAATAATCAAACGAATACATTATTTGAATATGAAAGCAAAAGCAACGGATATGTAACATATGCAAAAGACGAACTAAACAAATATGTTAAAATTGATGATGGCACAAGAAACGTAAGTAGTCGTTTTTGTATCTATTATTAAATTAGATTATTACGTTGTTTTAAAATGTTCACTTGCTCACATTATTTTCAATTAAGGAAGTTTTTTGTTATATATTTTGCATTAGTAACAACATTTACAATACAATCCTTGCAATATTGATTCAAGGTGTTAAATTGTAGTTTATGAAATTTAATTGTAACTTAAAAATTTAAAAGTCAATTTCAATGAGAAGTAGGGTATGGGGATTATATATACTAATGAATTTCCCCATACCTTTTCTTCAATGTATAATTTGAAATTCTAACAGTGTGACGGGGATGCAGGCAGAAGTCCTGCTGCTAAATCAAGAAATGGAAGCTTCAGATCTGAGACAAAAACTAATTGCACGGAAGGATTTATCAATTCAAGTGGTTCGCGTTCAGGAGCAGAGAGTTTCATTACAGAACAGTGGAAATCAAGAAAGAATATTCAATCGTAAATATTTCAAATTATTCTCAGTTATAATTTATTTTTTATAAGACTTTCACAGTCTGAACCATTGATTGGTACTGTTTGAAATTTTCAAGTTCAACCATGCCCAATACAGAAGCTATCTACGATGTAGTCTCATTATATGGCACTGAACAGGTTGTAAGAATGGATCATTTAAGTGAAATTCTTTACAGTGCTTGATAGTAAATGTTCTCGTAATGGCTCTCGTCGACGAAGCCATCAGTCTGAATTACTACGAACTTCAAAAAGATGTCATATAAGGAGACTGCATTGTGTATTATGCAATATATCATAAATATATCATAAATTCTAGGACAACTATTGCAACATCGAATGTCAATTCCAAGAAATCAAATGCCACATCAAGCATTGTTTCATCCTCAGAACAATTTAAAAATAGTGGAACTGATTACACTCGATTGATACCAGAATTTGTACGTTTACGTGACTTGAAGTTTCGTGTATATAATTCAAATAATCTGCAGGTAAATAATTTAGCTTTATGAAATACTATTATTGTTAATAAATATTAACGTATTTATATGTATGTTGTTTGTCCATAGATGATTTTATACAATAAGTTTTCTGTAAATATTAATATAGAAAATACAAATGCGTTAGAAAAAAATACTACAACTGAGACATCAGAACAGACAGATGCTCAGCAAAAATTGTCTGAGACACAAAATGAAACTTTGCTAAGTTTTAAATCTGAAAATATTCTGCACAATGTTTCACCTACTTGTAATAAAGATAAAACTAAATGCTTACATAATGAACAGTCCAAGACTTACCATGACGATATAAAAGAGAATATGGATCCGGTGATAGCAGTTCCTTGTAAAAGTATAATAACAGATAATTTACTTACCAATGCAAATTTAACTACGCATAATTTGACAGTTTCTACAAATAGTAATAATCTAAATGAAGAGAAAAATACAATCCCGTGCACGCGCATTGGGTCTAAAATAATTGAAGAGAATAATAAAGAAACCAGTCAAGAAAATAATAACATAATTAACAATATTGGGAATATTTTGGATGCTTTCACAAATCCTACAAATAGATACTCGAAAAGTATTAACAATGTAACGCAAAGTATTCAAAACCTAAATTCCAGTTGCGTAACAAGTACTATAACTGGAAAGAATAATTTATATAATTCAACAAAACATGTTCAACATGCCTTACTTCCTGAGAATCATACAAACTGTATATCAGAAAATAAGGTAAAAAGCATAACTGCCATACAGTTTAAAGTAAGTATTGATTTAAAAAAAGTAGAAAAATTTATTGATAATAATCCAAATTTATTTTCAAAATATAAAAAAAATTAGCAATATTAGAGGTTTTTAAAGGGGTAAAAAATATAGCAGGACAAATTAATTTATTAAACGTATCATAAAAACATTCTAAGAACTTAAAAATATTCTCGATTGCAAATAAAATTGCAATATTATAAAAAATATAATAAAAAAGTACTAATTATTGATTTATTAGTAAAAAAAAAAAGAGTGATAACGCTTTTTAGTAATCATTTTATAATTTTATGTTCTAAGAAAATATTCATTTTAAGAAATTATTAAGACAATGCACTGACAGGACTGGTACACTTATTATTTGTATATATATGTACGTGTATCATTATTGTATGTTGTATCTAAAATTTTAGTAATACGAAACGAAAAATCTGTAAATCTTGTAAAAATATATCGTTACGAATACATACTTATATTTAATGTAATTAACTCATTATATTATTATTATATTATTACTGGCTTAAAAAGTATAATATTTCATTATTGTATTTCTTTTTCAGCTTTAAGTGTAAAACAAATTCTGTGTATCACTCATATGCTTGGGGTACTAAAACTTTCCTCACCTTTTTCACTGTGCACCGTACTGACTTATTATATAGTAACAAAACAAATTTTGTCTCAAAATATTATTTTGATTTAGAAATATAAGTACTTTTAAAAATACCTTACCATTTATTTTTGCAAATATAGAAAATTCAATTTATAAGGGATTGATGTAAGATAAATTATTCATTTTTGCACTTTCTGTATATATTTAAGTATTTTATTTCAAAGAAATTTAATTTATTTTTAAGTTTTTAAATAATACGTATTTTTTTGTTACTAACATTTATTTAAATTATGTAAATGTACTTGCACCTTTTTCATCCGATTTTATTCAAATAATATAAAATCACCCTTTAAATTGTATTTTGTAACAAATGTAAAAGCATGCCTTTTATTATCTCAAACTTTTTAAATAGAAAAATGTCCAAATACCACATTTATCGAATAGAGAAAAATTCAAATTTTCAATCAATGTATTAAAAGGACCTCTTTCTACAATGTTAAGTTAAAAAATTGTTTGTTCTTATAGCCTCGTTGAGCGCGTAATTTCCTATCATTATTATAAACGATATGACATTATAAATTATCTATTAAAAGTATATTTTTAAATTAAACTTTATTACATTAAGCGATTCAATTTTAATTGTAAAAAATTTCAGTAGCTACGACCAAAAAGTGTATAAAATTTCGGTTTGTTTTGACAATCAGGATGAATACATTTTTGTTTTTCTAGTGGTATTGACGAGGTTGGTTGTTCAAATGGTATGCAAAGACCTTTTGCACCCATGGCCAATGCCCCGGGTTCATCTCCTGTATCGTCTCTATAACCGTAAAATAAATATATTGCACACAAGCATAACAATAATGTAAATTATTTTTTATAAAAATTATTTTAAGAATATTTACCGTGCACTACTAGCTTTAATTTTCTCTTCACAAGACGGTTCTCCACAGAATGGTGATAACAGCAGATTTTTCTTATTAAGTTCAGAACAAAATTCGTCCCAAGTATCTGCACGTTTGATGTGTTCATTTAATTCTTTTCTTGCTCTGTTAAAGAATAACATTATTAATTTACAACGATAAATTAAACGATATATGTATCAGATGTTTGTAACAAATTTATAATAATTACTTATTAAGCAAATTCGAGTGTATATCATCCAATAATGTACGCAAAGCAGTAAGTACTTCTGATCTGTTTGCAAGTACTCTTTCAGAATTATCTCTGCGCACAAATGTAACCTGATTCTTTTCTAAATCTTTTGGACCTAATTCGATCCTTACAGGCACACCTTTTAATTCCCAATGATTAAATTTCCAACCTGGGGTTCGATTATTGCGATAATCAGCCTTGACTCTAAGTTTTTTATCCTTTGATAGTTCATCTAATAATTTGTCACATTCAGTAAATAACAATTCTCTTTGTTCAGTTGTTGTGTTTGCTGTAATACCACAGGGTACAATAATAGCTTGAATACAAGCTACGTTTGGTGGCAGTACTAAACCTTTGTCATCTCCATGAACCTGTAAATAAGATATGGAGTTATTTTATTTAAAAATTAATTTAACTACGATGTAATTTAATCATCGAAAGAATACATACCATTATCATAACTCCAATTGTTCGTGTCGTTAAGCCCCATGAGTTCTGATAAACAAATGTTTTCTCGTCACTTTCGGTAGCACCTTCTACTTGAATATTAAACATTTTAGAAAAGTTTTGTCCAAGATGATGACTCGTTGCTCCTTGTATCCCACGACCACTCATTGCAATAAACGCTTCAACTGTAGTCGTATAATCACCACCAGCGAACTTCTCTTTTTCGGTTTTACGACCTTTTACAACAGGAACTGCTAATAAGTCTTCATACACGCTAGCATAGATATCCAAAATTTGCAAAACTTCTTCATCAGCTTCAGCTTTAGTAGCAAAAGCACTGTGTCCTTCTTGCCATAAAAACTCTCTTGTACGTAAGAAAGGTTTTGGATCTTTAAACTCCCATCTCTGCAATAATATAACGTACACATTATATGACCCTTTTGCTATATGAACCTCAGTAGCATTCTTATCTAAACATAACTAAATCTAGTGGCTCGATATGACAATAAAATATGCTTAATACTTACCACTACATTGTTCCACTGATTAAGTTTTAGAGGAAGTTCAGTATCAGATTTTAACCATTTGGCATAAGCGGGATACATGACAGTTTCTGATGTTGGCCTTATAGCAATTGGTTCCGCTAAATCTGAATCTCCACATTTCGTAACCCATGCAACTTCCGGTGCAAAATCAGCTATATGTTCTTTCTCTTTCTCTAACACTGTTCGTGTAACAAACATAGGAAAGTAACATTCTTGAACACCTAATTTTGTTATTTCTGTGTCGATATATTCTTTTATTATTTTCCAAACGGCAAAGCTCCACGGACGAAAAACGTAACAACCTGATACATCATAATATTCTATCATACCACTCTTTGTAATAATTTGAGAATACCATTCAAAGAAATTTTCCTCTTTCTTTACTTCTAGGCCTAATCTGGTTCCAGTTTTAAGTGTATCTGCATCTTTTGTACTTTCACTTTTATTCACTTCCTTACTAGGAACTGTTTTCTGTTTTTCAACTTTAGAAGTATTTTCCGGTTTCTTCTTTTTACTTGATGTATCAACTTTTGCTGGTTTCCATTCCTCACCAGTTAATACTTTATAATCATTTTTTAAATCTAAAAGTACTTTTACTTCTTGATCAATAATGCTTTTCTCTGCTTTAGATGATTTTAACTGTCTTACTTTATCCCCTTGCTTTTGTATGCTTTCCAAAAGTTGATTAGTACGAGTTTCTTCTTTGTTCGATACCTTAGCTTCTGCTGTAGTAGGTGGTTTCCAATCTTTCCCAGTTGCTGTTTTGTAATCAGCCTTTAACGTTAGAAGTAATTTTACTTCTTGATCAATAATACCTTTTTCTGCTTTTGCAGCTTTTAATTGCCTTACTTTATCCCCTTGTTTCTGTATATCTTCAGATAGTTTCTCATGACTAGTCGTTGTATTTGTTGCATGTTCAGGTGTTTTTTTGAGTCCTGTTGGTGCAACAGACGGTTTCCAATCTTTTCCTGTTGCTGTTTTGTAATCAGCCTTTAACGTTAGAAGTAATTTTACTTCTTGATCAATAATACCTTTTTCTGCTTTTGCAGCTTTTAATTGCCTTACTTTATCCCCTTGTTTCTGTATATCTTCAGATAATTTCTCATGACTAGTTGTATTCGTTGCATGTTCAGGCGTTTTATTGGGTCCTGTTGGTGCAACAGATGGTTTCCAATCCTGACCAGTTACAGATTTATAATTCGATTTTAAAGTTAAAAGCTCTTTTACTTCTGCATCAATAGTACTTTTGTCCGCTTTAGAACTTTTTAATTGCCTTATCTTATCGCCTTGTTTTTGAATTTCATTAGATAATTTTTCAATATCTGATTCTGCTGACGTCTTTGTAACTTGTATTACATTTTGGTCACTTGATTTCGACCAATCGTTACCTGTTTTATTTTTATAATTTGTTTTTAAATTTGAAAGACGTAGCATTTCCTCGTTTATCTTTGATTGCAATTCTTTAATTTTATTTTCTTGATCTACAATATCCTTGAATAATTTATTATTATCAGAAGGTGTCGTTTCTGATGATTTATTTGAAACCATTCCTGGTTTCCATTCTACGCCAGTACTCTGTTTATATTCAGCTTTCAAACTCAGAAGCATTTTTACTTCTGCATCTATTGTTGCTTTGTCTGCTTTTTGAGATTTTAAAGAACGTACTTTATCACCTTGAGCTATAATTTTTTCATTGATTACATTTGCATCCTGCACTTTATTCTGAAACACAAAAATAATAAATCTAATAGCTTGTTCGCTAAAATAGAATATTGAAAAAAAAAGGTGTTTCCTTAAACAATAGTCAGATTATATGTAAAATCAATACTCAAATATAAAATATTGCATACATTTTTTTGAGAAGTTTCTTTAACAACAGGTTTTGCTGTACTTGTAGAATGTCCATCGGGTATGTGGAATAAAATTAAGGGCTGCTCCCTGGAAGAAAATGGACTTGCCGGAGCATATGGCACGTCACAACGGAAAAAGCCTTTTCTTTGCAACTGAATTATTTCTCCTTTTTTCACTCGCGTTAATTCAATCTCTCCAATCATTTGTACCTCTCTCTGAAATATTTATTCATTTTATAATATTTATTTCTTGTGATTATTAAAATATCAAAACCTTACTCTTGTGTCTTTTGCAATGAAATCTTTGAAGTCGTCATCTTTTCCTAACACTGGCTTAGTTATTATATGGTCAAAGTAAACGGCATAACATGGGATTAGACTGGTCTTGTTTTCATTATCATTTTTGTTATCAGGTACTGCTAACCATGTAATTTTCAATGTATTTTTATAATCCTTGTTTTCTAAATTTAAATGTGCTGTTATTTGCTTAATAACGCCATTCTCTTTTTCAATTTTTTCTATCATTATATTGCCCCAATTAATAAAAGTAGTATTTTGGCCTTCGACCAACATGTCTGCATCATCTCTCTCTATGTATACATATGAACTTATTAATACTTGTTTAGTGCCCTTTGATAAGTCTTTTGGATGATTTTGAACAGTCAACCATTCTTCCTTCGCATCTTTTATGTGTACAGTTACAAGTTTATCAGAATCCAAAGCAGTATACCTAAAAATATAAGTGATGTATAAATAATTTCAATGAATATTTCAGTGTATACAATTTTCTATATACCTAGTGGCAACTGGGTCAATAACCTTTTTGTTAAATGACCATATTTTATCCCATTCCATAAAAACGACAGCTTTTGAACTACCTTGAGCAATGATAAATTGTTTTAATCCTTCAACGGTCATTCCCCTCCTCAAAATACCTCTTACTGTAGGGAAACGTGGATCGTCCCATCCGTCAACCAAACCTTCACTAACGAACCAGGTTAATTTTCTTTTAGATAAAACCGTATTAGTCATATTCAAACGAGAGTATGCCCATATATGTGGACGCCTCAATCCTAAAGCTTCGATTATCCAATAAAATTGAGCATCTCTGTCATGGTATTCTGTTGTACGTAATGTATGAGTAACATTTTCAATTGCATCAACAATGGGACAGGCAAAATCGTACGTCGGGTAAACCCTAATAAAGAGCAAATACATTTTATTAGAATATATGAATCAACCAGTGAACTTATGAAAAAGTATGTAATAGCTAAAAAGTTAATAGACAAAGATTATACTAAAAGTGTTAAAATCTATAAGCATGTAAAAAAAATACTTGTATTTTGTTCCAGTTCGAGGATGAGGTTCTGGTTTGCATCTATAAATTGTTGGATCTCTCATACAACCATTTGCTGACTGATAATCAATTTTTGCTCTAACACAACATTCTTGACCTTTGGGAGTACCTTGCTGCATTTCATTCCATAGTTGCAGATTTTTTTCAACAGCTGAAATAAATAAAAATATAAATTTCAAATAAACTATTTTTTAATTTAACTCTCTAAACTTTCATACATACAATTGTTTCTGTTTGCTGACATTAATTTTTGATCACGTTGTTCTTTCATAACATGAGCAGGAGTATCATCTACGTATGCATTATTTTCTTTTATCAATTTAGTACAATATTCTAGCATTAAATCAAAGTAATCTGAAGAATGTGTAAATCTGTCTGGTTTAATTTGCAGTAACTCCAAATCTTCTAGAATAGCTTTCTCAAATTCTACATTTTCTTTTGCAGGATTTGTATCATCAAATCTCATAATAAGTTGACCTTGAAATGCTTCTGCATAATACTGATTTAACAAGGCTGCCTTAGCATGACCAATATGTAAATATCCACTTGCCTCTGGTGGAAAACGCACCACAACCTAGTATAAGCATATGCCAAATGAAAAAAAAATACTTTGAAAAACAAAATTGCTATTTTAAACATAAATTACTCACTTTACCCATCTCTGCTCCTGGCAAGTCAACATATTTACCTTCTTGCTTTCTTTGTCCTGTTTGTTTGACAACTTTTTCAGATTTCACAGAATTGCAAGTAGGTAATTTAGCATTTTTTTTAATTGATGATAATGTCTCTGTAACAGTAGGCAATGAAAGCATTTGTTTATACCATCTATTTATATTAACAAACTTTTTCTCAAATGTTGGCAAAAATTCCTTATTCAGAAGAACACAAAATACATGGATATCCGCTAATGTTAACTTTTTAGAGACCAACCAAGTGGCAGTCATCAATACATCATCCAAATATTGCAATGCACTTTCTTTTAATGGAACAGATCCCAAAGGTCCAATTGCAAAAGAGAGCCAATGGTCAACTTCAGTTTTTTCACAAGGACCATTACCACCTAAATAAAAAAATTATAACAAACAATAAAGTTTTATATAGTATGTAACAAAAGCTTAATATTTAAGACAATGCCTACTAAGGAGGTATGATACATTGGATTTTCACTAATGTATCTTTTTATTAATAAGCAAATAGATTTTAACATATTAACATATAAATATATACTTACCATAAAGTTCTAAATATGAAGTTCTAGCAAAGTAACGACCAACATCATTACTCCTTTCTCCCAATACTTTATTTTCATTGTTTACTAATTGTACATCTCCATCACCTTTCCAATCATCACACCAAATTACCTCAATTTTGTCCTTCTTTTGAGAGTTAATTATTTCTGCTACTATCAAGGCTTCTGTATAAGTAGGAGAAATATTTTTTAGTATCATTATATAAAATAAATAGAACTAGTTTAATCTGTAAAAGTATATACTCATTATAAATTGTATATTTTAGAAAAATGAAATAAAAAAATACTTTGACAGATTAAATTAGTTGCATGAAAGAATATTTTTGTATCTTCCCAACATCTGTGTCACATATTTCTTATAAATTATTTAAGTTGTAGATTTATAATACTATGTAATTTACCTGTCGATGGATTTTTAGAATTAACTAGAAGTTTGTAATTCATTTTTCAGGTTTAACTTCAGTTTAAATAGAAATATATTTATTTACTTATAAATACATTCACTTTATAGGTTATACGCGCTCTTCCACGTGCGCAATGGTGTCCTCTTATGATCAAGTTCTGTGAACTTTCTCCGAATGTTTATATATATATATATAAATCACATGTATGATGAAATAAATAAATTTAATTTCGTTAAACAATTATATATTGCATAATATCAATATAAAATTGATTGAAATATAAATTGAAAGCTTTCGTATAAACTGATTTTAAATTTACATAGAATAACAATTCTATTTATTAAAAAAATAAGTAAGTTACAATACTTTTAATAGTGTATTATTATCAATCCTAATTTTCTTGCATTTTGCAGTTGTAATTACTGTTTTATGTTTTCGTTTTAATATTCTTTGTTTAGTAAGTGATGATTCAAAATGTAAGAAAATATGAATTAATACAGTAACTTCAATAAACATAATAAAATGCTCGTATATATTGCTATAACAAATGTTTATTTAAAATCATTAAATATTTATTTTTCCCGCTTCTTACAGCATTTCATCTTAGCTTTCTCTACAGTTATTTTCTTCTCCTTTTGATTGGATTAATTGTAGTGATAAGTTGATTCTGTTCTTAATAATCTGTGGTAAAAACCGCATAGCACTAGATTTTTAGATGGCAAATGTATATAATGTATATACAAAAGCGAAGGATATATATTTATTTATTTTATTTTTTGCATATTTTTAATATTTAATTATAAATTATATGTTTGTCTGTTAATCTGGACCGACATAATATTCAGTATACAACAATATATAAGGGTGCGTTTAAACCGTTTGATTCGAGCGAGCAAATATTCGTTCTTCTACTTCAACGAAATTCGAGCGCAAATAAGCTCTAACACGACTATTCGTGTTATTTGTAAGATTGAAATTTTAATATGAACGAATGCTCTAACTATAAGAATATTTTGTGATTCAAATCGGCATAATTTACATCATAATACTTTAATGTGATTCAATTCGAGACGATAAGGTTTGACTCAATACAATTCAATTCAACACGACGCAATTTGATTCAATGCGATCAAAACGATTGAATACAATATTACATTGAGTGTGTAACACATACACACCAACACACGTGAGGGGAATTGACGCATTCGAATTTCAAATCCATGTTGAAAGTTATCCGAATTATTCAAATATTCGACTATTTGAATTTTTACAATACTAATTTAGATGCTTAATTAAACGATCAAACCGATTAATTGACGTTCTCAAGGTTTCTTATTTTAAATTACAGAATTTATTAAGATTTTTTTTTTAAAATACATGTTGATTTTTATTGAAATATTGATACGTGTTACTAGTCATTATACGCTAGTAGGTTTAGTGTTGAACTACATGAACGTTTGTTTGTATTCAGCTGTTGGTGTAATCATTTGGCTGACCACTGTTCGATGATTGTTTCAACGAGCACGAATGTTCTTGCTCTTGCTCTACGTTTTTGCTCGTTTAGTCTAAACGCCCCCTAACCGAAGTATACGCAAAGGTGGGTCGGTCACCTGGAGATAACTGTAAAATGTCATCAACGAATGTATGTCAGGCATGGATTTGACGCTGTTCGGTGATAGTCTTGGGATCTGCTGTCAGCGTAATTATGTTCTACCAATGTTAATTTGATCAAAAAAGTAGCCACCTTAATATAAAATATTCCGCTACTTAAATGTACGTAGTAAAATTTTATTTAAATAAAACATTTGCACTTTGTTAATTATAGCGTACACTATTTTTTTTATGCAGCACCTTCGTATGGTGTATTTTAAATCTTCGAAGTATTTATCATTCAAAATAATTTAACAATTAATTACTCATTAATTTTTCAATTGTTATTGTTAATATACTAGTTATTATTTATTATGCTGTGATTTATTAATTATTTCAAATAAGAAAATATGTATGTATACTGTATTAATGTCTGGTTTGTAATCAAAATATTAAAAATATTTACAATTTTTAAATATAACATGTAAAATTATAGTTCCCATATTAATCACATACTTCTTATATTATTCTTTTTATACTACAATTATTAAATATGTTTTTTTAAAATAATATTTACAACTAGCATTGATTGCAATAGTTTCTAGTTATTAGATAATATTTTCACGCTGCTAATTTATTAATACATTTATTAGTTGCAGATAATCCAGTTAAAATGGAGGGACCAGAAGTAACATTTTTATTTCAGTTTGGTTTAATTCGTGATACTGTTACAGTTGATAGCAGTATATTAACTCTTAAAACTTTGAAAGAATTTGCTTGTGACTTTATAAACAGTAAATGTCCAGAGCATGGTTTAAATCATTTATTTGAACGATTGCTTTTGTTTAAGCATGATTATAATTCTACTAATATTTTGCAACTTATTACAAATGCAACAGAAGTCATTGATGAAACATTAGTGGAGATTGTTCTAACTGGTAAATTGTTGAATACACATAACATAAATAAATGTGACAATATTGAAATAGTAAAACAACTTGATAAATAATTATTAATATATCTTTTATAGCACAAGTGCCAAATGAAGAAGTTCCCATTCGTCCTCATGCTTTAACTGTTCATTCATATAAAGTTCCAACATTTTGTGATTTTTGTGGAGAAATGTTGTTTGGTCTTGTTCGACAAGGTCTAAAATGTGAAGGTAAATATAATCTATGATACTGTTATATTAAGAACTTGAAATATAAAAAATATTAAAATTATAGGTTGTGGAATGAATTATCATAAAAGATGCGTTATTAAAGTACCCAATAATTGCTCACATGATGTCAGCCAGAGAAGACGTAGTTCAACAATGCTGAATGTACCAAGATCTCCAAGTCAAGGATCAACTAGTAGTTTGACCAGCATTAGTGATGATAATCATAGTACAAATAATACACCTAATGCAAGTCAAAATAATAGTACTTTGGTAAGGCTTCATATATTTGTAAATAGTTTGCTTATATGCTTTTTTAAATTCTCATGATAATTTCTTATGTTCAGACAATACCAAGCATAGTAGCTCCCAAACAATCTCGCTCTCCTTCACTGGGTGGAAGGCCAGTTTGGGTAGAGCGAGAACTTGCAACACGTATAAAAATTCCACATACATTTGTAATACATACTTATACCAGGCCAACCGTTTGTGGATATTGTAAAAAATTATTACGAGGTTTATTTAAGCAAGGCCTACAATGTAAAGATTGTCAGTATAATGCACATAAGAAATGTATTGAGAAAATACCTAAAGACTGTACTGGAGAAAATCCAAGAGACAATACAGGTAACAGAAAACAACTTACTGTTTACATTTTATTATTTTTTTCCTTTGTCTTAAAAATATTTCACGAATATATGTATTTATGTAGGTAATGAATATCCTGATAGTGGTGTTGGTAGTGAACCAGAAGGGAAATGTGATGGTAGAAATGAAGAAGGTGATGGTGATAGCGATATTGAATCTCCATCACCACCTCAACATTCATCATTTGCAACTGATGAAACAAAATCGACAGAGGAGTACACTGTAAAATTATCTTTATAATGAAATATATTACATAAACAAACTTTTTCGACAGTCAATTTTATAATTAACGTTTGTTTGATAAAATATTTAATATATAAATTATATTTATAGGATCAAGTCCCAAGCAGCGATGACGTTATTTGCGATGAATTTCAAAAATCAAGACCATCGAGGTAATTTATGTTTTATTAATTATTACTTACATAAATTCCTCTTATATATATATTTATTGTAATAGTTGCAGTTCTACTCCAAGCAATAATATTCCTCTAATGCGTATAGTGCAAAGTGTTAAACATACAAAACGACGCGGTTCAAAAGTTTTAAAAGAGGGTTGGATGGTACATTTTACAAGTCGTGACCCAGTGGTAAGAAATTAATATACATATACATGTATATAATAATCATTATGTATAACAAACTAGTTATTCAACATTGACTTCAATGATTTACAGAGAAAAAAACATTACTGGCGGCTTGATACAAAAGCTATAACATTATTTCAAAGTGAAAGTAGTTCCAAATATTATAAAGAAATTCCATTAGTTGAAATATTGTCTATAGAAACAGCTAAAACATCTCGTTCGCGTATGTATTTAATGTCATAATAGTTATGTTATATGAAAAAAAATATTAGTGACATTTTTAATCTATTCTATTTTAGAAACAATGCATTGTTTTGAGTTAAAAACTGCCAATATTGATTATTATGTTGGAGAAGATTCTTCATACGGAGATAATTGTAGCCAAGTTCCCTCACCAGAAAGTGGTGTTGGAGCACATGTAGCCAGATCGTGGGAAACAAGTATTAGACAAGCACTTATGCCAGTAACTACTGTATCAGCTAGTATGTATTTTCTTTTATTTCAATTACTTGCACACGAAATAAATAATTGAAAATGTCACATGCATGAAATGAACTGATTATTTTAGATCAAGAACAGTCCACAGAACCCGAAGAAAATGTAACAGATATGTCTCAGTTGTATGAGATTTTCCCAGATGAGGTGTTGGGTTCTGGCCAATTTGGTACGGTATATGGAGGTGTCCATCGTAAAAGTGGTCGAGCAGTTGCCATAAAAGTTATCGATAAGTTACGTTTTCCTACAAAGCAAGAAGCACAACTTAAGAATGAAGTTGCTATTTTACAAAATCTTTCTCATAGTGGAGTTGTAAACTTAGAACGGATGTTTGAAACTCCAGAACGAATATTTGTAGTGATGGAAAAGTTAAAAGGTGATATGCTGGAAATGATATTGAGTTCAGAACGTGGTCGCCTCAGTGAACGAATAACTAAATTCCTAATTACGCAGATATTAGTAGCATTAAAACATTTACATAATAAAAACATAGTACATTGTGATTTAAAACCTGAGAACGTGCTGTTAAGTAGCGACAGCGAATTTACACAAGTAAAATTATGTGATTTTGGTTTTGCTAGAATCATAGGAGAAAAAAGCTTTAGAAGAAGCGTTGTAGGTACTCCAGCATATTTAGCACCCGAAGTTTTAAGAAATAAAGGTTACAATAGATCTTTAGATATGTGGAGCGTTGGTGTCATTATTTATGTATCTTTAAGCGGTACATTCCCATTCAATGAAGAAGAAGACATTAATGAACAAATTCAAAATGCTGCTTTCATGTATCCACCAAATCCTTGGCAGGAAATCTCATCTGATGGTATGTATTTCGTTGAAATAAAGACGTTCGCTTGATACTGGCAATATAAATACGAATTACTACAACTGATGTTCCCATTACAGCGATTGACTTAATTAATAATTTACTACAAGTAAAGCAGAGAAAGCGTTTTACCGTAGACAAAAGTTTACAACATGTGTGGCTTCAAGTAAGGGTTATAACTCGTTTATAATTAATGTTATGCTGATTACTATTAAACGGATTCTTTTCTTCCATAGGACTATCAAACATGGTGTGATTTACGAGAACTAGAAGCAAAAGTAGGATATCGTTATTTGACCCATGAGAGTGACGATGCTCGATGGCTAGCGTATGGTAATCAACGCACATGACAGAACTTCCCGCCTACATTAAACATCGAAACATTGCCAAATAATTTGTCGATATATAAAGGCTGGGCTCGTAACGCTCGAGCTACACTGCGACGTTTTATTCGTGCCTGATTTGAACAGATATATGGAAGGAAGTACAACTTTATCTTTCATTGTAGATATAAAAAGAAACTAATTAATAGAACATTTATAAGCGTATCTTCTAAAACGTTTTACTTAGCGGATAAGAATTTTACTTAAATGATATTTGATTAGACTGCAATATGTAAGATAAAACACTGAACAAAAGATTATAGCAAAAAAGCGATAGCAATGTCTGTATGAAAGTTCTTGAGGAATTTTATGAATCAACTTGAACATGTTTTAATACAGTGAGATTCTCTCAATAAGGTTTCAATGCTATTAAGATATTACGAGAAATGTTTCAAGAAATAATAGATATAGTACAATTGTGACATTTCTAATTATTTTTTGCTGCGAGATAAGTAATGTTTCATGTTGTTTTATCATTTTAATACCGAATACTTAATATTTTATAAGTAATTCATAAGTACTAATCTCTTAACATGAACATGTTCTTCAGCTTAATGATAGAATCTAGTATATAGCATGTTTTATAATTGCGCAAATATTGCTTACAATTCAATAATTAAATTTAAATAGTACATAATAGTATGTACAAGCGTATAGTGGAGTTTCGCTATATTGTCTCAGACAAAGCCGTAAGAGCCGAAAAAATGATAGTCATTTTCTTTCATACAATACTTGATTGTTAAAGTCTTGCTATCAACATATTGCCGCAAAAAATTTAAAGATCTGAAATTCTTTAATTCTTATATTTAAGGAGCCTTATAGCGAAACTGCACTATATATATACATATAAGCTTTTGGCATTTTTTGAAATTTATGACAAAATTAAGATTATGGTAGTAACTCATAGATCTTAATAGATTAGATCAGTATTTACATAAAATTGTGCTAAAAGAACTTTAATATTCCAATTTTTTCTCTAATATATTCCATTTTAGAAATTAAAGACTTTGGCATTAATAACAAATATAAAATTTTCCAATAACATAATTTACTTATGGATATATATAATCAAGAGTTAATTCTGAATTATCAGTTTTCATCTGATGAAAAGTAAGATTGTTATCAAGAAAATTTTCGTAATCTGTCAATATCGTGTAAAGTTGTAAATTATGTCAACATTATTTTCTTTTGGCTATAAAAGAAATCTGTAATATACAGTCAGAAAAATGACAAATATTTGCTATTGTGATAAATTTTATATTAAAAGTAGTAAACAGAATGTTTAAACTATTCGATCATCAATATATAGCAGGAAGATAATGGGTCGTATATTTTAAGTACATATGTTTAATGTTCTATTCCATTGCCAAATAATATTGTTCTTTTTTTACTTTTTATACATTGTTCCACTGAAATTTGGAAAGAAAACATTCCAGTGTCAATTTATCAAATACGAACTAGGTAATTGTAAGTCAATTACCTGTTTTATTTATTTAAGCAATTCAATCATTCCAATTATTACGTATAATTCCAACAATTATTAAACGGAGTTTTTTAATATATTCAAAATAATAATTCATTGATATACATACAGCACGTTCATTATTAGTTTGATTATTCTTTCTCCAGTGTGATTATTAAAATTTGTTAGTTTAAAGAAATTGAGAATTGGTTAATTATAATTATTAACAACAAATTATAATCATTGTTAAAATTATTTATAAATATGATTAAAGTTACAGAAACTTAATAATCCACAAAAGTAATTTATCTCAAATTTAGAAATAAAATATGAACAAAATTAATTTGTTATTACTTAATCAATTTCTAAAGACTGAGTTGTTTTTGAATAGTGATGGTTGCTGTATCAATAAAAATTACGTTTTTATCCAGAGATATATAAATGTTTTTAATGAAATGTGAAAAAAGTATTTCCAATTATTTTTTTGTATGTTTTAGAAGTATTTTATAAATAACAGAAATTGTTTTAATAATTATTGATAATATCAATTAATTATTTGAATCTCGGATATTTTAAATATATTATAAATAGTAAGTATATTATAAATATACTTACTTAAAATATTTAATTGCAAGATACAATTAGTTTCATCTTACATATTTAGTTGAACGTAAGATCGAGTATATGATAACACATAATATGTGGCCTGTATTTTTGGAAATGTATTTTAAATCGATTATTTTAATTATTTTACTCTATAATTTTCAATTATAAATGTTCCATTATGCATTACAATAAAGCAAAACAGTCAATATTATTGGTATGGTAAATACAGTTCTAAATGTGTTATAATTTTATAACTTTTCAAACTATACTTTTAATAATGGTGCAGTCTCATTGTATGGTTGAGATTGCAAAAGAAGAGATAGTTGAAGTAAAGAGCATGTTCTTTATTAGCATGTATAATATTAGGAATTCATAAATTGCTACATCTAAAATTTAAAAACTCCTAAACTTAAAATTTCAGCATTTTTAAATTTGAAAATTCAACCATATAGCGTGACTACACTGTATATGTAAGAAATTTATGCAATGTCAATAATTATTATTATACTTAGAACATTTTATGTACGTTTACAATATCATTACTAATATAATATATAACATGTTTTTACATTTTGCATGCAATATATGTTAAAGCTATCTTTTTTATGATAGGTAAATCGTTATTTGTACATATTCTGTTTTAAAATTTTGTATCGCTTTTATAATATTTTGAATTTTACAAAGAAGTATTCAATTTTATATTAACAATGTTTTGTTCGTACAAAATTATTTCCATAGCTGTGTAACTGGACAAGAAGTACTTAAAAGACAAAATAAGTTGTAACAAATAGACATTAAGTAAAACTAACAATTTTTCATAAAAATATTAAAATGTTAAAACATTACTTTAGTTGTTATGATAATGTGAATAAATAAATTATTAATGAGTATGACGTTTTATAACATTCTGTACCTAATATTAAATTATTTACTTCAAAATAATTTTTATTTCTATTTTCATATACATATTTGTCACTAATTTTTTTTATAGAATTCGCAATATACTTAAAATATAAGAATACACAAAGCCTTAAAGGTAGAAATGGATTAATACCGTTTCTGTGTAATCTCTGTTCTCATTAAACCTAGCAGAACTACTTGAAATAATAACATCCTGGTCAGTGTCATGCTACTTGTTCAGGAACCTTCACAGTTAGTCTCTTTGTGGAGTTTAAATAAGTGCATAATATCTATTCATTCATTTGACAACCAAGAATTTGTGCATACAAGAAATTGTTACTATAATTTATAATTGCATATTACACATGTATATTTTTATAAATATCTGATATAAAAAGATATAGTATTTAATTGCATAACATGTTTATAACAAGTGTAGTATTTCTCAAAATATTTTTGCTGAAATTCAGTTTGACAGAATGGATAGATATGCCCCAATTTTCTGATGACACTAAAGTGTACAGGTAAGTATAAAGTTATTGTAAATACAAGTGTAAAATCATTAACGCATTAATAATTTACTGAAAATTCTTTATTTTATATTCATAGATTAACTACACCAAAACAAGATCAATTTTATAAATTTCCTAAACAAACTACAGAATATTTTTATGCATATCAAAATGTTACTTATATACCAACAGAACAAACTGCAGTTAATGAAAGCACCGAACATGTTTTTCATAAAATAAAAGGTACCAATACTGAACATACAGTTCAAACATCTACTGAGAAGATGGAAAATGTAATAAATATACAATTTGGGGAAGCAGCAATTCCTTTAAATGTCGAGGTGAACAGAACATTATAAATTCTTGAAGTTTTTCATTGACAATTAAATTTTTAATTATTTCATTTAGCTTTTTTGATTTTTAGGAAACAAAGTCAAAGAAAGAATATTATAATGAATCTTTAACTTGCAATGATGAAGACATTTTTCAGTATTTACCAGTGGATATACTTAAAAATGTCCATCAAACTTTAAAGTTGCAGCCTACATCAAGTCAAGGAAAAATTCAATTTTTAAAGATGTTTGAAAACACATTAATCGCTGAAATAGGTGATGATAATAAACGACGGACAATAAACAGAAATTAAAATACATACAAAATTGATTAATGTACATGACATACAAATGTATAATATTTATATTTATTGAATTTTTTAGACTCTCGACTAACACATACTATGATGACCGGTCGAAAGAAACGAGGTGTAGAACATTATGATCACGGTTATGATAATGATCACGCTGCAGGATTTCCTTCTATAGAAGGAGCATTAATGGCTATATCATTTCTCACATTTGCAGTGTATCTTATTAGATTAGTCATGGTAAGTATTTTATTATTAGTAGATGTAATTAATATTTACTTATTTTATATATTTGTTTTTTCAGCTTTTATTCAGAAATATAAATAATCCTGCACCAACTACTACTGGAGCTACTTTGTTTCTTGGTAGAAGAAAAAGATCTATAAACAAATTCGATGAAGATATATCTATAATATTTAAAAACATAGACAATTTCTCTTTTGGGTCTCAATGAATTTTGCATTATATCATATTAAATAATTTTTGTAGCGAAAAATTACCATTTATTACAAAAATTAATATAGACTAGAGCAGAGTTTCCCAAAGTGTGGGTTTTGATCCACTAATGGGTTGTTTTTAATACTTTGGAAATTTAAGAGTTTTTAACTTTTAAATTCTTTAACACCATAAAATAATAATGTTATGGCACATGAAAGTTTGGGAAGCCCTGAACTAGAACAATAACGCGAAACCAATTATATTAAAATTATCACGTATAAAGAGATTCTTTGTTTAACTTATCTTAATACACTTTGGTATATGATCTAAAAATTTTATTTCACACAGTTTATACTTATAGTTTAGCTGCCACAGGTGGTGGTAATGCAGATAACAATACTATATCACGGTATGTACCAGATGGCTTATGTAACGATAGATTTTGTAATTGTGTAAGAATTAATGCTAATTTAATTTTATCAACCTGGTACACACTTTTTCCCCCATATGGTACCAGAATACCTTGTGACTGGAGAGTACATATTGTTGTATTAATTAAATCAATTGATAAAGAATATGGATGTTGACCCCATTCTTTTTTTTCAAGAAATGCTTCTTCTATTTGTCTTTGTGTTTCAATCAAAATTGCTTGTACAGTTATTTGACTTAATTTCAATTCATCCCACTGTAATGAAAAAATATATATATTTAAAAATTCTATGATAAAATGCAAAATGTAATATTAACACTTTTTAGTTTTACCTCAAATAAAATAAGAGACGTAATATATATTGTATCTATAAATGGAAGTATTACATTGTACAAAAGAGAAAATACTTTAATATTATTTTTCTGTACGTGTGTATCATTTTGAATGCTTATACAATCTTGTTTTAACAATAAATTTAATGTTTCTTCCCATTCTGATTTTAATATAGACTCATCTGTTATTAAAGGCATTGCAAATTCTGTACTTAATAATGTCCTCAGTAATACATATCTTTCAAAAGCAATTCCTGTATGTAATGGAATAATATAAAAATGAGAAGTTGTTTTGTATACTTCAATAATAAATGAACTAAATTACTTCAACATTACCAAGCTCGATCTTATCCATTCCTACTGCTACTGTGACAATGGCTGGTTTAATTAGAAACGACAATGTAGGATTTAAATAAATGGATATGTTAATAACTGGTATTGCTACTCTCATTGTTGATTCTGATAGTGTATGCCCTTTGACACGTGTATTGCTTTTTAATTTCGCTGACTTGTGCCTCTCTTTAAGCCTTAAAAGTTCTAATGTGTCAAATACAAGTAATTCTTCATGTGGCTTTAAAGAATCTAATATTTCTTGCTTTGTATTGTGTATTTCACCTGACCTGCATAAAATTGTTTCTACAACAAAAATGACACTAAAATATTATTTGTTAGAACTTACCTCCCAGTGTGTACTGTTATATCAAATGTGTGCAAGAGACTCTTACACCATAAGTAATCAGTGACCAAACTGTCTAATGTGTATGGATCATCTGGATGTATTTGAGTTTTCTCATTAAACAATAAGGCAATTAAATTAAAAGGCATAAGTACTGTATTTTTTTTATGCGAATCTATTATACAATAAGCCAATTTCTCAGTAACAGCCGTTGGTAACTTTGTGTAAGGTGATAATACTTTTGCTTTATAATGTTCCATACTTATAAACTGACATGCAGAAATAGGTTCACCAATGTTAAAAACAACACAACCATAAGCATAAGGTTTTTGTAAAATAGATAAAGACTGAAGAAGACCAGCTGTAGATTCTTTTGGTTTTGGAACCCCCAAAAGTTCATATGCAAATAATAGTTCTTCTGGTGGCCGTTCATAATTAATACTTATAGGTATCAAATGTATATCAGGAACACTACCTTCTAATAAAACTTCCAAAATGATTGATAAAAGACCTATGAATAAAATTATTTTATATTAAAAAATAATTCAACCAAAATATATTTATATTCATATTATTAATTCTAACATACCAAATTTTGGTACTATACTCTTCAAACTTCTACTTCGAGTACCTTCAATAAAACATTCAATTGCTCTATCGCTGTGCTTTACTAATGACATAACATATGCACCAAATATTCTTTTATATAATAAATCATTAGAAAAGCTACGACGCATATAAAAAGCACCTGTTTTTCTTAATAATTCTCCTATTATATACATTTGATAGAAGTCCATTCCACTTGCAATATTTGGCAGTGCCATGTCATAAGAGAATAAAATATATGACAGTAATATAAAATCTAGGTAACTTCTGTGAGATGGTACATAAACATATTGTACTTGAGATATTTGCATCTCTTTCTTGATTTTATGTATAACATTCTCATTTAAATAAATGCTTGAGAAAATTCTTTTAAGTACTTTTGTAATAATTATACCTGGTATATAAAATTTATCTATAATTTAAATTTAACAAATAGGAGATGTACTTGTATTCTTAGATGTAAGAAAAAATCAGGCCAATCAAATTCATTATATGTAAACAATTAGATTTTTCCAAGTGTTTTGACAGTGAAATTTCTTACATCCAATAATACAATTTAAATCAAAATAAGTGAAATTTACCAATCCAACGAACAGTGGCTAAGTGTGCTTTACTAGCCATTTCATGTATTATTACATGAGCTTCTTTTATAATTTTTTTCACATCTACTTTGTCTACTGCAGCCAAAGTGGTGATTGCCAGTTTAACTTTCTCATCGTTTAAAACTGCTTGAATTAGTTGATTCCTGGAATACTTAGATTCTGGTGACAGCTTATGGGGTAACAATGGATCCATTGGTCGAGAAACCCATAGTAAATCACAATCTTTTCGTCTTTCAAACAATAAATCTATAAATTCTGAATGTTGTTCCATACTGAGAGTAAACTATTTCAAATCTGGTATCCTATTCCTGAACCATGTACGATTACGTTCTAAGCGTAGAATGTAACTACAGTCCACTGGTCAATTCATGCTTTATCGAAATCATATTCTCTTCGATTTTGTTTAATTTTTACATACCACGCGTTTTTGTGTACAGATCAGTGCTGTTCATAAAAGAGGCCTTTACGTGTGTTAAACATTTGTAGTACCTGTGTGAGTTTCACTCACTGTTGACTAGACAGCAAATTTATACAAAAGATAAGTAGGTAGACGCTAATCTTATATATTACCATTAATTTGCATCGATTTGTATTGGTCGTGTACACAGCATTGTAAAAAAAATTTATTATTACTTTTCGTTATAAGTTCCGATATGTAGTCGGCAATAATTGCAATTGTTTAAAGATTTTTGGCGCTACTTATTTAAAAAATGTACTTATTAAAAATTTATATAAAATACATGTTTTAGAAATAATATATTATTTATTGCAAACATATGAATTTCGAACCTTTATTATTATTGTAAACTAAACAAATTGAACTTTACATTAAAATTTATTGTTCATTTAACGAGAGAACATATTCATTTTGCGCAACTCTGCTAACTTTAGTAGGCTCGTTTCTACTTTGAGTTGTCGCACTATAATGTGCTTTCAACTCGATCAGTTATATACAGGATGGACAAATATATGCGAATAAAGAGAAGAACTGACGATATAGAAAATATACGAAATAAAAGATCATTGAGTATATAGTTTCAGAATCATGAATTTCGCAAACGCGCATGGGCGTTATTCTTGGTTACTAAGCGTACACAACCAATCAAAGCTAACATGCGCAGAAAGAACAAAAGCTCGTTATTTGATGATTATGGCCTTGCACGAGATGAAGAATATAATAAAATAGAATGTAATTAATGACATACATTATTATTATTGAATAACTTTAATTATGAAAAAGTGAAAGATCTAGTTGAAATAGACTAAAAAACATTTTATTCGCAAATACTGTTTCATTCCATTCTATCATACCTTGCATATTACGTCACATGTTTACATGCTGTGCATGTACATGTGTACACATACTGTATGTACAACTACATCGCAACAAAATAAAGTACTCGTATAGCTTTCTTCTGAGTACTCGATAATAGTGGTTAATGTATGATTCTCTACGTTGAAAACAATGTTGAGAATTTTGAGGAATTCGACAGTATTAGGATTTGAAATTTTCTACATCTATTGAAACATAAAACAAAATGGGAAGTTACGTGAGCAGAATTGCATCAATGTCAAACAATGCAGTGCATTCGGTATACCGTGGACGTAAACGAAAGTGTATCGAGGAGGATGATTTCGATTCTGAATCGGATTATATCGATCGCACACTTCAAACACCGAAAAAGTAAGAGATCTTTCATTGTTCACTCTTAATTTTATATTAATAATCATTCATCAAAGTAGTACTAGTATCAGTAATGCTAAAGCAATGTTTGCATCATTAGAAAAAATAACTTCTTTATTTTGCAATTGACATGCAATGATATATGTTGTCAGCTGATTATTTCATATCATTTCATTAATAATATGTTTTCAACTTTTCAGAAGAAAGTTGCTTACAACAGCACAGTACATATACAAAACATTATTTCAAGAAGAGAAAGGAAGTGATATAACTGTGCTTATGTTAGGAAAAGCATGGAGATTACATAAAGTTTATATCAGCCAGGTAAAATCTTTGTTTAAACGTATTGCAACATGTATGTATTAGTGATAGAATTAAATTCAATTGGCACAGTGTTATGCATAATGATAAGATAATACATGTTCAAGCTTTATGCTTTCTGAATATATCCCATATATGGAGTATATAAAATTAATGAACATTTTTTTTCCAGAGTCCATATTTTGCAAGTATGTTTTCTGGATCTTGGAGGGAAGCAAATGAGACAGTTATCAGTGTAGAAATTGCTGATCCTAACATTACATTAGATTGTAAGTAATTTTGTTAAATAATACACTCTTTTAATGACTAGTATATTGAATGAGACATTTCTTATTTTTAGCTCTTTTGACTGTCTTCGGATCCTTTTATCAAGATGAAGTTAGCTTGGAACCAAAAGATGTAATATCAATTTTGGCTACTTCCACATTATTTCAATTACAAGGATTAATTGACCAATGTACTGACATTATGGTAGAAACAACAAATATAAAAACAGTTGTTCCTTATTATAATGCTGCTGTATCTTATGGTGTACCAGTTGTAAAAACTGCAGCAAAACGATGGTTAGAAGTTAATCTTTTGGGATACGGGTGGTTACACCCAACTTTTTTAAAAGAAATTACACCAGATTTAATGGCCGAGTTGATCGCTAGTCCTGATTTAATAGCCATGCAAACAGAATTTTGCATATACATGATGTTACGTGTATGGTGAGTTATAAAATAAGCAGATATATTTACTTTTACTAAGTGTTAATAAACCATGTTTCAGGCTATTTGTTCACATACACAATAAAGAAGAAACACTTCAGATCGACGAGTATTTTAGGAATCATAAATGGACAAAACCTTTCCTAACAACAGAAGAAGGAAAAGAATTTGCAGCTCCTTTTAAAGCATTGAGGATGAAGTATCTTTTGTTACATGACCAAGATGTTAAAATTTTATATAGTGATAATTTAATACCACATGAATGGTTGCACAATGCATATAAAGAACAGTGGTTACATTTACTAAGAATAGATGCGAATAAAGATCGAGGGTAAGTTAATAGAATTTTATATTTTCTAAATGTATCCTTGATCTATGCTTAGGTTGATGGACATAGTAAAGAATCTCGAATATGTGCCTTCTTTTTTCTCCCCTTCCTTTTTACATCCAGCATTGTGAGCAGAACTTTCACTCTGAAAAATCTACTTCTATATTTGCCCATCCATTTTAGGTATCTGTAATAATTGTCCTACTTAAATCGGTGTAATAATAAAGCAATCAATACAAAATGACGAATATATGAAATCATAATATATTCATGTTTTTATATTATAGACCAAAGCAGATGAGTGAAGAAGAATTTGCTCGAGAATGTTTTCGTTGCGGAAGATGTATTGAAAAAGTTGGTGAACATATTTGGAGGTGGACAGCATTTCATTTTGGTTTAGATTTGGTGGTATGCTTGGATAGTACCACTTTAAGAATTAAGAGGAATCACAGATTAGACACGGACCACATCAAAGCAAATCACAGCAAGCACAACATAATTTTAAAGTATGTATTTGTTTTGAAACTGAAGTATTGATAGCATCTATGTCAAAATTAGTTTCAAAATAAAGACAAAATTTTTACAGGATAAGTCTAATTTCTCTGGATGAACAACGTCAAGTGAAACTTATTCAGAGTTCTGGTATGCTTAGGTTATCCCTTCATAAAAATGAAGAAGTAAGTAATTTTACAGTTTGTTATAATTATACACAATTTGTTATAATGATATTAATTAAACTATATATTTTGTATCTTAGAAACAGGTGATGTCTTTGGATAAACAACTTACTTATCCTTTATATATATCAGTCAACATGCAAGTGGTCACACCGTTTGTATCAACCGAAGAAGAAAAATCAGCCGACATAGTCATATTCTCAGACACTTAGCACTCCGTTCAACATTTTCTCTCGCTAAACTAAATCCCAATGATATACGCTTATTTCAGATAATAACTCAATTGTTCCAATTAATTGTTCACTATGACTAAGCATTCTACAATTAACGCTCCTTAATTCGGATGACAGAATTTTTAACGTAAATTTCGTTACTCATAAAACATTTATATTTTGAAGATATCTATTTCTAATTAAAACTTTTATAAAGTCAATAGTTTCTAGTCGACCAAACGGAATCGTAATATTATCACGATAAGGGAAATTTTGTTTTACAGTAGAGTCTCGTTATATGGTCTTCAACGAAATTCTAGGTACAGGAAAAATTATGAAAAAGGCCATATAAATGGAACTTCTTCGTAAATCTGAAATTATTAAATTTTTTATTTTATATATTTGATCATTTTGCCATATAGCGAGATTGTACTGTATTAATACTCGCTGCATACTGTAACTTGCAGGTTCATTTTGTATAACATAAAATCACATTAGTTTTTTACACGATTATATTAATGTTATTAAACAGAAATTTTGTTTATATTTACAGAAATTTTAAATCCACAAGAAAAATTAAATTCAGTGTTAGATTATTTACAGTTGAACATTAAACTTTTAAAAAATAGAGTGTCATATACAGCATCACAGTATTAAAGCCATTTCATTTCACACTACTGTTTACGCATTTATACATTTATATCATAATAATGACACTAATAACAAACTAGAAAAATGAGAGTGTATTGTTGAATTCAGAGACACGCTGATCGAGTGGTTTTGTGTCTTCCAGCCAGTCATCGAAACGTCGACCTTCGTGCCTTGTGAATATTAATCAGGAAACAAAAAATATTACATGGAAACAAATGCAGATATTTTTTTTACTGTTAAACAGTAGAAATTTTTATACAGAACTTTTAATTTTAGAAATGTCTATTACATAATAATAATCGTTTCAATTGAAACGATCGTGTTATTAACGTTCCTTTGATTCTATAATCAATCTATTTTATATGGTGCTATTGTCTAAAACGCGTGAAATTTTATGATTTACTTATTATGTAGAGATTATACATAAGAAGCTACTTATAAGGGAAGTATGTAACAGAAAGTATAACTTTCGGAACATCGATATAGTTCAAATTTAACATAATTATAAGGGTCCTAAAAGTAATGGGTTGATAGTTAGTGTATGAATTTTCCCTTCATTTTGGGAATAAAATTGCACACTAAAATTATGCAGACCCATTACTTTCCGTGTCTTCTGTAATTGTATTAAATTTAGACTAAATTGATGTTTCAAAGGTAGTGCATTCCCCTTTTTATCTTAGTTATTAAGATTTTTCTCCAATTAATATGTGCTGCCAGCTTTACATTAACTACCTATCCAAGAAATGTGTGTTCTGCATAGTATTTGTGGCATTTATAAATCCATTTCTTACCTTTGTTATTTTGCAATCATTATTAAGTATCATTTATCATGAACGCATTATTTTATATTATTGTGTACATCCTGGAACACATTACTAATGAACGCATCACGCGCATAATCATTTCCGTTGTACTGAATTAATTATAGATGAAGGTTATATGAATCACTGATATATCTAAAAAAAAACAGCATTTATTTATGTTCACTAACATCAAAATCATTAAATAACAAACTAAATTGTAGTATAGCTTTGATATAACATTGAGGGAACAATGTACTTTACCTGTATAATTATAATATCTATAGGATCAATCTAAATTGAAATCTTTTTCTTTTGACATTATTTTATTTAAATTACTATCTAGACGACGACAAATCAATATTATCAGAATTTCATAAAAAATAATTGAGAGTCCCTAATGTATATGGAGTTCCATTTTGATTTTTTTTCTGTTTGATTTTTTGTAACCATTCAACACTTTATTGGCAGAATATTCTCTGTACATAGTGATCGATGTGTACAATGCAATATTAACATTAGATGACAATAAATATAATAAAACAGAACAAATTTGAAGTAATCTCTTGATACCTGGGATAAATTGTCAATTAAATGCAATTATATGTCGATGACATTCTTTGTTCTTTTCTCGATATGCTTGAACAGGGAGGGCAGTGATGCCAGTAGTTTTATTCAATTAAAATGTGACGGATGATTATGGACGAATGATATGTACGAAGCGGATTTCACTTCTTACAAATTTGAAACGGGTACACGCAGAAGTAGTTTCGTTACATTCCACTTCGTCTTGGGGGCGCAACATTCTTTAACCAAGTTGCACGTTAGAAGGAAGAAGAGATCGAAAATGTATCGGTATTGTTTTTCTTTATTCTTCAGGCGTCATAGTTTCTATGATCATTATAAATTATAATTACATTTATTTGGAAGCATATCAACGAAAAAATATTTCGATGGTACCTGCCTATAGATCAAGGATCTGTCGATAATCCAATGCGTCGAGTTAAATCGAAGAAAGCCCGAGAAAATGAGGTTGGCTCGAATCTCGAATCGAATCAAAACAAATGTTGAGAATCAAATTTACAAATTTTCGAATTTGGAAGACAACTGGATATCGTTATTTTTGAATATCGAATTGAACATTGCGAGAATTCGTTACAACCCATTCGATTTTCTCATATTTCATTCGAAATAGTCGAATTTCAATCTATTCGACTTTACTTAACCCGACTTTAACTTGAAACATCCATGCTATAGACGTAAGTAGATACATGTGTATATTTCGTTCAGAGCCGTTCCTAGTATTGCACATCGAGCCGATTTAAATTTTCGAAGATACTTTTAAAAATATATGACCATAATTTTTCGTGTTTTAAAGTCGTTTCAAACTATATTCTTATATTAGATGTTAATATATTATATAAAATACTTTGTTATGTATTATACATATAACGGAAATTATTTTTGTTAGATACTTTACAGTTTTATTAAAAACATTATATCATTATTTCTCTGTAACATCGATTTTAGCTCAAGAGTCCACAAACTCTAGGGACAGCTCTGATCTCGTCATCGTTTTGAACTAATTTTATGTACATCATGCAAATAAAAAATATAGCATAACTCGAGACAATAATTCTATTTTTTGAATCGGATGTTTTAAAAGTTACCTTACAGACGAATAACTATACACACAGTTATATGTTCGTGTTTTAAGCAAAAATAAAGAAGTAAAACATCGCTATTTTCAAATATTAATTTCTCGAAATCTAAAGCGACCAACTAACTAAATTAATTGAGTGGAATGTAACGAAATATTTGTCGTCTCTATTATTTTCGTTCCTTATTCGATTTATTTGTTTCTCACTTTTTGGTTTCAACGGAAATTCCTGCTGCTACGTTGGATGGAGTGAAGAAAGAAATTCAATATAGGCATATTTGAAGTTAGTAGAAATGTGCGGGTAATCGGAATAATGGGTTCGGATTGAATCGGAAAATGTCGGACAAGATCGGAAGTCCGAAAGTATTAAGCTCTCAGATTTCAAACCGATGAATCAAATTACACGCACATCCCTAATTATAAGAATTATATACGGTAAAAATTGCGACACATAGAACTTTTAACAGAACGTGTACCGAAAGGATGCGAATCAGTAATTTCAGAGATTACAAACTTCGCGTGCTCCCCCGCAGTTAAAACAGAAATGGATTTTAGATGGCCAAATTATCTCAAGTTTATGTTGATATTAATCATCTTGATCCATTACTCTTCCACTCCATACGATGTCAAAACGTTTACCATCGTTCCATCATGCATTTTATCACGATCAAATAATAATAACAATAAAAATATTAACAATGATGACAATAATAATTATGTTGATTCAGTAACATTAGTTGTAGTAACATCTGAGTAATCGTACTTCTGATAGCAGGACTTACATATAGATTGTGCGTTCCGTGAGAGGGTTAAAGTTGACACACATGAGAGAGAGTAATAATCGTGGTCGTTTCCTCTCTGTTTAATACAGGCATATCCAAAGTTGTCTCTCCTAAGCATCCTCTCTATCATTCGTCGTTATCAATATATGAAGATTTGACTACATCTTTTAAAGGAGGCTTATGGCAGCCTCCTGAACATTTCTCTAATCACATGTGCTTACTGTACACATTGTACACACATGCGTTCTGTGCGCGAAAACAGTTTGAACAGGAAACCGACGCGCTTTTAGAGGGGCGCCATGATTGAATAGGCGTGGCCTAATACGCGAGTAGGTGGGGGGACACGCATGCGTGCGGTGCCCTTACCCTTTCCACAGCCTCTTTCTCCCCACCATTTGTGATGTGTGGGTACAGGAGAATCACCACTGAATTATCTCTATCCTTTGGTGTCAACTTCAACTCTTTCGAAAAAACACGCAACCTATATCAGCCTATAACTGACAATTATGACAGTAGCAGCTGCAATGATGTTGTAACGATGGTGATGACATGACACGGTGACAACAGCGGCAGCAGCAATTAAATTAGGTACTGCGGTGAGACATGTATTCGCCTTATTTTTTTTTGTCTTGTTAGTAAGCGTTCTACTTTACCCTCTACGTTTCTCCATCAACGATTCTACATCGTTACGATTTCATTTACGACTCTTTTTTTTGTTATTTTTTGTAATTCGTGTTTTTACTGTTTTCTTTAGTTGGCTACGGTTCAACAAGTAGCAACATAAGATTCTTGAGGCTTTACGGCCAGGATTGTTAAGATGATACTTACCAAAAGTTCCCAAGCGTGAACCGTATTCTTATAAGATCCTGATGAACAAAAATCCTCAAGTGTACGATCCACGACTGAAAACTTTTAACAAGTTTCATCTTAATAGCAACATTTCGTTTCTTAATCGAACTATCTGTATAATTTAGCGTTTCTTGTTTCTCTTTCACACTCGTACACGCAACAACCACGCAATCGTGTGCATACGCACTCGTATCATACATACACACACACATGCACGAGTCAATTGTATTCCATTCGCGAGCCTCCGCTACCGCTTATACAGCATTTTATTGCAAAAATCAGCGGAACACGAGTCGCAATCGTAATGCCGGATACTTATTCATTTTCATCGAAACGAGGGGTAAAATATATTACGTATCGATGATATGTGTTTCATATATTCTTCTTTAATTCCCGCGTCAGCATTAAAATTCTGTACAACACCAGGCATCCACGAAAGCAACCCGACGTTACTTCTCTAAAAAATAAGCTGTAGTATCCCTCTTGCGTGCAATTCCATTTCTGCTTCCTTCCAATAAAATATAATATATATATCTGTAAATATAATATACATATAGATATATATCTATATCTGTTTAGATATATGTCTATATCTGTATAGATATATACATGTGTATATATATACAAGGCTCTCCCGGTTTGGTAGTTCAACCAAAATCAGTCTAAATCTGCGTGAAAAAGCAAATCGAAAATATAAAGATTTTTCAACATCGATTTATTCGTAAACGAAGCCTCGTACGAAAAGATGTCACTCTACATTTTCAACTTATTTTTCCCCATAGATGCGCAGCCGTTTTGGTTGAACCATCAAATTGGAAACACCCTGTATATCATTTGTTTTGCAGCAGCGTACAAAGTGCGAACACATCGCAATACCGCTACTTCATATATCTATAATATATTATATGCATCCTCGAGGTTAGTTTCTCCTCCACGTAATTATTTTTTACTTTCTACGCTTATGCGAGAAACGCTGGATGGTTTCACGCGCGGAGGCCGTGTGTGTGTGTGTGTTCTCATTATTAATTCTTCTTGAAGTGTACTACTGAAGTACGCTCTCGCGTATCTGGCAGTTTGTATCACCGTTAGAACTACTGTTTTGTAATTTGACTATTTTTGCGAAACGTTCGAATCCCAAAACGGTATATCTTTGTGTTTTCTTACCCTTTTGATCAAGCGTCTCGTTTTAAAAATAACAAGTGACAATAGCCGTAATTTCAATCAACTCGTTAACAATCTCGTTTCCCGCCGATTCACGTGTTACAATAATTTGGAATTTCTTTCGTTAAAGAATTCATTTAAACAAAAGTAAGAAAGATTCAGAATGAAAAAAGATTAATGTTCATCGCGAGGTCGAAGGTCGCCGTTTGATCTGTACGTTTAAAATAAGGCGGAAATCGAAAAGGAACGAGTTGGGCCAGGTTCGAACGATCTCTATTAAATCGTTGGTTCGGTTTAGGCGTTATGTGTTCTTCGCTGGTTGCTGAAGAGTTTAGGCTATGGAGAAGTGTGGCGAGGTAAAGATGGATACTGCGATCGGGTACGAAAGAAGCACACTCGGCATTGCCAAAACGACCGTCAACAGGGACGTTAACGGCAGTAAGAAGGACGGCGTGCGGCTTTCAGCCGAGTTGCATAGATCACCGGTGCAGGAACAGTAGAGTGCTTGAACGTCGTGGGTGCCTGATCTTTTCAAGCATTGGGCATTGTCTCTCTCGTCCGTAATGTATCCGCAACCTCTGACAACCCTGATCTTGCCGTACACTGGAAATTAATCAAAGGCAATGTTACAATAGTCCATAACTTTTAAACGAAATTATACCTAATTGTAAATCAATTACATAACTTTGGTTTGTAGCGAACTTGAACAAAAGTGGAGGAAATAACTGAATCAGTAGCGTTAAACAATGTGTCTACTTCTCTAATGAATGAAATTGGAGAGTGAGTATTTAGTATTCACTTGTGCAACGGCCTGTATCTTATTACCGTGCTTTCCAGATATCCCACACCCTCATGACATTGATAGACCACTCGTGACATTGTTGTTCTTGTCACATGTCCCACTGGCCTCTAGAGACCTGTTACCATTTTCGTGTTACATCCTACCGCACTAATTAGCGTTGGATTCAATCATACAACGCCCTTCGTGGATGAAATTATAATTAAGTATACCGACAGGCGACATGGAACAGAAGAGTATAATTTGTAACTTATTTTTAAATAATAAGTACCACTATAAAATAAAAAGTCAAGAGTGTATTGACATATAACAGCAATGTCTCATATGTAATTTCGTTTATAGCGTTGACTACTTGCATTTACTATTCGATTAAACTCGATCAATTTCTTTGAAGTAGTTTCCACAAGCATTGTTCTAAAACGTAGTGTCACATAAAGCATATATCAAAAATGAAGTTTTAAGCGATGTCGGTATTTCAGATAGTGTGACAGGAACAACAGTACCATAAGTGGTCTCCTCTATATATCGTCTGTGCCCTACAAAGTATTGAACTTGAAGGAAGTTCTACATTCGGGATGCAGATGGCACCGCCTAACTGAGGCCATGTGCGCGTATTCCCCAAAAATATGTTAACGGATTTATGAAAGGATTATGTAAGCCATCGTTTAAGAAACTTATTTATAACTTTTGATATTTTGCTTCACATTGTCATTACACTGAACAAATATTTCAATGATATTGGTAACTGTAAGTTTCAGGAATCGAAGATACCGCAATGCAGGCAGCCATTTACCGTCATTCAATAAAAAATACCAATATCAGTCACTTGAACTCTGAAGTTCAGTTATGCAATAGGGAAGTAGTACATTAAATATTATGGCGCTTTTTAGGATAGCTTTTCTAAAGCAATATCATGTTAACTTTTATATATGTACCTTTCTGACTGATTTTCCGACACAAAGTGGGTTGCAAGCGGCTCAGATGTTCCAAAGGTGGCTGGAAGCTGCAGTTCACGGTTCCAAGACTGAACGGATCGAAAGGATCTCCACATCTTGGGTCGTATTCGCTGTTGCATTGGTAGCATATTATTGCCTCACCTGTAAAACAAATTGATTTTACTCTATTGCACTCCTTTAAGTATTGTTTATCAAATGTATTTAATTTTAGTTTGTCACTGAAATTTTGAGACCGAACTATTGATTAAAATAAGGTAGGTCAGCACTTGGGGAAATTAAAGAATTAATCTTGAAAATTATGGCTTCTTGTATACTATCCATATCGCGTGCCGCAATTCATTCAAAACTGGGACACTAATGTGCCAAATGCATATGGTTACTGTAGACCAGTTTGTACGTTTGTCCACAGGGATCAATATACACAATTATACAGTTTTATAGTTTAAATAAGCAAGTCTTCCGAAGACGAAAAAAAATTATTAAACAGAAAAGAAAATGTTTAGATTAAATTTAATATTTTCATACGGTCATAGTTTATAATGCATTAATTTCTTTTAATGATTAATAGAAAATTCATTTTTATTAACTACGAGTTTGTTTGAATTTTGAAAGTTTGTTTCACGCTTGTTCCTTGCAAGCGCCAGCGATTGGCTACAGTCCTGCCGCGTTGTGACGTCATAACGCAACCCCATTCACCCTCCTAAGTCTGGTTACAGCACCAGCTGATATCGAGCAGGAAGACCCCGTTCAATGCGCGTGATGACCTACTGATACACTCGTACGAAAGCCAGTCTATATTTCCACTAGTATATACGTATTTGGTATCAGGATAAATTGTAACTATAAACGAAGGAAATTATGTCAAGAATATATCACACTTTTTCGTTAACGTTCCTTTGCAGTTTCGATTCGTTCAATTCATACGGAGCATGTACGAAAGTATGGATGAGACGGCGTGACACCCTGACCTTGGTCAAATTCTGCAGGCTGTTTCGCTAAGTATAGACGCTGCAAGAGCTTTTTGTGCCACTAACCATTCAAACAGGGAACTTTCGCCGAATCATTAAAGAGAACGAGACGATATTCTAGAATCTAGAACGTTAACATTAGACAGACAGGACTTTATACATCTGGAAGAAATACGCTTCTTTAGGATAAAGACATCCACTTCCCATTTTGAAATTTGTAAATGTTACGTATTTTCATTTGGACTCAATTCACGGTCTTCAATTCATAGTAAATATTCGGCAGGTATATAATTCTCCCTAAAAATTAAGAATTTTTGCATGATTTCCAGGTTGGAGAAGATTTCAGTATCTTAAAATTATTGGATTTGACAAACCTCTTCTCTATATGGCTAATCTAAACTATCAACAATCAATGCAGATAGCAGAACACTCGATTAACCGTAAAAGGTAATTAGATAAATTTTTATACAACTTTGCAGAGTCACTGAAAACCCATCGAAGCGTAAAATTAGTTTAATGAGCACGGTCGATTGCACTCTGATCACGGGAAGACAATCCGTTGCCGGCTCGATTAAAGGGGAAAAGCCCGTGAAGCAGCAGTAGTGACAGCCATCGTGAACAGAAGTCTTTGTACTACTTGAACGATGGCATAAGTGTGAAAACATTGATTAGATGTGTGTATGTGTGTGCAGGAAAAGCTCTTCAGTGACATTTGAAACCACACGAGACGTTCGATCAGCAGTAAATAGGACAGGGTAGCTGGGTTAGACGGTAGAGGCGAATCGCGTGAGGACCAACAAGCGCTGCGTGACATTGCAGGTCCTTATGTAATCGACAGGAACAAAAAGGAAGGAAATGGCTGGGCTGCTTCTTCCTCGTTGACATAAAAACCGCCTGCAATAAGGAAGAATATCAGATTCCGTTGTTTCTTCGTAATTGCAATTTTAATGTTTGTAGAAAGTATTGTGGAAGCAATCAATACATGCATATTGTCAATATCTCAAGGTTCTTAACATCGAATGGTAATATTATATATATTATTCATGAATTTAGGAAGTATACATTTTGGAAATTTGAAAACTTGATAATTTAGCTATTTGGAAACATAAAAATTCAGGGTCAATTTACAGTACTAAAATAGTGACAATACCTCCTGTTTATAGCACTTTTGCAACTTTGTAATCAAATTTGAACGTTGAAGCAAAATCACGAATTACGTGCTAATTCAATACTTCTAATTTGCTGAAGTATATCTGAATTAATAAGGATTTTATTGCTACTAAGGCTACTTTATTCTGGAAAGATTGCTCTTTTCATTTCACATTCTTCAATGCACTTGGATGATCCTGTTTCTGAAAGTATTCGATATACTTTAATTCGATTTATGTAATTAAATAAGCAAGGTAATGAGTTCTTAATGAAATTAGACTGATAATTAAGCCTTTAACGAAGTTTAACATTCATTAGAGATTTTTAAATTGTAGGGCGTTAAAGGATGGTTATAAAGCGAACAACGGTTCAATTGATGGTCCTTGTTTTAGTCAAGTGCTTACTTCAGAACTTTCTAAACTTTTATGGACTGCAGACCACTGTTGCAAACTGTAATTTTTTATGGTCTCGTTTGTCATGCATATTTTATGTGGAAAGAGAGTTTAGATAAAAAATATCATTTTTCAGTTTTAAAATGCTTTGCATTTTAAGATTCATATTTGGATACTTAACGCGACACGCTAAGGGGTTGGAAATGTGAAGGTATTCGAATAATCTAACTTTGATTGGTATTTGAATATTGCTTACAGCTCTAGTTTCTGGTCTAGTTCAACGGAACAACGAGTAGTACAAAAATGTGTACCGAACACAGCGATTTGTTCAAGAGATTTATTAAAAATTCATCGATAAGACAAGGTTAACGCGAGAAACGTCCCCTTGATCACGGTGCCACGCGGTGCAGGGAGAATAGAATTCGGAGAAGGAGAGTGTGAGAGAATGCAGCGGGAGAGAGGGGAGAAAGTGGGTCGCTCGATAACCCTCGCGGGGGGACAGGTTCTATGAACCAAAAAATCCTAAATTTTTAACAAATTGCATTAAATAGCAAACGATAATCATGAATCAAATACTCCCTATCGTGTCAAATCTCTCATTCGTGTCAATTTCTATCATTCTAGCAGTACAATACTTGACCCGGTAGCTTTAAGTTCGACCTGTCGTAGAATCGTTCCTTTAAGGTCAACCCCTAACGATTAAAGCCGAGTTGCACGCAACAACGCATCCCTTACATCACTTTTCAAGTTTTGCATTTTTAAGGTTATATTCGATTGACCTATTTTCAGAATTAGGCTAGAAATTTGTTGTTTAAAGGAATATGTCTTAACTCGTTTACTATTTTGAGCTCTATTATCATAATAAAGCGGAGGTGTATAAAACATTTTCAAGCTTACAACATAGATCTTTGTAAGGCTTTGACTTAACGTGTTAAGTCGTTCTCGCAATTTCTTAAAGATCATTGCCTCTGAGAAATGTGCTTTAAAATATAGTTCAGATTGGAGGTATTGAAATTGTGTATCTTTAGAATTTATTGCTGCAATGGCAACAGAGTTTTATACTCTATCCTTGATTTTAGTTTTCTTTTGTTCTTCTAGATTTAACTTTCAAATTTAACCTAACCTATAAAATAAAATTTAATATAAGAAGATGTTCTACTATTTCAAAATACAGTGACACAAATTTTATTAGAGTTTCCTAATTGTCAGTATGTAACATCATTTTTATACGTACATTACTAAAAGACATAATAATTGGATCCATTAAAAAGCAATTTACATCTATCTGTAAAAAGAATGGTGTATAATGGATTCAACGTTTTTTTTTATCCTTTGTAATTCATTTTATCGTTCTACATTTCTTCCTGCATTATTTCTGCGATTGCAGAAAAATTGCAATTGCTTTATTAATGTCAGGAGTTTATCGATCACATACCGTGAAAAGAAATAGTCTCTTACAAAAAGTCGATAGGTTTGTATCGTATCGTGTTATTGCAGCACTTTCAAGTTTGAAGTTCTACGAAGTTCTTCCCTTTAATAAAACGACCTCCATAGCTATTTCGTCCCTGAAAATGTATGCACTCAGTTTATAAACTAAAACTGGGTTCTCTATATTTGATTGTTCTTTAGGGATGATAAAAAAGAAAGTGGATTATACGTCAAATCATATGTTTAAACGGAAATGACACGGGTGAATATCGCGATATCTCGGACACTCGGGCTTCGGGCAAATTCGGAAAGAATCGGTCGAGATATCGGCAACCCGAAGATTCGTATATTTCGAAACAAAACTTTTAATTCCCAAATTTCAAAAATTCTATAGTTCTTACATTTCCTTTCTAAACTTCCAATTTTTCAGATTTGAAAATACAATTTTTATCCTCTTGATATCGTTATTTTCTCCAGGGAAGCCTATCGAGCCTCGCTCGACTTTTTCTAACCGTACCAGATCCCTTAGCCGCACATTTCGAACCACAAATGTTTCCAGCGTCCTTGTATTCAAGGTTCGTACTCCATTTTGGTATCTCTTTTCCATAGTTTCAACATTTTTCTTCAACGTACGTATTTCTAACTTCCGGTAACCTGTTTCCTTTCCACGCGATTTACTTTTGTAATGAGATTCAATTTAGAAATTGAGCACACTCCGTTCCGGACAAGCGACGAGGAAGTACCACAAGTGCAACTATTGTACGAGTTCTCTGGCGAACATCTGGAACATCGTAATCCTCTACAGGACGAGCACCAATGTACTATCTTACTTTCTACTAATTGCCCTCATTTACGATAATTCTGCCTAACGTGATCTGTAACATAACCTACGAAGTTATTGATCGATCCTGCGATGCAGAAAATTTTCGAAGTTCGATAGCTATATCGATAAGAGTTGAATCGAGATAGTAACAGAGACGCGATGCAGAGTTGCAACGAATGCGGGTGATGAAAAGTCTAACGTACCCTTTTATGTAACTCAAAATCAATATCGTGTCTGTTTCAGTAACTTGTTTCCTGTTCATATGACTTATATCTCGTGGAAGAAATTATTAATTATGTTTTAACAATGTAAGTGTTAAAGAATTTGTTATAAACTGCGGGTTAAGTTAATGCCGTACTTAACCGTGTGCATTACTGTAGATACGATGTATGTACTTTTTCCATTAGTACCGCATTGCGCTTTAATATGCGCGGCTGTTTTAAAAACCCATCTCGTTTGATTAACCTATAAATACTTGATGAATGTCTGTTCGATCAATTTGCATTCATAAAAATAAAGAAGAATATTGTTACGATCTCAAATTGATTTTCTATCAAAATTGTATGACTGATATTAATATAGCGAAGTACTAAATTCTAAGAAAGTAGGTAAAAGATAATAAAACTAATGCTAGTAACTAGCTACGTTTTTTACGTATTATACACATTCGTGTGCACTTGTGTGGGGGAAAAAATCTTCGTAGATCGATCGGTAATGCAGTAACAGGATCAGAAACTAGGTTGCTAAAGCAGAACTTTCCTTCTTTTATCAGTGATTCTAGATCAGTTAAAGGGTCATAATTATAGGTAATGACGGAGAAAGAAAAGTGAGGAAGATTGGTACTCACCGTGATGGATGGACGACAGCAGAACCACGAGGACGAGGGTGAGAATCGGTGCGAGACGGTTTGCGATCATGATCACGATCACGATCACCGGACCATGTGTTTCAGTCAATCACGTTGCAGTCAGTCACTTCGGACGTGTTGCCTCCACCCTCGCTGCATGGAAAGTTTGCACGCGGGCTAATCCTACCAATTGATCAATTTTCCTTTTTTTCTCTATTGCAAAACTCACTTGGAGATTTGAAGAAAGATGAAAGAAAAAGTAGTTCGGAGATGAGTGGGAAAATTTAACAATGGCAGTGCTCGGATTGACGACAAGTCTCTGTTCGTTCTCACGTCCGAAATGACTGAACGAACGTACGAACCTTCTTGCTTCTCGCGTAGTATACCGTACGTGATCGCGGACGCGTCGCGTCTGACGATGATCAGACGAGTTCCGTCGGCTATGCGGCAGATCTACCCCCTCTGGTTTTTCCATGCGCTTTACATCCGATCGTCGTTCACAGGGCCGCCGCGTTTGGGTGTACAAGTTGTTCATCGCATAAGGATGGCTAATTAAACGGCCCAAATTTTTAACGATTACTACAATAATTTATTTAAATGCCGTTGTTTGAACAATCTCATCTCTCATTGCCCCTTAACTTTGCATTGTATAGTTTCATATTGTATAGCTTGGCGTTGTACATTTAGGGGCAACGTAGCATTTCTTTAGATAAGTACGGGAGGCAAAACTTTAAATCGTTACAAATTTCAAAATTTTTATATTTTTCTGCCTAAAAAGAGACTGAGATAAAGTTGGTGTATGTATATGTATTAAAGTGGAAAAACAAAATTATTTCAACTAAATGACTAAAACTATTTTTTCTAAGCAAACAAAATTATACTGATGAAAAATGTTTAAAAATAGTTCCGAATTGGTTTTCTTCATAACAATTTTGTATTACAGTATTCCAATTACCTTGGTTAAACTACTACTTTAAAATTATGTAATAGGTAGTTGTAATAAATATTGATGTCAGTGATTGAAATGTTTTATGCAGTATTACTAAGGTTATATTTGCATTAAAAATGACAAATAACGAAATTAGTATGCACTTGAAATCATAGTTAGTCAGACAAATTGTAAAAGTGACTCATAACAGCCTACAGTGGTATACAGTAAACTTGGTCAGACACAGGAATTACATAACATAAATTCTTACATCTCATTCTTTGGTACCGTGCATTAAAATAATATAAAAGTAATTTTAAATATGTATTAGTAGAATTATATAAATATTTGTAATAATGAAATTATAAAATGAAATGTATGATTCTTTGAAAATTTTAATTTATTTCTCACAGAATACTCTGTATGCGTTGGTGTCGCCATCTGTTGTTGTTGCTGTGTACTACTTTGTAACTAATTTATTTGTTATTATAAATTTAATAAATACTACGTTCATCATTTTTTCTGAGAATTAAAATAGAGTATTGAATTTCTGTAATCACAAATTTTTTTTTCATAACAAAAATTTATTTAATAAGCGTACAAAGTTCTTTTTTATTGAAAATTTTATTATAAATACTTATATATTTGTAGTGTTTATGCCGTTAAATAATTTCCTAATACAGTAACGATGAATAAATAAGCGAACACGTGAAAACGATTATCCAAAAATAACTTCAGGAAATAATCGGCGAGACCCCTCAATTCGTCTTTCTCTCTCTTTCCAATGTGAAAGATTGTTTTTCAAGGGATTGTTGCGTCACGACGTAGTAGTTCGCAGATGTTTTTTTCGCCAAGGATGTTGATTGCGTTATAATCGACAGTTTAGGACACATCGTCCGATATCCAACGAGGAAGAGAAGATGATCGATCGTTCAAGTTATTTTTGAATAATTGTTCCCGCGTTTTTATTTTTGTTCTTCTTCTGTCGTTAGCATATCAGGTAATTAATGAAATGTGATAGTAAAAAAAAAAAAAATTGGGGGCTTATGCCGATTATGTTACAATCGCCGATTTAGGATAAAATATTCGAAGCGCAAGGGAAAAGAACTAAAATTAAAACAATAGTTAAATCTAATTTACATTATTTCTACATATTTTTCCATTTAAAGTAGACAGGTGTTAATAAATTTGTTAATTATTAGATTTAAAATCTTTCTAAAATATTAGATTTAAAACTAAGCTTCAGTCAGCATTTTGGTACAGGAAAAAGTTGTTCAGTATCACCTCAGCTACCATCCCCTGAAATTATGCTCACCAGTAGCCGAACACCCTGTATGCATATAAAATAAAATAATAATGAGAACTTATAATATAACTGTAAATTTATTTGTTATCTTTAATTTCTAGATCTTTTACACAAGAGGTCAAATTAGATATTATAAAAAAAAGATGTTAAAAGAATTTGTACAATTTTGAAAATTTCATTAAAAAGAGGAATGTTTTTTTTAACACTAGCGAACATATAAACAAATAACATTTTTATAAGATTCCATAAAACTATCACTACCGGCACGTATAATATCTAATACGATATCTTCTCTTCGGTATTTAAAAATCGATTCGACTAAAAAGGTGTGTAGCGCTATGACACAGTACTTAACGAGGCACGTTCAATGTAAGTACTAGTCCTAATTCCAGTCTCCTATGATAGATACTTATTCATTATTAAAAACTATACTTTGTTCAACACAATCTATATTTATTTATGAATATACCTTTATAGTATTTTTCGCTTTTCATGAAACAGAACTACAAAACTTTATTTAAGGCCAATTATTTGTTCAGGAACTAGTATGCCAGATTATCAAATGATACAGTTCAGTACAAAACTAAAAACTGTTTTTTATATATATCTATATGTATATATATATCTTATGTATAAACAAAAGTTATCTCATACTCAAGGCATATTTTTATAGTATAAGAACCATTTGGCATATTAAAGCTAACTATATTTTATGTTATTCAATTCTCGTGTTCATCAGGATGTTCGGTTTTAATATGATGAGTGAACGTATACTGTGTAGTAAACCGCTTTTTACAATAAGGACACTGATATGGCATAAGAGGATGTGCAGATCTCAAGTGCGCTACAGCTAATTCGCGTAGGACGAATGGAGATTGGCACACCCCACATCGATACCTGAAACATCGATAAATATGAGATAAATACATATGATACGAAAATCACAATTACCCTCGTAGTAATAGTAGTTTAATCCCATAAATAAAACTTACCCGCCAGTTGTCCTAATAAGAGTTCGTTTTACTGGAGGTGGCGCACTTTCTTCTTTTATTTCCACTTTTGGTTCAATAGGTATTGGATATTCTAATGAAGTTTCAGGAGTTAATTTTGGCATAGGTTCATCCTCAGACTCTGCCTTTAGATCTTGCGTTCGCTCCTACATACACAACGTGAATATATCAAACACATGAATTCCTTGTTTAAGCTTGTAAAGAAAATTTCAGGTCTTACAGTTGCTTGCGATTCTTCCGTGTGTATCCTCATATGAGAATTCTTTGATTGAAAACTACTGAAGGACGCATTGCATTTGGAACATTTGTATTTTTTATTGTTACTTAACGAAGTAGACTTTTGTACCGATTTCGAGGAAGCTCCCTTTTTACCGAGCAGTGTATCTGATGTACATTGGTGCGTTAACATTGACACTTCTTTGAAAAATATTTTGTTACACTTTGAACAATGATATGTTTTATCAAGGATGTGCGTTTTTTGATGCGTCTTATACGTATTTTTATCCAGAAATGATTTATTGCATACACTGCACACGTACATTGTTGTGGGTTCATTACGTTTGTGTGATACCTATTTTTGAAGCAAAAATATTACCGTTAAAAAAATTAAAAAGATACAAAAGATAAAATAATTATAATTGATACTATGTACCTCATGTCTGAGCAACTGCCACTTTTCTTTGAAAGATTTTTTACATATATGACACGTGAAATTTTTACAAGTGTAGTTATCTGAATGCGTTTGTAAATGCGTTAACATCGTAGTATGATCACTGAACCATTGCAAACATATACCGCATCTTGCCACATTTTTAAAAGTACTATTATTTACACTTCTTCTTTTTGGTGGTGGTTCTTCATGATTAGGAATATCTTCTCTTTCTATCATCTGCAAGTAACAATGTATAAAACTTTATATTAAATAATGTTTTTGTAATAGATATGTAATGCAATCTTGTTATATGGCCGGTTTTGTCAGTCAAGCGCTGCATTGGAGAGAAAAGGAAGTTTCGCTCAGGGCCATATAGTGGAACTCCACTATAATTCAATCTTTGAATACACAAATAAATATAATTCAACCTCTGAATAAGTTCTGTTTCTCCTGGAACGAGTTCTAGCTTCTCTTGCTTCTCTGGCCTCTCTCTCAGCATTTAATGCTTCTTCTTGCTCAACGCTTGCCATTACAGGCGATACCGTAGATTGTTGGTTATGTTCACTCATTCTGTGTGCTGCTAGACGTATGAAGAGTCCAAATGAACGTCCACATATATCACATTTATGTCTTTTAGGTTCATGAGTTCGCATGTGATTTGACAATGCACTTTGCTGAGTACAGATCTATATATAACAAACATGTAAAATGATAATCTAAAATATATTTATTTTTATGTTTTCATGAATATACTTAAAATCTTATACTTTTCCACAAGTAGGACATGTGAGAGATTTAGTAGCTTCTACAAAATGATCTTTCTTTACTTCCTTTGAAGGTTCATCGTTTTTAACAACTTTAACTAATTGCTGGTCTGTTATTTGTGATGTATTTGCTGTCTCGTCATCACTGATTTCATGTAATTGAGTATGATTCTGATATTCTTCCATGCTCAAAAAGAATCTACACAAAAATTGAATATAATGAAACTTAAAAAAATTGAAAGGATTATTATTACAGTGAACAGTACATACAAAAGGTATCATTACCTATTGCACAAAGAACATCGTGTATTGGTCCCAATTTCATTTGCTTGAGCCAAATGATCACGTAATCTATGTTGCTTTAACATCTCCCACCTCACAAATTGTCTGTCGCATTGGTCACACTCTTTAACACTCGTATCAAAATCCAGTGTCACTTTTAAATGATCGGTAGCTTCATGCTTAGCTAAGTCCTCCACTAATTCAAAACATGTAGAACATTTTCTACAGGAATATTTTCTTGGGCAATCTAACTGCATATGTTTTATCAAGCTCTCTTTTGTTCTGCAATAAATGACCACTGATTACATAGTTCTTACAAGTAACACATTATAGAATCAGTCATAACTTACTTATAGTAACTATTACAAGGTGCACACCACCACTTTGATGACAGCTTTGGCTGTGAATTTAAGTCTTTCCTATCATTCACTGTCAAACTACCCATTAGTACTTGCTCCAAAATACTTGTACGTTTTTCTTCCTTCTGCATTTGAATATTCTGTTTGGAATCAATGCCTTCTTCTATCAATGGTTCCATGTTATCTTCTGTTACTACATCTTTGTATAGCTTATTTTCTACATTATTTTTATTCAATGACTCATACGTATTCGCTGTTCCCAATATTGGTTCTGTAACCATTTCTTTGATTTCTACTTCACATGGTAATTCAGGTAACTCAACACAATTGCTTGAATGAACTCGACTAAGATTTATTGGTACTAATGGGTTTTCAACTGGCAGTGTAATGGGCAAAGGTACTAAAGGTGGTGGTGCTCTAGCCTTATCTTTCCATAACTGTGCCTGCAAATTATACAACAAAATATGCAAATTATGAAATCTAATTTATCCATTTGTGACAACTAACAAACAAATTACAAGATTAAGTACCTGACAAGGGTCAGGGGAGTTTTTCATTGCCTCCAAATAAATCTGAACAGATTCAATATTCTTATATGCTAACAGTTTCAAGTGCATGCTTTTATAAACACTCAGGCAATATTCTCTAAACTCGTAAGCATCGTCCAGCCTTGCAGCGCAGAACTGACATATTTGCTTTGGCAGTGGATCCGTTTTGTATACTAAAACTGGTAGGCAAGCACGTAACTTCTGTGCCACTTTGCGTTGTACCCCTTCGTCACCAAAGATTGGTAGCATCTCATTTCTCACCTCTGAACATAATCTACAAGCATTCTCCCACTTGTTAGGTACAGCCATTGTAAACAGTTTATTAATAAACGTCTGTGCTGTATGACGTTTTTGTTTATGACAAGGTAATGATACGTGTTTATTTTTTACAGTTACATTCACGTCAAACACGTAATCGCAAGACACGATCAGCCATGAATTAGGTTAGTTGACGACTCGTAACTAATTACAGAATTATTCTCGAAATTATAATCGAACAAGGCAGGCATTTTTTTCACAGTCAGGTTACACGTGTCTCTCGATATTTCAGCGGCTGATTTTCGCGTTGCAAAGTCTGAATTTTTCTTTTATCATTCTACTTTCACCTTGTGCCATTTCGTCCTTTCAAGTGTAACAATTCAGGAGAACCGGTTCCCGCACGTAACCGCTTATGTGCATGGATATTGCTTAATACCGTTGTCTATGATATGCACCTTCGAACTATCTCTGGTTGTATCGCATTTTTCTCTTTCGACAACACCTTGTACGCTCACTGTGTTTTGATAACTGCTCCAGTGCTTAGAAAACCATCTCTTAGAGTCTTACGTATCATTGTTTCACGTCTGATTCATTTAATCTCCAGTGATTTCTCTTGGGTACATTGTATAGGATTTTATTACATCGCTGAAACTTGAAAAACGTAAAGAAATGTAAATATACAGACACCAAGTTGTTGATTTCAAGAAAAGTGCTCGATACTAACAGCGCGAGGAGGATCATTGATCGACAACTGAACTGGGGATTCATAGGCAGGTAACAAGTAACATGAAACCGCGGTTGATTTAAACTTATTGCTTTTATTGGTCTTTACTTCTAATAAAAAAGAATATTACTTGTTAATTATATTATTTAAAACAATATTTAATGAAAAAAGAAAAGAAGCACGCGATCTTTGAAACACTAATTAACACTAAAGTAACTATTTTGCAAAGTATAATGCACAATTTTCTAAATTACGAAAAAAAAATAAAACTCGATTGTTCAGAAAATTTGATACTTAGGAAAAATAGAAATTTACACGTTATAATTTTGCAGAATTATTGCTTTTGAGATCTTGCCTATAATTATACAAAATTTATAAAAAACCAGCATTGTAAAGGTCATACACATCTTGTAAGTAAATTCTGTACATTCTTTTAAACATTAATTTATTGTATAAATTTACATATTTCAACATAAATATATATATTTATATATGAATATCACTTATTTATTTTTGTCAATCTGTTTTATAATTCCACATTTCTTGATTTTAAACCATTGTATTAAAAACGGCAAATAACAATTATAATAATGTCACACTACAAAATAAGTTAGCAAATTGTTTGACTAAATTTCATTTTATAATAGTGCGCAGCATGTAATAAAAGCTTGTATATTTTTCTCTTATTTTTTTTTTTTATTATACAATTCAATTATACTTCAAGTAAAAAATAGTATTGGAAAATAATTAAATTATATATTTTTTAAATCTTCTAATGGAAAATGGAATATGCTGTTTAAAAAAAAAAAGAAGAAAATACAATAAATTTTCATAAAGCATATTCCATTTTGCATTTTATGACCAATCTTTTTATTTTTAAAATAGAATCAGATAGTTTAAATAACATGAAAATTACAGTACGAATAGTTTCACTCATTGTAATGCAGTTTTCAATTAAATATTAACTTGAAAAATTATTTTTTAACCATATCTTGTATAGATAACAAATGCATATTATTCTACTTATTAGATATTCACATTGTATACACATGATTAATAACTGAATAGAAGAAATAACAAATGCTGCAGTGTTTGCATAACAAGCATTAATTATAAAATTCGGTAATACTTGTTTGTATAGATGCAGTTTTGTTTATTATTTGAATTCTTAATTATTAATTCATATAATAATATTTCTGTATACATATTCAGTTAACTTGTTTCACGCGTAGCACAAGTGAAACAATATGAGAAAGTGATGCTAATGTATTAGCAGTTACATAGTAAATGTATATACATGATAAAATCAAAATGGCAACTATAGTAGATAAATATTTAATAAATAAATCCACGCTTTATAAAGCATGCTTGTTTAAAAAACTTGCGTGCCTTTAAAATTTTTTATGTGTTTACATATAGAAAAATAATTTCACAGCAAGTTTTTCTTTTTCACTTGTTTTTAATCACATATGAATCAATGGATCACATGTGTGAAGATTACAATATACAAATTACTGTCATTAAATATTAATAAACTTACGATTTTTATTTACTATAGTATTTATTCAGTACCTATAATAAGCAATATTAAAAAAATATATTACTGCAGAAATATAACGCAACATGTATAATAAAATCTTATAATTTTATCTGCTTTTAAATGATTAGAAATTTTGCAAGAAGTAATTTACTAACATTAATCTTCAAGCAAAGAATAATATAATATTCACACATATGACACATGTATAAACGCATTCCCTGTCTTTACTTTTTCATACACAACATTAAACGTTTGCACATAATTCATATTTTCAAATAGAATGGTTAATATTTACCAATCCTGCATATTAAAAATTGCTTCATTTAGATACAGGAATTGATTATCATTCAAAGTACAAAAAATATTGAAAGACAGAAACATCATTGCTGCAAGTTGCAATATTTCAGTACTTGTTAAATACATATACAATTAATTCAATTCAAAGCTTCATTGGGTGTGGTGTTGCATTTTCATAAGATACAAATATAAAGAAAATAGAAATATTTTGCATGCTTATGTTATCATTTCATCGACTATCGGAGGTTTTATGTTTCAAAAAAATGAGGATATATATAACAAACAAGAAACAATTAACTTTTAAAACAGATGAAGAAATAACATCGCAATAAAATGTTATATTACACTGTACATATTTTCTACAGATATAATTCAGCTAGGCTCCAGCCTGGCGTATTGTATCTTTTGATAACTATTCACAACCGAATGAGGAGACAAGTTAGAAGCTTAGCTAATAAAAATCAAATATCGATATGAATACTTCTATATATTACATGTTCTACGTTACTTAATATGCGATGTACAAGTTTATAATAAAACTGTATAGAAGTGAATAAATGAGCCAACTGCTCTTTTCTTAATACAATCAGGTTTTTTTCAGTTTATCTTATATGATTAACGTTTACATTAGTGCATTAAAAAGATATCAAAGAATAAAGGGTGTTCAAATGCTTCTTCCATCTTTCTCCTTTAAAAGTTGTTTTACTACATTGTTGAAAGCGTACCCCTACTATCTCGCAGCTGGCATCTTTTCAAGAAAATCTTGCTCTATCACTGTTTCCAACTGTGTGATATTTAATGGTGCCTGAGTGTCACTTGATCTGCGACTAAGTGTTGTAAAAAAATAATGCAGGTCTTGCAATGAACGTATATTATTAGATGTTAAGAGTAGTTCACCGGGTGTGGCTTTTACAGGATTTGAGTCTTGTTTATACTGTAAAATAAAGGAGTTAATAAGAAAATAGAAGACATATAATATACTTTCTTATTAATGATAATAATTATTTAAATATTTAGTATTCTGTTGTGATATTTTTAGAATATTCATAATTCAGCTTCTCAATTTTTTTTTCATATGAACTTGTTAAAAATAGACTATTTTGATTCAGAATAAATAATTTTCTAATATTAATAGTATTTTTTTAAATAAATCATTAACATAACTTACACAATAACGTTTAATTTAAACATTGAGTGACTGAAATACTGGGTTATTGGCATAGTTACAAAAATAAACTATACATATATGATTGGTACAATACCAAAATAAGTGTTTCATCAGGTACCAATGAAAGCAAGTACATACATTCTGCTTGATTGAAGGAATAATAGGCAACAATAAAATTAATAAGTGAAAAACGATAGTAAAATTGAAATAAGTAATCACATGAAAGAATTTTGTGTTCAGTTTTGGTTAAAATATAAAAATACTAAATAATGTGAACTTAAAAAGAATATGTGACATCACTTCTATGATTAGATTTAAAAAAATTTAATATTTTATAATGAAAGAAACATGTGAGGAAACCACACAGTGTTAATTGAGTACGTTTGTACTAAAAGAGTGTATACACTTTGCTGACAGTTCAGTTTGAAAGTGGCCATGGCAGTGACTGGACTAAGAACAGTTACTTGTTTTATTTTTTATCTTATAGTAGTAATAAATGCTCGTAAGTGTTATACACAATCACGTAAGTGTTTTTTAAATCATTAAAAACATTAGTCAATATTTTGTTAACAAAGAAAGAGTAGTAAATAACAGAATTAGTTACTTCACTTTATACCACAAATTTCTATCTAAACTAGACTATTAAAACAATAATATTTTAGATACTTGAGAAATTATTAATTAAACTGTGGTCTTTGTTTACAATTATAAGTATCTTTCTTGCAATTTTAAATTAACCTGTTAATTTATTATATTATTTAACATTTATATTTTTAAATGACTACAATAAAACTGTTTAAAATTCGGTATATATATATTGGAGCATAAATAATCATGACAGAAACAAGAATTCAGTTAACAGTTATGATTTCATTGCTTTTAATAGACTTAATTTAAGGCAGTTAACAGTAATTAATAGAAATTAAATGATATAAAGTATGAAAGTCATAGTTGTATAATATTGTACTGAATAAAATAGACAAGTTGTCCTTTAATATTTACAATTTAATATATTTATATTGCCTTTTTTTAGAATATACAGATGATTCTGATTATAAAGATTTAGAATTTTATGAGGATATACCCGTTAATTATATTGGGAATTACGAGAAAGATCATTTGGATGTTAATCAAGACGATTTTTATATTTTAAGTAATTTCGAAGATGCAAACGTACAGAGTGACATTTATCCTGACAGAAATTTTGAAAATACCGACGACTCTCTTAAAAAGAGATCACCAGTCTCACAATTAAGTTGGTATAAACCCGAGAAAGTGTATCGGTACACCAAACACCGAATTCCCGGATACGATTACGAGGAGCTTGATTACGTGATTACTAGAAATTTTCAACAATGTGATGAGAAGTCAGTTTGGACCCATTGCCTCTGTCAATTCACATGCTCCGAACCGGACGTAGTTGATTGTTACACACCATGCAAAAGTGGATGTGAATGTAAAGAAGAATATGTATTTGACGAGAAAACGCAACAGTGCTCGTTGCCAGAAAATTGTTCTTCGAGAGAAGATAATTTTTATATTACTTAATTTATATAAAGTAAAATAATGCAGACATGATCAAGTACCACACTACCAAAAACTATGTGGATTTCATACAGTGGATTTTTACTATATAGCCAATCAACTCCATTTTCAAATTTGGAAATTTGTAAACTACCACTTGGTCATGTTTGAAGTAATGCATACAATGGTGCGTTAATTTTACTTTTCACATTGGTAATGCATAACACAACAGAATACTGATTTTGTATCAATTTAAATAAAGTAATTAAAAAATTAATGAATTGCACGTTTATTCTTTAACATACCTTGTTGTCCATTAGTTTTGCTATTCTTGTGATGTGTGGTACAAAATCAGAAGACAGGTTATTATTCTCCATACATCCTGCCGCTGAGTCCCCTACAAATGCCCATCTATACCTGCAGAAGAAAATTTAATTTTAGAAAAGAAGAAAATATATTTATTACATATAGTTTATACTTTGTTTTGCTTACATTTGGAACTGAGGAAGCCTGTGTGCAGGTAAGAGTAGTGCTAAATCTAATAATTTAGCAGCTGCTAGTTGTAACTGTAACCAGTGAGGATGGCCATGTGCTTGAAGTCCATTACTAGCATTTACAGCCCACGATGAATCCAAAGCTGAGAGTAGTTTTATGTGTGAACTGTATAAACATGCGATATACTATTCATTTATAAAGGAAACACGTCAATTGACAAATATTGATTAATAAATTCTTAAGAAATTAAGTTCAGCGTAATACGATTAAAAGCAAATACAAAAAACGAACACAAATCCCATGAATTATCCAAATTGTAACTACTATTTCCCAATGCTACAAGATCTTATTTGAATAATTGTAACATTATTTTTCGACGACTGTCCCTATTTGAAGTACACTATCTAAAAATTCTTATGTACAGAAATTTTAGATACGTTATTTAAAAATTTGATCATAAATGTTAATATGCAAGAAGCATTCAATTACCTGCCATGACGACTGATGTCCCAACACCAATCAATTTACGGAGGCATCATAAATTCCATCAAATCACGGATACCGAAACAGAGCCAAAAACAATACGACATTAGGTATATTGTTAGTAAGGAATAAATACAAACAATGCGATTAGAGTGTAATACATAATGTATGCTTAATGAAATATCGCAAGAACAATTAAGAATAGATAAAAGGAACACAACAAGTATTATTAGTTAAAATGTTTAAAATCATTGAACTTCAATTTACCTTTTTTCAAATTTTTTTTTAAATTAATCTGAACAATGTTTTAAATTTACATACAATTACAATTGATCAAGAATAATATAGTTTGCCATAAGAATGTAATAAAATCAATATTCAACTATATCTCGTAAATATTTTCTCTTCACTTCGTTTCCAAATTGAAATCAGTCTTGGGCATTATTTAAATAATTCATTTTGAAAATAATCATTTGAATAATATATTATTTGGCTAGATATTTCTTGAAGTAATTTCTTTTTTTTTTTAATTTGAATTTATATAAATTATGCCCAAGTTTGATTGAAACCACTAAAGTATCATGCACCAGAAGCACCAAATTTCCCAAAGCAGAGTAGTAATTAAAAACATCATGCTTTATCATACCTGAATTCTTCACTATCAGTGCTTAATTCTTGTTCAATGTACAGGAAGACCTGAACAAGTTCGCTAACTATTACAGGCCATAAGGAAGTAGCATGTTGTGGTGACATTCTTAAAAGTAGCACACGAAAACAAAGAAAGACTTGTGCCTGAATCGATGGAATAACTTGTGGCAATCGCAAACTATCTGCTAACCGTTCTAATGAAGAATAAAAGAATTTAGTATCATGACAATGAAATATTTACCGATATTTGCAGTACTCTTCTTAGTACCTACCTTGGATTTCAGGCATGTACTTCTGATATTGATCCATTTCGCTACAAAGTATAACATATGCTAGTCTTTTCAGGAGCTGAGCTTTTTGTTCGTATTCCTGTTCCTTTGAAGAAAATATACTGATACTACTACCCTGAGCCATGGAAACGCGATCTGTAACAGAATAAATTCGTTAAAAAAATTGTATTCGTAAAAATAACAAAAATTCAAGGTTATTGCTAATGTTAAGAGGATAACTACTCATTAAATCCCGAAACGTTGTATTGTCGTGTGTCATTAAATTATCTATTATAGTCCTCCAATATGGCAAACACGCTGGTGTCATTTGGAAAAAGGCAGAATCTAACAGAAGATCCAGTACGTCCTTGCGCCATGCTTTTCTCGTGTACTGGTAGCCTGATAAGGAACTCAATAATTGGGAGCAAGCCGTAAAAGAGGCAATATTCTTTGTCCTGAAAGTTTTGCGATCAATAAGAACATGTTATTGCAAGGAAATGAATCGAGTTAATCAGGAAATTGGATCTTACGAGTGATTTTTAAGATATGGTGTAACGTTATACATGAGGTTGGTTAATAGTGTTACTACGCGTTCTTTTTCTTGGGAACCATAACTAACATCCAATAAAGGTGCTACTATTTCAGCTAAAACTGCCTGAGCTTGAACACTATACGCTGCATTAGGCGGTGTACCGGGTGTTACTGCAAAAAAGAATTCTTGTCAATTCATATACCAATAAGTTAGAATTAGGAATGCTAAGGCACATCGCTCTAATATGAAAGAAAAAATAATAAGTTCTAAAGGTTTCACTAACTAACATTTAAAACAGAATTGTTCTATAAGAAAAGCACATTACGCACCAGCACCAGTTTTGCCTTCTTTACCTTCCGAAGATCCTTCCACCACTTCAAACGCATCTTCTCTTACTGCTAAGTTTCTTCTTAACCATGTTGTTTGTTCTAAACATGCTCCAGCTATTTGGGAACACGATTCAACCAGCTGAAACATTTTAATTGAACATTATATAATAAAGTAAACGTATATTTTCACAAGGAACAGAAGGAAAGATACCTTTGCTGATACATCTTGCAAATCCCTTATATCTTTTTTCTCTTGCATTGGAGGACATTTTTGTACATATTCGTTTAAAATTGCTAATAACAAAAACTGAGCAGGTGCAGTTAGAGATAGGCCATCTTTAAGCAAACCCAGCAAGGATGTCCACGATTCAATGAGAGACTGAGACGTGGTACTTTGCATGTAGACGTAAAGCAATTCTAACACAGAAACTTCTAACGAAAAGTCCTGTTTTACGCCGTGTATCGGTGGTGGGTTTTTTACGACTTGATGTACGGTTTGGACTAAAGTATCTATAGGCATTACACGAATTGCGCTCACTAAATGAACCATAACTTGCTGATTAGGACAAGCTTCTGGAAGTACCTGAGAAAATAAAATACACAAAGATTTAAAAAGATAATGTACAATAAATCCAATCTGTTAAAAACTGTATAAGATGGTTACCTTCTTTGAAGTACTACCAGGTTGTCGTCTTTCATGCCAAGCAACAGCAATCGCAGCCAAAAAGTTTACTCCATGATGGAAAGATATGGGAGATAGAAGTTCTAAAAGTTGATGTTTTACTATTCTTGGACTACCAACTACACAACTGGCTTGATCACTAAAAATATAATCAAAAAAATATTGTTAGTAATATGGGCATTTAATATTTATTATGTAAAGAAATGTAACAAACTTGTCTTTTGTTGCTAACACTGCTTGCCAAAGAGTAGAGAGGGATGCGATTATTCTTGGTAGGTGACTTAAAGCGGTCCTTCTAGCATGCTGCTGTAGTTCACTTGCACCACTTTTATCTTTCGACGCTGCAAGATCCTGCAAAAAACATAGAAAAGTTTATTCAATTCCTTTCCTCTAATACGTTTGTCCCGATTTAAAAATTCTGAACGTTTATGAATTGCTAAGCTTACTGGAGAAAGAGGACTCGGCATAAACACATGAATAAGATTATTAAATATCTGTCCTGGATTTGCTCCAGGAATTCCAGTCTGAATTGTACCACTCAAAGGCTGATTAAAGGAGAAACCAATCTGCTGTGATGTATCCAATAAACAATAATGAAGTAAAAATGTTAAAGCTTCTAAATGTGTGACTGTATAGTCCGCAGGAAGACAACATTCGACTGTACTCATATCCTGTAACTTCGTTGCTGATGTTGTTTCCTCGTTAATATAATATGACGCCAAATGTTCAATGTTGCAACACAGTTGGTGGATGACCGATGTTACTATCGAAGTTAACGAAGATCCCATAAACGGAAGACTCGATGTAACGAGAGTTGTCCAATGTTGATGCAAATGTCTCATATGGTCCTTTGAATAAAAAATGTTGACATCAATTTTGCTGTAATTGCACAACATTAAATTTAACAAGCTGAATATACCAAAGTTGACATTTACCAATTGTAAAGCGCTTAATATGCTAGCAAGAAACATTGGTTGCTGTGGAATTGCTGCACCGGGAACATATTTCAAGCTATTTCCCATAATATTTGGAACAGTTCGTGTTGGAGTACTTGGTGTTGACATAGTTGGTGGACCTATTTCTTCACCTTTTTGATTGCCACATTGATGTTCCAACATAATTAAAGCTAATAATAGTCTTAAATGATAAAAGAATATATTAACACAATGTGAAACCTTCAAACTTCTTTATCTCATTTTTCAGCTACTCACCTTAATAATTGTATTTGAAAAGCCTCTGTATGATCGCTTGCTCTATACTTGCATTTATTCGTATCATTATCCACAACTGGGTCATTAAATAAAATGATCTCTTCAGTAAACGTAAATACTTCTTCACTTTCCTTATTTGCGTTCTTCATATTCATCACACTGGACACGAGACAGTGCAACGCAACCTTTTGTACTTTACATTTTGCAAGTAGATCCACTATGTAACAACTGAAACCTTTTCCTGAATCGCGAACGATAGGAATTAGTTCGGAGAATATAAGCATTAATAGTTCTGCACTTGCAAGTTGTACCTACAAGAAAAGATAATAAATAATTTAATAAATAGTTGCAGAAATCCGAAATATATATATCCAATATAATTACTTGTCGATTGCCCGCGATTTCTTCGTTTGTTAGCCTCATCTGCCCCAAATTAGGATAATAACTTCTTGCAAAGTAAAGACACACGCTAATTAAAATTTCTAAATACATGCTACTTCTATAGGCTGCTATGAATTCTGTGTTTGCTATATCGCCATGGAAATTTCTCCCAAATACACTTTTCCGATGTCTAGCTAATAAATTTAATAACGTTGTATTTTTTGTCGTATTAGATACGCCAGTAGTCGCAGCGCAACACAAAAACATTCTGGTGTTGGTTAACAATTCATTGCGAAGTGTACGTAATGCATAAAGCGTTCTGATTGAATCATAAACTCCACAATATAGTAACATATGCGAATGAAGATTATGTACTCCGATTCCAAAGTTACGACCCGTTTTTGTATTTTGGTATGCACTATCGTCCGCCTAGAAATAATTCAATCAGTGTAATTAGTCTAAAAGTTATCTCATCAATATAGGGTGACACTCTGCAAAATAATACTTTATGACTTACGTTTTTAGTTGGTTCAGCAACTTCGCATATTTGCATTACACGATCAAGCACTTCATTTAAAACTTCTTCAATTATACTGTTACCACCGGAGTTACTAAAGTACTCTTCCGCAGTTGTACTGGCATCGAGGTCACCTTCTTCGTCGTCCATTGTCCAACTAGGCACTTCGGCGCTTGCTTCGAAACTTCCAACATCGTGCACATCATAATTTGTCGTGAATTCATTCGTACTGTGATATTTCCCCTTAATAATAGTTCCAGCTACTTCTCTAGAACTACCCGGCATTATAACAGATTCTTTCTTCGATTTCGATTGTTTATTGGTTATTTCAGGACTACTAGAATCGAAACTGTTGGTAATAGAATCCAATGACGAACCAACTTCTCCATTCAGTTTCTTGAACCCATTTTTATCCTTCGTTTTTAAACTGGAATTTGCAGATTCGAAAAGACTCTCATCTAAACTGGCTGTTGAACCTTTATCGAAATCCATCTTTTTAAATCTTGTCGCATTTTTCAACAATTCTGTTGTTAAATTTGCCTTCTTCACGCTGGGTAACGAATCATCCTCCGTCAAGGAATCGTTGGAGTTTTCATTGCAATTTAACGACAATGGATTGACGAACACGGATATCTTTCGGTTACCAGATATGCTAGGTGGTACTTCCAGCTCTTTCATAAATTGATTTTTCTCAGTCACATATTGGTTACAGTTCTCACCGGCGGCTAGAGTCGTTACAGCAAATATTCTTTTTACTTTTACTGGATTTATGGCCTTTTTCTTTTTCTTGCCCTTTCGCCATTTTTTATCTTCGTCTACACTATCGCTAACGTGATATATCACATTTCCGTCTACAGAACTGATTGCATAGATCTTTGCCGCTCCTTCGGTGTCATCTTGTATTTCAGATTTTTCTTCGATGGGGTCGTTCTTTGTTAAAACAGTATTACTGTGTTGTATACTGACATGGAGTACGCTCATGCGACACGTAGATGGATCTAACAGTATTATTAATAACGGGTCCACTACCCGTGAAATATCACCTCGCATTAAAGAATGAAGAAGCCACGACTGAGCGTGAAGCTTTAGAGGAGAATTATCGCAAAGTTGTAGATTATCCAATATTTTCAACAATGACCTGTAAAGATATTAAAATTATTTAATTCGTGCAAAAATTCACAAAACGGCATTGTACTCGTTTATTACAAAATTATATAACTCACTGATCGAACGATTTCATACAGCCTCGTAACCTAGGATTCGTTTCAATTTCACGTCCCAAATGCCATAAAGTGGAAAATCTATTAAATGCTTCTATTCTTTTCTCTATATTTTCTGACGTGAGTGCCGCTCCTATTACGTCTTCAACCGCATCACAAGAATTATGCAAAGCATGATGCAATTCGTGTAGCAATTCAACGCATCGCATTCTATATTTGTGAGCAGGTAACTCTCCAAGATGATGCCACAAAGAATGTGCCAATACCTTCGGGAAACAGATTCAAAGTCAACTTCAAAAAAAATTAACATTATTTTTTTTAATATATACATGTTTAAAGCAACAAAAAGTATACCTGGAACACATTGGTATATTGCATTAAATAAATTATATGCCACTGTTTCAATAATGGTACCATAATTACAGATGTGATGCCCTCTCCACTTTTTGTATGAGTCTCAATATCATTGTGAGCTTTTAGTAAAGCTGTTAAATCTAACAAAGTTGCAATACTGGTTAACTGTAGAGCAGGTTGCTTTCCCAACCAACAACTGCAAACAACTAAAACTTTCAACCATTCTGGAAGAACGATATGTCCCTTCGGCTCTTCTTCTACGAATATTCCATCACCAGGAAAAAAGTATTTAGGAAACGTAGAGAGTTCAACGAACAAGCTAGATGCAATCCTTACGGGTTCCTCCCATTCCGACTGTGAAACAGAATCAACGTGTAAATGAAGAATATCCAAATGTTTCGTATCTTCTGTCACGGATACATCTTGACTGAAGAAGCCAGAATCTTCCATGTTTAATCTAGAGTTTAACAAAAGTTCTAAGTATCTCATTCTTTCGTCAAAACTCTCCCTTGGACACGATATCATTAAACTGTCAAACATATTCTGTACCGTTCTCTCCTTACTCAACACTCGGTTACTTATTAGTTTAACATAAAAAGTTTCGTACTGCCTTAAACATTTTTCTAACATTGTATGTTGTGCTTGAAATGCTGGAGATGGGCCTCTACCTAAAGATCCTGTGGAGCCCATGGGACTATTTTTACTTGTTTGTTTTAACGTAATTAATTGATCCTTAGACGGTGAACTGGTATTGTTTGTTTCTATGCATTCAGTTTTTATGTCATCCATGCTTTTATTTCTCGGTAAACCTTTGGATTCTTGACTAACGACCACTGAGACGTTACTGCCCTGATCTTGTAAAGATTCGCTTAACTTGGAGGTACTTTTACTGGATTTTTTCTTCGATTTTTTATCAGATCGTTTGGTAGCACCACCAGAATTTGCTCTTCTTCTAGGACTCGGACTTTTTTCAGAAAATGAACTGCTCGATGTATCAGGCTTATTTAATTTGCTATCAGATTGACTTTTTTCCAAAGGTATCGCAGTCAAGGAATTGTCACTAAATGCTGTACTTGTATTGCCATTAGTAGTTGTGTCCAATTTTGTTTCTAATTCATTCTTCTCCGCGTGAGTTGAGACTACAGTTGGTTGAACTTTTGATAAAATCTTCGCGCACAAATTAAGACTTCTTGAAATCTCCATAGGAGACAAAATTTCGATGTGAGACATAATTTTATTGATAATTTCGTAAAATAAACCAGGCAAATGCTCCGAAGGAGTATCTATAAATGCATCCAACGACACCGTGTCGAGAAGGAATTCCGTCAATATACACACTTCAATGAAATTTGGCATTCCACTGCCCACAGATCTTACAGCAATATCTTCTACCTCATACTTAGTTTTTGCCCGTGTCTGACAAGATTTTTCAAACAAGTGTCCACAATGTATCCAAACATAAGATGGTTCCAATGTTGAAAATAGTAAATTTGCTGACTTTACAACTTCGTTCGTTTTCGGTACTCTGTTCGACTGTCCACAAGCATTATAAAATGTCCTGTTGAAATTAATACTTTTAATACACTAATCAATTATTATTATTTGAGTATGTTTTTTATTAAAATACATCTTACCTAAAAACCTCAAATAAAATATCATCTAAAATTACTGGACCAATATCTACTTTTTCTAACAATGAAACTAATATTCTGTATGGCTTTAAATCTTGTGGACTCTCATCACATACAGTTTTTAACAATGATTTTATTGCTTCAATTAACATCTCTTTCGAATACATATCAAAATAAGTGGGGGTATTTTCTGTGGTCTCTGAAACTGTTGTATGTGTCTTCCTTTTTAAAATAGATGTGCTTACTTCAGTACCCAAAAGCCATGCAAATAGTCGCCTATATTATATACAAATTTCATTTATAAAATATTTGGTTAAAGAAATACAGATATCACATGTTTTACTATTTTGTTTATTTTACCTATTTAAACTCATATCTCTTCTTAGTATAGTGACAAGAGCAGCCGTGACCAATGATACCATTTGCTGGTGTGTTAATTGACTATTATGTACAGGAAAACCAACTAACAATAAATCCAAAGCACTTCTTTGTACTAACACAGAACTGTCTTGTACTCCAGCACACAGAGCTGTTACCTAATAATAAATTTAATAAAATAAAAATGGTACTTCATTCTATTTTATATAAGGTAAATTATATTTACCATAATATTAGTATCTGTGCCCATGATGTACTTTTGTTCTTCCATTGGCAGTTTTTTATTGAAATGTGTTAACACAAAGGATATAGCAGGAAGTCTAATTCCAGAATTTGAAGCTAAACAATCCCATAAACACGCATAAAAATGTTCTGGACCTACTCCTTCACAAACTTTTTCAAGCAATGAATTGGTTCTAAAAAAAATTTAAAGTTTTACAAGACGTTCAGTTGTTTCATTTCTTTGAAACTTCACTAGTTTGTGATACAACCACTTTATTTCTTATTTTGTACATAGTAACTATACCTATCAAAATGGTCAGAACCATCTTCTAAACCAAGAAGAACGCCACTCAAAAATCCACTTAAACCAGGCCTTAATCTCTCTCCAAGAGGTACAAAGTGTGTTTCATATACTGTCAATAAAGATGGTCTTACATTCATAGCAGCATGACCTAACAATGGAAACAAACCTACAAAACATTAAGTTAGTTAATATGTATTACTAGCATACCAAGTTAATTTCATAATATTATTAAGACAGATTTTACCAGCACTATATATAAAGAGTTCGTGACTCAATCTGTTAGTGCCCATACATTTGAAAATAATGTCATAGGTTTCTAGGGCTTTTAAGTGAACACCAGATGGCAAAGCAGGATGCATACACTGTGCCAATCTTTTAGATATCTTAATTCTCCTAGGAATAACCGGAAACTTCATATGACTTAGTAACACCTTGTTTAATTTTCCAAGAGCAGAAATTAAATCTGCCCATTCACTAGTGTATTCAAAGCTTTTTAAAGCTTTGTCTACAGCGGACACATAGCTGTATAAAATATAAAATCTTTTTGAGTAAACACATGGTAATTTTATTATATTTTGATTGAAAACTTAGAAAAACATTATCTTGATATTGTTAATAAAAAAGCTAAATAGCAAAAGACTATAGAATAACTTTTAAAAAGAGAAATATTCATTCCAAAAAATTTGAACCAAGAGCTACTTTTCTAGAAAATTAGATTTGAAGATCCATTTTATATATATACAATCATAAAAACATATGATTCACTGTGCAACATATAACATCTATCTTGTTTGTAAACATTAATCAGCAATTTCTTCTGTTGTGTTATTTATATAAGCTACTAATTTAATTAACAATGCTTTAAAAATAACATACTAACGAGAGTATATGCATCAATTATAAGACAAACACAATTATACATAGAGGAATGGGAACATCAAATTAAATGGTTCTGTAATTGATCATTAAATACTGTTTCTAAATTATTTTTCTAACCTTTCTTGAATAATGCACAGATATTGTTTACAAAGAAGATATATATTATTTGTTATACTTAATTTTTTTTACTTTTTCATAAGATTCATACTTACACTCTGTATTTAGAGTCTTTCATTAGCTCGTACTCTTCCAAGGCGATAGAACCCATTGTTAGAATTTTGTGTTACAATTTACCATAAAAATAGATAATTATTTATCACATAAACTTGATCCTTTTCACATTATCTCATTCTTTCTCGTTCTTATCAGAACTGATTGATGTCACAAGTGATTCATATGAAACAAGTTCTATGGAAGAAAGCCCTTATCACAAAATGCATTGTGTTTAGATAAGAGTGTGTTCCGCCTGAAAGAGAAATTTAGTAACCTCGTATTACAAAACTGTTAGTCACAATTGTTTCGCGTACGTTCGCCGAGTACACCCAACTTTTTCGCAATCAGATTTCGACGATAAAAATAAACCGCAACGTCTGGATATCAACTGGTTCGATGAATTTTTTATGTTAAAGAGGTCGTTTTATCTATATCACTATTTGTACCATATGATCGACGAATATTGTATTATTTCGAAAAAATGAAACGGTATTTCACCTTCGTTCCCGTTATGAGAAATAATATACATCGAGACTTGAGTGTCGAACGTATTTTCAAAAAAAAATTTAAACAGCGTACAGTTTAATGTTTTTTTGCTTCATGTTTATGCGCAAACAATTACCCGTATCAAGAATCGTATCGTCCTATGTTAATGTCATCTATTTGAAACCTGTTCAGGGTTACAGACAAACGTTTCGCGAAGGAGGTTAATGATTATCGAGTATAAACGAAACGAGAAATAAAAATAGCCACTGAAACCTATTGTTATACAACGAGCCGACAAACAACTCACCTTCTGTTGTTGACATTTCGAATTTGCATATGTTGTTAAGGGTGAAGGTGAGAAGCATCGGATAATCGCGCGATTTTCGATCACTAGTGTCGCGAACATTAAGAAAATTTTAAACGGGAATTCGTGGGATTACCCTAAAACCGTCAAAACGGTTCATCGTAGTTTCCGTAAAACGCTTTCCGTCAAACAAGATTTTCCATTTTTTTTTACGTATATTCTATTTCATGGAAGATCATGCTCATTACACGATGAATTTTGGTCCGTACTGCGCATATCAACTACGATTAGTTCGAACACGATTTGTAACCAAGAGTAACGCACAGGCGCACTTACGGAATTTGTGACGCTAGTTTATACACCCAGTGGTCTTTTATTTTATATATTTTCTTTAACCATGAATAAGTACCACCTTATGAGACACATTCGGTTGTCATCTCAATTTTTTTTATTACATTAACCTATACTAAGAACAGCATCTACTAACATATTTGATTTTGCTGTTTTTCTGTTAATACGGAATGCATCGTCTAGAACACCTTATATAAAAAATTCTAGTTTTCAAACTCGCAAATTCTGAACTTTTTTTGTTCACTGTATATATGATTGATGGAGTGGAAAACATATGACACTGAGAACCATCTGAAGTTAGTACAGTTGCGCGAAGTAAATATGATCTATCGTAGAACGAAGATTATATTACAAGCACTTGAAGTTAGCTGCAATGAATGGCAGCGTAGATTCAACCACACGTCACCTAATGTACAGTTGTTTCTTCTTTTTATTTGTAACAAACGTATGCGAGCGTTTTATTTTCTTATGATGTGCATAATTTAAAAAGAAAATCTTTTCGTCCAATAATTTTTACGTAATTATCATTTTAATTTTTATTTATGACTATACATACGTTAAACACATTGCGCATAATATAATATACTAATTGAGCATTTTATTTTATGTAATTGTAATTTTTTTAATAAAAGTATTGTATTTAATTACTATAGAATATTTTAAATGGATGGAAAATGATTTATAATGTATTTCACTTTTAAATTGAACATAATTCGTTATAGCATGTATAATAGAAATAGGTATACTTACAGACCGCCAATATATGCCCGACGCGTTCAATGTACTATTGATCAAATCAATTCACAGCAGTTTTAAAATATTTGATAAACTTAAAAATAAACTGAATGGTTGTATATTATCCTATCCTATGTAGTTTTCACGAGTTCTTATCTTTTTCAGTCCAGTCTTATCTCACCACGAATAGGGAGGAGTTTACCCGCGCATGTTTTATCGACGTTCGAAGTATGAAAAAATGTATGTATTGAAAAAATATCCATTTATCGTCTTCTCCTGATTAATATCCACATTTTGCAACAATTTAATGTAAATAATATTTTACAAATAGATCTACCAGTTAAACATTTATAAAGTACATTTCATTTGTTATAAAAATTACATAATTACAATTTATTTTGAATTTCTTCCAATTTCACGAACACACCACATTTCACATTTGTAATTAAAAAAAGACAATTCTATAAATGAATCAGTGTTTGTAAACTACAATTATATAGAAAAATCAGTGGATATAAAAATTTTAGACATTACTTTTTAAATAAAAGCAGCTAGATACTGTAGTGTTTTTAGAATTTTTAATGGCAAAAATGAAATCATTATTTTTTTATGTAAATAAGTGAATTCTTTTGGTGTACATTATATAATGTAGCATTCTTTAATATATTCAATATTTTCCACAATATTAAATGCCATTCAGTCAAACTAAAACAATAAGTTAAATGCATTAAATGCAGTGGATTAATAAATAATCAACACTTTAAAATACAATTTTCAACTTTTTAAGCAAGATGCCTCATAACTTCTTTGTCAACACGTAATACAAATCAACAAATTTTACAGAAGTACAATAATTAATTATAGTATAAATTTGATTTCCTCCCGATTTAGTCATTATGTTACTTGACTTTAAAAATGTTTTTATATATAAACGTTGTTAGATGAAATATGATTTTAAGTATAAATTTTTACAAATACATTCTTTCTCATCGAGAGTTTAGTTTTGCTCCTAATGGTTGTGGTCTTAAGTTGCGTTCAGTTCTTTTTTGTTGCTGTTCAAACAGCCGTTGTTCTCTTTCTTTCCGTTTTTGTTCTCTTAAAGCTTTTGTAGGATCTCCAAATTCTTTGACTGTTTCTTCTTCCCAGCCAACAGCATTGTCTTCCCATTCTTCAAGTTCATTCTGCATATAAAATTTATGTTTCATATATTTGCTCATTTGTATTATAGTTAGAATTATATAAAATATAAGAACTTACAGATAGTATAGGCTCATTAGCTACTGCTAACCTCGAAGAATTCCATGATGCATGATCTGATGGTTTATCTTTAACTAGAACTTTTGTTTGTGCAGTAATCTTTGGTGTCATGTCCTAAAATAATAAATAAAAGATGAATGCATGTATTTAATTGTCCCATCAAATTTAATGAACAAAATATGAGAAATAATTACTTCAAAGAAATTTTGTTGCTGCTCTTCCTCTGCTTCTGGTGGTTTAGATGCTTGCAGTCGGTATTGGTCAATCTTAGCTTGTATTGGGTTAACTGGCTTATTTGGTACGACTACAATAGGATTTTCCTCCCACTGATCCCACTGCTCTGATTCCTTGAGCAAGCATCTTCAGTGATTACTATTATCGAAGTCAATAGTACAACAGGGTTTACATAATCTTAAATTCATCATAAGATATCAAGGATGAACATAGTGTTTAAAACTCACTGTTGGATTATTTGTAGTATTTGGAACTACGTCGACAACAGACAGGGGAATAGAATCACAAGACGATCTTCGTCGACGACGAAGACAGCACATTGCTCTTTTAAATACTCCCAAAAGAATCACAATAAGGGCTTTAAATCGATTTACTACAAATTCAACTGCCATCGTAAGATCGGCATAAATCTAACCTCTTGTTTACTGATTAATAAAAATATACTTTTTTATGACAAGAAATTAAATTTGATCAAATGTCATTGTGTTGAAAAGCGTTAAAACTAAAGTGACTTTGCTTGCGTGTCACTTTCTGTTTATTTTAAAAGCACTAATAGTAGTAAAGTTTTTGTTGATGATACGCCTTTCATCGAATAACGAAGAGGTTATACAGAAATATCGATTAAAGTTTTATATTCGTTATGCGGGAGATCAAACTAATCTAAAGACGATGACTTTTTGTTCGGTCTGCGCATGGTAGTTTTGATTGGTTTGAAAATGTTTCGTAACCAAAGGTAACGCGCATACGCACTCATGATCTTCTTGATGTTGGTGAATGTACTCACTGATCTAAATTTTCAAAACACAAAATTATCAAAGCTCTAAATTACTTTATTTTCGAACTTCCAGATAATTAAATTTGTAAAATCCCAAATTTTCCAAACTTTCAAATTCTTAAATCTTTAAATTTCCAAACTGACATAGTTGGTCATGCTTAGTCTATGTCTTCTACAGCTATTCGTATATTTTGTCCACCGTGTATATGGTCAGCGGAATAGAAAACGTATGATAGTGAAGCAATGCCAAATGGTGGGGACCCTATTGAAGTTAGCCAAGTTGCGCGAATCATATATGATCTCTCGTTGAATGAATAATGGCTCGATCGATTGTCGACTTTTTCAACAGGTGTTATGTAGGTACTCGCAATTCAAAATTTATGCGAATAAAACGAATATGTGAATTAAAAGTTTATTCAATCAGTTACAATCTTATCAAAACGTATTTCAGTAAGATAGATAAACATGACAGAAAATTTATTTATGTACGAACACACTTTTCACGTTTCGTTTTACGGTCAAACTGACATTTTTCGTATGGACCACATTTTACGCCGGCACAGTAGACGCCATCTGAAATGTACAGTATTTTCAAAATTTTTGAACACTGATTTTAAATACAATTAGTTTCTTACCACTTTGTGATCCTTTGTACGAAGTACCAGTACTTATGAGACTAGCCTGTACGCACGAATGAGATCCGCATTGATTTGGACAACATTTTTCATTAGGGGAACATTGAAAATCAGAAACACATCTGGGGAAACAATTTTTTACACTTTCCTTTAACGGACAATGACCACTTTTAGCTAAAACACAAATGAACGGTAATGTTACGCAATTTGTTACCTGTATTCAATAAACTACGTATGTGGTCTATTGAGCAAAGACTATTTCTAAATTATCATATGTAAAAATTAAAAAAAGTGTCAAATGTAGAGATGCCAAATTTTTGGCGGCAAACTGCAAGCGACGCGAGGTACGACATAAATTGCAATATTTATCAATCGATTAATCACAATGATATATGACATAACTCGCGGAATAATGCAGTCGTAAATATGGTATGCACTGTGAAAGGCCAAGTGTTTGACTTTTTTTGCATTTTACCTGAATGCGTGGAAATTGGTGCAATTTTTTTAACTTAAATTAAAAATAGTTTTCGTCTTAATATTTAAACATATTTTCATGCATGCATTCGAATTGAATGAATTAATAATAAATCGTAAATATATTAATTTTATACTAATGATAAACAACTTACAGGACAGCTGCGCGGCTGCTGCGGCAATCAACAAACACACCGTAAGTGCAAAAATTGTTCCTTTTTCTACGGTACAAAATAAATTATTATTTACACTTATATTTTGTCTTATTTTTCGATAGTAAATAATTAAAAAAAAAGGAAATGAAAACTGATCTATTTTCATAAATATACGTACTATACATTTTCCTTTGTCAAGAACCTTATACGATGTCTTTCACCTTTCTAGACTTGGCGACTTTATTCAATGGACAGATGAACCACATCTAATCAATCCACGATAACAACGCAGCTTCTTAAATCTCTCCTTTTCTACTCCCTCTCTTTTTGCCTGGACATTTGTGTATCCTTGTCCGTTTCCACTTCATCTTGATAAGGAAAGGGAAGACGTATAGGGAACTCAACAATCGGTTGATTCAACAAATTAACCCCTGGTACTACCATTTTGCCACATAAATGTTTTGTAACCATCATCGAAACGTTATCTCGTTATGATTCAAGCGGGTATTCGTGGAATGAATTTACTTGGGTATTTCAGTAAGCTGTATGAATGACTCATGCAGTTTGCAGGTAAGTACCGTTTGACGCAAATTGGTTTTATGAAAAAATTGTCGCCAGGAATATATGATCACGTAAGAAATAATATTACAATCTTATTTATAATCTGTCTTATTATCTTACTATACTGTGGTATATCATCACGCATTGTATTGCCACGCATTGTATCGCCATGCATTATAGCGTTATTGCCATACGTTGTACGGCCATACGGTCTAATCTGACATTTCTGTTTTTGCAATCGACATATCATCACTTTTTACCTATGAATGTACATATTATATCATTCAAGGTTCTATGCAAATGTAGGTTAATAGGTTAATGAAGTAATCTGTTGCGTAAGAACATTACTCAATGAAATTTACCTTCCAAGAAATAGTTACGCCAAAAATTTTGTAGTATACTTTATTTACTTTTTATGAACGCATGCGCAAAATTCAAATTCTGTGATTTTCGTTCTTCGATCGATTTGTGTTATATTATTTTAAATTAAAAATCGTTATCCAATTTGTAGATAAAATTTATTTCTAAATATTTTTTAATTATATTATTATAATCACTTATTATTGCTTCAATATACTATAGTTTAAAATTAAAAGAAACATGTCTTAACTAAGTACAAGATTAACATTTGAATTTATAATACTTTTGTCATGGAAGTATATACATATACTTTAATACATGAAATTATAAGATTCGAAAATATGGCACAAATTAATGGTACATTTAGTTGACATGACAGAAAATAAAAAATCAATGATGTATAATGATCCTAATTATGAATTATTGTTGTAAAAGTAATAAGGATAATTTATATAAGGATTTCTGGGTACATTGTTAGATTCTTCTGGTAATGGCACAACTGGAATTTCCACAGATTCAACTACTTCAACATCTGGTTTCTGACAGGCCAGTGCACCGCATCGATTTTTGCAACATTTCAAGGTGCCTCTGCAATCGCTATCAACACTGCAGGTTGGTGTACATACCCATCTTCCTTTTGGTACTGCTGGGCAGGATCCTGGTTTTTCTGTTTGAAAAGAAGTCAATGAATTTTATAAATTTAAATCCTGGTCACAACTTAAAGGTTGTAGTTCTATTATAAAATTATATCTGCCACTTGTTTAATATGAAATATAATCAGGATTCTAATTGTCTTAGAAAATTTATTGTTTAATATACCTGTTGAAATTGGTTTTCTCATTGTTACAGGTTTTGAGCAAACAAAGCCCCCACAGCTGGTGGGACAACATTTGCCAATTCCTAAACAATGTGAATCGGAGAAGCAAGATTGACTACAAATTTGCACTGGTAAAGCTGGTGGACAGGAACCTGGTTTCTCAGCAAATGGTTCATACCTGCACATATTGTATTAGTTGCACAGGATAAAAACTTTAATTGTAATTTAACATACCTGGACTGACCAAGTGTGGTAGTTGAAGCCAGTGTTAATATTAAGACCACTAATAGTAACTTCATTTTATAATTGTTTTAAAAAACAATTTTAATGCAGCTGGAATCAAAACAATAGAAAATTTTATTTCACTATTATGTTTATACCCTTGGCTTGATTTTAATTCTTTTAATATAACTTATTTGTGGTTTACTGTTTAAACACTTAAAACACTTGACTGTAAAACAGTATTATTTTATTTTAATACTTTAATATTATTTTATTTACTCAAGTATTTTTGTCACTATTTCAGGCTAAACAAGTTGAAACTTCCAATGAACAGCACTATTTTGATATCTTTGGTTCACTAAGAACTGTCTTACTTGCAAAAAAACGACGATGATGAAATTCAAGAGGAACAAGAAAGGTTCATCGGTGGGTTTTTTCGTTTACCGAAGGGAGGAGAATTTCACTCCTATATAGCATCGATCCCCACTTAATAAGAACACGCAGCACGTGGTTCGCACGTAACGGAGATCAGAGATCGTTAGTCCTAACTCGGATGTCGAACCGCAGCGGTAATTAGCTGGGTAAATCCAATTAACGAGAAATCTAAATCGAGCGGAAGAAAGATAGTGGTTTTTTTGAAAGTAAGAAAAAGGAATGCGTGGGTGTTTGCAGTCTAGACGATTTCCCGATCCTCTTATTGCTTTCTTTATGAAATCTTATCACGTTCATTACTTTCATTATGATTAGATACGATTTTAGTATAAACGATGCAAATTTTCGAATCACTCAGAAAATTTTAAAATCAATTTTATGAAAATGTTAAAACTGCAAAATAATTAAAAAAATTCTCCTTAAGTCAGAGACACGGACATGTACCTTTTTTTGTCGAAGACACTCGTCCTTCGATAGAAAAAAAGTGTGTTAGTAGGAAATCGAAAGTTTTCGAGAATGAGTAACTAGTTTTTCTTGCCACCGATGCGGACACTGTCACAGGTATTACAACACTGACAATGAATCCCCGATCGTATGTTTTATTCAAAAATACGAATGCTTTTATGCAAATTTGAACGTGACATCACTTAATGTTCAACGATGCATCGTTCACTGTGCTAAAAATGCTTCGAAACACATGGTGTCATTGTTTTGATAAATGATCATTATGTTTTCGCCAGAACTCGGGCGTAAAAAACTATCTTTATACACGTCTAACGAGAGTCTGTGTAAATGCTATTATTTAACTGCCCATAAAATTTGCATAATTGTTTTAGATTGCAACAAGTGAGCGTTGATATTAATATGCAAGAAAAAGTTATTAACATATTAATGTCCATTGAGAAATATGCTAGAAGCTAGTACTTCATCACTTTATACATGAGTTTCTGCCTTTATTTCAGGGAAATGTTTGTTGCAAATTTTATTCAATTATTTTGTAGATCCGCTTATATTAAATTTAGATCCGCCAAGTTATCCAAGTAAATGAAGTAACGATTTTCAAGGACAACCGGTTTTCCATGATCCTGTAGCTTTCAGTATAAATTACAACAGAAGAAAAATGTTTAAATCAAGCTTGATATCATCATGTATGTAACTTCATGATTTTTGGAAATTTAATTAACTACAGTGGGGGGTTAAATTAAAACAACGGTCATATTTTATAATCACATTTATTACTGTAGACATAAATATAAAAAGTAGGTAGAAAAGGAAAAGATTATAATGTAAAACGGCTAGAGTAACGCGTTACAATTGAAGTGATAAATGCATCCTTGGTACTTGTTACATATTCAGTCGTTCTTCCAGAAACAACTCGACGCCTGTACAATGTATTGTTTATATTAAACAATTATAGAGTATACAGTAAAATAATCACGCAACGATAGCTTTTGTTTTACAGTCTTTTTGACGTCGATGAAAGAAATCTTTTTTTTTTATTAATAATAAAAATATCGCTAGAATTGGACTAAGAAACAATGGATTATAATAATTAGAATCAGAGTAGATATGTACACATTTTCTTTTTTTTGCGTTGGCAGTTTGCCAAACGATGAAACTTTGATTTGGCGCTCGCTAGCATTGTATTTGTTATTGGATCGAGATCCGAGCATTATTTAATTAATATACAACTTATAGTGACGTAAGAGCCTCGAATGCTTCTCAGATCAGATCATTTAAATTTAAATATTTTTGTAGCGAGACAGGATAAAATGGAAATATTGTCCGAATCAAAAATATTTAAAAAGTAACCAGATCTGAAAATTTGCAGTAACGAGAAACTTTTATAAATTGAAAAGCTTAAGGTAATTGAGTCAAATGATCCCTAAATCTTCATAGTCTTAAAACTCTTCGCAACACTTTCATCACTATTAATGAATAGTGTTTTATTAACAATAAAAATAATCTAATACATTGATTTTATTTCTGCATTCGAGGCAGTTTTATAATAATGAGTACTACAGTACTAAACGCATATTAAGATAAAAAGAATTCTCTACAGATTAAGTCACGCCTCATCGAATATTCAGTAGAAAAAAGACATAAAGTAATGTACACAAAGGCCTGGAATACATTAATTTTACGATCTTCATGCTTCTTCAAGCGACGCGGTACATGTACATTTAAATACGCTACTAATACTAATGATTATGAAGAATATTAACGTTGTTTGACTGCTCCAAACGACACTCGAATACTACTTGTATGGAAAACAATCGCGTAAGGCACTCTCGTTGAACAGTTGAGCGTGCTTCAGTTAAAAGGAAGAAGAAAATGGAGAAACGAAGGGGTGCAATCGTGTCTATTCTTCTTTACTTCTTCGTGGAAACTGTAACAGGAAAAGTGAATATTAGAGTGTGATTATGTATAACAATTTTCATAGAGATACATTTCTAATAGTAGTGCACTTTTGAAATCATTTCTTAGATAATCATGAGGTCATCAGTCAGCTCTTAAGTAGAATGACTTACAGTGAAAAGCTTGCATTACTGCTACCGTTTAAGGTATTCAAGGCGGAGACGATGAAAGTCCGATTAAGTAATCACCCTTCCCAAGTAAAATGATTAGCTTGAGAAAAATGCGAAGAACCTTGCATAGACTTCAACGAATCCTTTGAATCATTCTACACTGAAGAAAATCTTACCTCGTGGTGGAACAGGAGGTGCCGGTGTCTTCTTAACCTTGACATCCTGAGACACATCAACGTTCATGTACTCCGGCATTTTACAAGTATCCGGCACATCTACACCTTCCGAACCGTTCACCGAATCTGTCTCCACGTACTCTTCATTTTCCTTGCCACGAACGTCGTCTACGTGTTGACCTTTATCATGGGTATTACCGCTAGCCTTTTCCTCTTCGGAATGGGTTTCCTTGGACGAGTTTTTTGACAATTCAGAAGCGTGACCAGAATCTGAGTGCTCAGTCTGTTCTTGAACGGGTTCCTGGAACGAGCTGACACACGCTGGTGCCACGTTCATGTAGTTTGTGGGAATGCACATGCCTGGTGGTGGGATTGGTGTCGAATTCAAGGTAGACGGCTCGATATTCGCGTAGCTGTTACCAGGCTGCCTGCAGGACTCTGACTCTGGGGTGTCCATGGCTGGAGACGAGTTTTGGATCATGTCGAGATACTTGGGGTGGTCACAGGGTGAATTCGGTGTTTTAGGTTCTTTCAGAGAACCTTCTGGTTTGAAAGCTGTTGAATAATTGATTTTGTTAACTGATGCTTTTTTATAAACTAAAATTAGAGAGATTCAACAGAAGAAAGAGATTCAACATTTCTACAATTTCTTAAAGCATAAACTAGCAGATGTAGGAAATTGTTCAGCTATCGAGATGAATGCATATTAATAACAGATATCGACTCACAGTGAATAGGCAATCCTGACGGCGGAAAGGCGATGTAATATTCGTTGTCCTCTGTTCTTGAAGCAAGATGCGATGGTCTAAGGTCAAGGTCATTTCCCGGCAAGGATCTAGGGGAAGGAGAGTACCTGAGGGCAGGTGAGTATCTTCCAGTGAAGGGTTTTGGTGCAGGTGGTATTTCATATGACATTACACCAGCCTTGTCTTCTCTGGCATTTTGCAGCTGGAAAGATTCCTTTTGTTTAGAAGAATGAAATGTGGTAAATTTGGTAATTTTAAAAGATACTAACTCTTCGGTCTTCGGTATCAGAATGAGTTCCACTGTCGCCTAGACTGGTTCCGCTGCATCCACTTGCGGTACTCATTCTGCCAGAGGAAGACGAGCCTAAAAGAATAAAAATATAATTTATTCTGAGTCTGTTCGAAGACACTTCTATGGAAGATTTTATTATATAATTCGGGGCTTGGAGAGCAGATATCAATAGGGAAATTCATACTTGAAACGCTGCGAAGACTCAAACTGCTGACTGGTCTGCGATCCGTCAAAGCACCATTGACAGTCTCTGGTTTGTTAGTCGAAGACGAATCGTCGCTTCCGTTTGCAGAATCCTTTGAATCTATAAAATAATAAGACGTATTATGCACCAAACCAGGAAAAATTATAATCCTCAATATGCATGAATAACACTTTGCACGTGGCTGAACGTGCGACAATACCTTTCTTTCCTTTAGAGAAGAATTTTCGAATCCTATCGAAAGGAGTAGGGGCTTTCATTTCATCTTTTAGCTTCTTCTGTATTCTCTCGTACTCTTCCCTCATCGCGTTCAATTGCCTCTGTTTATCTTTGAAGCTCTGTTGAACGTCGTTGCGGTTCCTCCAGTTCTCCACGAGTCTCTCCACCTCGGTTATAGTGAACACGTTATTCTTGAAGTCGTTTATGATTTCAAGAAGCTCGTCCTGAGGACCTGAAGGCTCTCTCGACTTTGTACTAAAGTTCGAGGCTGCTCTGCCGTAGGAGCAGGAAGATTGACTGTTCTCCTCTCGAGTGTGCATGGGGTGATCTGGACGATTCTGAGTGGGCGTCGCTGTGCGCGATGGTTGCTGGCTCGGTATGTTCGATGTGGGTGTTCTGGTTCCTTCAAAATTTCAATCAAATCAAGTGTAAGAATTTTCTAACGCGTAGCTCTTATTCTTTTGTACGCAGATGAAGTAAGAGGAACATATTTCTTCAGGAAGCACGTACCAGCTGGATGCATTTTCATGTAACCTTGAAGAGGTAGCTCAAGGCCGTTCGGTATGGTCGTCGTGGGTGTCGGTGTTGATGGACTGACGACGACGGGGGTCGGTGCCGGTACAATGGAGTAATTTGCTTCAATGGGGTTACTAGTGGTCGGGTTAGGGGTTACTGGTAATTGGCCTGGTAAGATTAAAGATGTTATTGGTCTTGCGGCCGGTGGCACCGAATAAGCTTCGCTCAAAGGTCGTGGACGACAGTAATCTTCTTTGTCGTTGGTGTCGTTTGTCGTGTTAGTCGTCGATGGGTCCGCACCTATAAATCATTTCGGTTCGATCCTATTTATTCTCAGTCCTAAACTTACAACGTAGCCCTTGTAATCTTAATTGGATCATTTAATCGAACTTTGGTCAACTTGTCTGACAATAACTGGCCATATATTTTAAAAATATAAAATTGTAAAGAACACTCACTTGCTGGTTGGTCTGTTGTTTCGCTGATCACCTTTAGGTAGCTGTACATGTTGGTGAACTCGTTCATTTGCTGTGAACCCGCGGATTCAAGGTGCAGCCCGAAACATGCAATGCAAAAGCAAGATACCAGTTAGTTCACTGAAGGTTTCTAAAATGATCTGCATTTTATAAATCAATATATGATTCTACTACTGACTGAATAATTCTCAACAGTGAATTTTTTTATTTAAGACCTTATTTACTATTTCTTGGCGTTGAGATTATGACAGTATTATGTTTGCATATAAATATAACAGCCACTGATTTGATAAGATGTGAGGCGAATGTGTTAAGTTACTATAAACATGAGTTTCAAGTGAAGTAGGAAATGCGTAGGAAGTAATTGAATATACTGTGATCTTTACAAATGGAAAGTTACAGTTTGTAGGGATCAGTGGATGAAAGCAGACTACCCGAGGGACATTTGCATGTAGGAATAGAGAAATATCGCGGAAGTACCGGTTCCATTGGACTAACTGTGACGTCGTTTAAAGGCGATGTTTTTGTACCATGTAGCCACGAAGTTGATGTGCCAGTCTCGCGTGTCCTGCTTGTTCCGCAAGATCCGCAGGGGTCAATTCCGACACATTCCTCAGATCGCATGCTATGTCACCACCTGGACATTCCAGTAATTGCCAGGCTAGTCTCTCCAGGCCGAAGCGAGCAGCGAAATGCAGCAACGTTGGGTTTTCTTCAGGACCTGTACCAAAACATTAATATTTCAAGCTACTTTTTATTTCTTAATTTATTGACTATTTTTATTTATATACTTTAGACACAGAATTATGATATACGTTATTCAACATATGTGAATTATATTGAACTTGTTCCAGTTGAGGTATTAATTAGCTCATTAAATGATAGTAAACTTAATACTGCTTTTTCTTTGAATTTCTCTTGCAAAGTTTATGTGACAAAGATTCAAGTTTACAGTGTCTGAGAGGATGATGAAGGAAGTATATTTAAAATGTGTTAATTGTTCATCCTTACCAACTATTCTTCCTAGCAGCATAGTGAACAAAGGGTTGAATGTTAATGTAAAGTTGGATTACATGGTTGAAGAAAACAATACTCACTCGAGTGGACTCTTTGAGTGGATACCACACCACTGGGTGTGGACAAGAGATTAAAGTGAGGAGGGACGTTTCGTTGAAACGCGTGGACCATCCAGTTGTCCAGCTGTTCGCGGTCCCCAGGATTGAAGCCAAACGTCTGCACAAATTAAGAATTTAATAAATAAAAATTACATTGTAATAAACATGTGTTATGAGCCACTGAAAGTTTTGAGAATCATAGCAATAGTGAAACTTAAATTTCCAAATATCCTGAATTGTCAAACTTCTACATATGCATACATTCATATGTAAACTTTCACATATGTATACATTCATATGTAAACTTTCACATATGTATACATTCATATGTAAACTTCTACAATCTGCATATCTCTGTAATCCCTAAATCCTCAACCTTCCCAAATTCCTCAAATGCTCTTCAAATACTCGAAAAGAAAGAGAATTGAATTCTCAAATTGGTTTCATTCTGAAAACTTTCAGCTCGTTCCAAGTATATTTTACCTGACACATGAATTCCAAGGGATTGTCGTGAGCCCGAAGGATCTGATCGAGTTCCCTGAGCCTGCTCTCGCACTTGACCTGCTTAACACCTAGAGGACACCCGTTCTTGGATATCCTAACGCCGACCAACATGGATACCTCAAGACATCTCTCGGGAATGGAGAACTGCAGGGTGTAGGGATTTCTCCTCTTCACGTGGGCGATATCGATCGCCTCGCCGCAGCGATCGACGATTACCGATACGTTGTCCTCCGGCCTCATAGGGTCGTTCAGCAAGGCGATTATTCTGTTGTGACCCTGAAATCCATTAATCTTATAGTCAAACATGTTCCTTGGGAACCGTGATCGGTATCTTTCTACCCATATCCTTATCTTTTGGTTCTGTTGGGAATTATCGACGAATACCTAGAATATCATTAAATACTGAACCAGTCAGGGGACATTTGAACTTGGACCCGAATAAGGAAGTTAAGATATTCACATCTTGAATTCAAGATTTTTCTGATATTTTTAATCTGAAGCTTAAGAATTAGCATCAGAACTGTTGCCAGAAAATTGAGATAATTTTGAATTTTAACTAATATTATTTTATTAAATTTTAACTTTAAAATAAATATAGGTAAGGTCAAAAATTATTATTAATTTTATACCATCACTTACTAAACTTCAAAGCCAGCAATATAGTTGGCCAACAATTACTTTAAAGATCTCCCAGCTATTATTTACCAATTTAACTTTCTTCGGATGCACAGAGAACGCAGTCTTGTCGCTCCTCAACGCAGGAGGCGGAGTGGTGCCGAGGATCCCAACAGCAGCTCCCAGCAATTCTCCAACGAAAGTCTCGTCCTGATCCTTCACGAAGAACTTCCTCCACTGATTATACGAGACCAGGATGGACTTGTGGGTGTCGGTGATGTGGCTGTCGTGTACACCTAGCATCATCGCCAGGACCTTATCCGCGATCAGCTGTCTTGATAAGTTTGTCGCCTGTTCTGGACGACTTTGTATTCGTTCCAGAAGTACTGGACACACGACGACGATCTGCAGACGAGCGGATCGAATCCTTTCTTCGATGGCTGGGGATTCCTCGACTGTGATGTGACGTACTCTGCAAGGAAGAATATTTTTTGTCAAATATGTTGTACTGTATTATGTATAATATTATAGATTATGAGTAGACTATATGTGGATTAACATATCTGCTAAAACATCTACTTAACATATCTGTTATGTTATATGAGCAATTATTTCTGAATTCACAAATTTCTTCTTTATAATTAAATAATTACTTGAAAGGCGGTCGGCCCTGCTGCCTGCTGATCTGCTCGAAACAAGCTGTGAGATAATTGACCCACAGACTCGAGATCTCGCTGTCTTTGCTGGACACGAAGAGCACGTCATCTTCGGGATGAGAGTCGATCTTGGACAACCCGGTCGCTGAACGGGACCCTGCAAGAATTAAAATCAATTTATGTAATCTGAAGGTGTAGTGAAATATTCAAATTTGTATGAGAAACATTCGAGAGTATTTAAGCACTCAAAGTAGCTTTCAGTGGAAGAACATTAATTACATTGTTGAAGTGACTGAGTCTGAGTGCAATGTTTTTTGCACAAGTTTTGCTATCAAGTCTTCTTATTTAAGTCTTCTTTAAGTGTTTTTATTTAAGTGTTCTTATTTAAGTCTTCTTATTTAAGTGTTTTTATTTAAGTGTTCTTATTTAAGTCTTCTTATTTAAGTGTTTTTATTTAAGTGTTTTTATTTAAGTCTTTTTATTTAAGTGTTTTTATTTAAGTGTTCTTATTTAAGTGTTCTTATTTAAGTGTTTTTATTTAAGTCTTCTTATTTAAGTCTTCTTATATAAGTCTTCTTAGTTAAATGTTCTTATTTAAGTCTTCTTATTTAAGTTGTCTTATTTAAATGTTCTTATTTAAGTCTTCTTCTCTAAGTCTTCTTATTTAAGTCTTCTTATTTAAGTCTTCTTATATAAGTCTTCTTAGTTAAATGTTCTTATTTAAGTCTTCTTATTTAAATGTTCTTATTTAAGTCTTCTTATATAAGTCTTCTTAGTTAAATGTTCTTATTTAAGTCTTCTTATTTAAGTTGTCTTATTTAAATGTTCTTATTTAAGTGTTCTTTAAGTCTTCTTATTTAAGTGTTCTTATTTAAGTCTTCTTACTTAAGTGTTCTAATTTAAGTCTTCTTATTCAAGTTGTCTTATTTAAATGTTCTTATTTAAGTCTTCTTTAAGTCTTCTTCTTTAAGTCTTCTTATTTAAGTCTTCTTCTTTAAGTCTTCTTCTTTAAGTCTTTTTCTTTAAGGCTGACTTTATTCTAACTTTTTATTAAAAGTTCACAACAAAAGGAACAAGACGACTTTGTGTCCGATGAAAGTATACAGGTGTACGGGTTTTAATTAACAGCAAGCTTAATTTCATGGAGCTATTAAAGTATTAACAGGAAGGCACACCTTGCTTTAGTTTTTTTCTTCCCCCATGGGTCAACCGCGTTCAATTTCGCTTAATGCGACACGAGACACGCGAGAATGCTCTTCCCCGACGGGGCTAATGAAATAATGCTCGTCTAATGCGTTTGTTCCTCGTTATTTGAGAAAACCGAGCCACCAAGTTGTCCGATTAATTCGGAGATACGTTGACACACGAAAATGTCGGCACGTAATTGATTAAGTTCCGAGACCGAAATGACAGAGAATGAGTACAAATAAATTGCAAGAAGATAGAGAGAATTGCAAAAAATATACACAGTAACAAACAGTAACTTTGAAACTTAGTTAAAAAGTTATCTGAATTTTCTTTGAGGTTATTATTTCTCTACTAATGATTTCCACTATTTTTTATTTCATTATATTTATACATCACAAGTGTCATATCATAGAATCAGTTAAAAATTCTTGTTCTTAATTATTATATTAAATAAAATGGATCGAGAGTCACCTCTCGAGCGCAAAGGGTTAAGTATAGCTTTCGTAACCTTGAAATCGCTCATAAAATGGCGACCGCCAGTAAAATGGACGCTCACTTGATCGCATATCGACTTTGTTTCACTATGTTTCTACATCACAAGTGTCATATCATAGAATCAGTTAAAAATTCTTCTTTTTATTTATCATATTAAATAAAATGGACCGAGAGTCACCTATCGAGCGCAAAGGGTTAAGTATAGCTTTCGTAACCTTGAAATCGCTCATAAAATGGCGGACGCCAATAAAATGGACGCTCACTTGATCACATATCGAACTAGTTTGCAAGTTTATCGTACAATGGTATAATTAATGCAGTCGTTTGTTTTCCATAACCGGCGTCTTTCTCGTACAACGAGGCTTTTGTGCCAACCGATATCGATATCTACCAGAAGCCGACTGGAAACGCAGGGGTTCACGATCCCTGCGGCCGAAAATAACCGGAAAGAGTTACATTTTTTTTGGCATAATAAACCACGCGTTATCGACTGTTCTATCGGAAAAAGAATTTTAAAATGTGGAACTTTCGACGAAATGTCTGTTATCGATTTAACTTGTCGATTTTTTAGTAACGTGGAGTATCTGTCGTTAAACTTTTCGTCGTTCACTTGTTCTCATAAATATTTCTTTGATAGCTGTATGTCAAGTTATTCAATAATTAAATATTTAATTTATGTGTTTATGGTGGAGTTATGGAAATAAAGATAAGTATAATGATAACTATAAAGATACTATAACACATAAATATAGGGTGTCTTGATAAAATGTATGTGTTTATTGCACATAAAATTGAATACATAAAATTAACAGACTTTAAGTTAATACTATGTTGGCTACTTTAAAATGACAGATGTTCAAAATGACCATCATTAGAATGAATTAATTTTTAATATTTTTGCTATCATTTTTATGTTTAATAATAATACCTTATTTTATCGAGACACCCAATATTATGCATAGAGAAACACAATACTACCAACCAGTCATAATGACTGTTTTCAGATTTTTCATTTTATATTACAAAATTTTATTGTCATGATTTTATAGAAATGTCTGTCATATTTTGTTGAGGTAAAAACTAGTTCTACATGTTACTTGATGCTTTAGTATTTATTTCCCTTTTCATTCTTCGATAAACGAGCATTTAACGTCGGTAGTTCTAGTGTTAATAATATAAAATATCATCACAAAATAAATATAATCAGTAACAAGGATTAGTAACATTTCCTAAAATTTATTAACAATAATTTAAAAAAGCATAATATACCTAAAATAAGAATTAAAATTATGAGAAACACGGAAAAACGAGAAGGTTTACGTTGTCTTCAGGGCACGTACACAGAAGATCTGAAAATAATCAAGCACGGGGTAAACTTCCATTTTTCAACCCCATTGGTGCGTGCATGGTTTTCCATGGAAACCGCGGATAAATAAACGTGCCGTTAAGAATAGAAGAAGACTACAGGCGGTGCGAAGAAGGGTTCGTTTCCGGGTTCGTAACACGTGGTTTCCATCCGTAGAGCACAACGGAAACGTTAACCCGTCGTTCGGGGTGCGCATCGGTTGAAGGTTTTACGGTTTCCACATGGGCAGTGATAACGATTTAAGTCGGGGACAATTTGTACTTCTGTGCGAATCGATTCCTTCAAAGGCTGTTATCTTGTTTTGACTTCTTTTTGGGATTTTTATTTGTTTTTGGGATTTTCACTTCTTTTGGGGGTTTTCACTTCTTTTCGGGGTTTTCACTTCTTCTTTATTTTGGGATTGGGGTGAATTTTTGGGGTCAGTCAGTGAATCGTTTTATGTGTTACTGAACTCATATTTTAAATAAGAAATTTTTAGTATAAATTTGTTGTAGTTATACTTCAAGTTATATTCATGTTTGTTTCAATATTCCTTTCATAGTAAATATACTATTTTAATATTTTACTATGAACCTGCTGAATTATTGTAAGCTTTCTTGTAAGTCAGTTTGAGTCCAATTTTCCTCTCCTTCACATAAAATTATCTTCTTAAATTTTTAACCACGTCCAACCATGTTTTTGGTGATCACAAAAAATGTCATAGAAATTGTAGAATTATTTAAAATTCTTATCACAAAAATATTTAAAATTATCATAGTGAAATTCTTACAACTCAGTCCATTATAAACAACAACAAATTCCATTTAATTTTATATGTTCTTAAATTAAATTGTAAGAGGAGTTTGAGAATTTTTGTATAAAAGAATCGAGGATCGAAAAAATCTTCCTTTCCCTACTTGGAGGCGATATATCGGCGTCGGTGTTTGTTGCGTTCGCTACGTGACGCACGTGGCTTCCGTTTTCGGCGTATCCGGTCTTCCACCGAATTAATAGTTGCGAACGATTAAAGTCGCTAGGCCGTTATGTGTTCGTAACACGATCTTGCTCCACAGGAAGCGCAATAACGAGAACGCTTTTGGAAAATCTAATGCGAAGAGCGTGTGTTTCAATCGTGTCACGAAACGGTGTACAGAAAAAGACTGGTATTGCAACACTATTTTTTTTTCATATCAGTTTTCGTTCTTTGAAATTCAGTAACTCTGTCGGAGACATAGTTAGTACTATTAATTATCAAGGTTGATGAAATACTTTACAGTAAACATCTTGAAAATGATATTGTATTAAATATTTTATAAATATTGTTTAATTATATATTTTTTTTTTAATATCAGTTTTCATTCTTTGAAATTCATTAACTCTGTCGGAGACATAGTTAGTACTATTAATTATCAAGGTTGATGAAATATTTTACAGTAAAAATCTTGCAAGTGATATTGTATTAAATATTTTATAAATATTGTTTAATTATATATTTTTTTTTTAATATCAGTTTTCATTCTTTGAAATTCATTAACTCTGTCGGAGACATAGTTAGTACTATTAATTATCAAGGTTGATGAAATATTTTACAGTAAAAATCTTGCAAGTGATATTGTATTAAATATTTTATAAATATTGTTTAATTATATATTTTTTTTTTAATATCAGTTTTCATTCTTTGAAATTCATTAACTCTGTCGGAGACATAGTTAGTACTATTAATTATCAAGGTTGATGAAATATTTTACAGTAAAAATCTTGCAAGTGATATTGTATTAAATATTTTATAAATATTGTTTAATTATATATTTTTTTTTCATTTCAGTCTTCGTTCTTTGAAATTCATTAACTCTGTCGGAGACATAGTTAGTACTATTAATTATCAAGGTTGATGAAATATTTTACAGTAAAAATCTTGCAAGTGATATTGTATTAAATATTTTATAAATATTGTTTAATTATATATTTTTTTTTCATATCGGTTTTCGTTCTTTGAAATTCAATAACTCTGTTGGAAACATAGTTAGGTACTATTAATTATCAAGGTTGATGAAATATTTTACAGTAAAAATCTTGCAAGTGATATTGTATTAAATATTTTATAAATATTGTTTAATTATATATTTTTA